GACTAGCGCTTGGATTTGGCCGACACTCGCGCGGGAAAACATTTCGTATTCGACTACCACCAGATCAACATCTTCGAGGACTAAGTTTTCTGCATCCAACTCAATTCGACGCCGTTTTGCGGAAGCTGGGGAGGGCGAGCCAGACGCAACGAGAACGTGGTCCTGCGATTCGCGATTGATTGTTTTTGTGACAGCGCTGTTGAGCTTATTCATGAACCGCGATAATCGCATGTTCTTGGTGGACCACTGAAAAAAAGGAATAAAAGTAAAACTTTCAGGCAAGAAGAATCCCATTCCTACTCAGGTGAAGAATGTCTTGCGACAATATAGAAACATTCCCGTGGCGGCCATCATATGATGAGACAATAAATCCTGTCAAGTACACGAGCATCAAACCAGTACAAGCACAAAAGTACTTACCCCAATGCTGTCCGGGCTGCCTCCTGGCTCTGATTTTACCTCTTCCCTGCGCTTGTTACTCCTGCCGTCCGCCGCGGCCGCCCCCAACCAGTTGCGCACGGGCGGACCGAGCCAGTTGTTTTTTTCTTCCTCCATCTCTTTCTTTATCAGAGTGATACTCTTTCGCCCCTTGCCACCGCCCTTGACTTTCGGTTTCATCTCCAATTCCTTTTCCGACGCATCACTATCTTGATCCTCGAACTCTCGCTTGACGCGTTTTCCTTGTGCAGCGGAAGAAGAGGTAGCAGCCGACGCCTTTTTTTCTTCCCCGCCACTCTTCGAGGTTTTGGAGAGTTGCAATGCCGCTGATCCTGCTCCCTGGTCTACACTACTTCTGTTCCTCGCTGGCGTCGGAATTATTTGCTGGCTCTCTTGGTCCGCCAAGGGGGGCAAGTTCTGGCTCTCGCGTCCAAGAAACGCACCGGCACCGAAGACAGAAGAAGTTTCGTCCAGGTCCAAATCGTCCTCTTTCGGTGTCTATGCAATGAAAACTATATGTCTTGGCCTGGATGCAAGAACTTCCGATGCTGCAGTGGGAATGACGGGAGCACTTCGACGCGCAGCCACGCATGAGCACGACAAGTTTTTGTTGGAACGCCTTGATGTCATGAAGATTTCTAATGCGCATGACAGAGACAGTGCGCTTTTTTGCATGACACAAGAATGCGCGCTTCTAGCGTTAGAAATACAGACTCTTATCCGGTATATGAAAAACAAGCATTGCAAGTTCCACGGCTTTTCCAGACCCGAGTCAGGACATATTTACACTTGATAGCTTTCCGCCCTTTCTTTTCGGTGCTGGTGCGCTCAGCTTCAGGAACGTCTTCCAATCAATCGCCTTGATTCTGTCAGTGTGAGCAGCAGGATCGTCGCGATCGCGCCCCTGACCAGAAACGAACTCCGCCTCCCGCAGCGCAGTGGTGATGCTGGCCACGTTGCCGACAAAGAGGATGTTCTTGGGACGCTTCGGCTTTTTCTCCTCCATCAGCTGCAGACTCGCTTCCTGCTCTTCTCGCGCAACTCGTTGCAGGTGCAACACAGACACCAAGATCTGCCGCAGTCGGTTCGCCTCGGGGCAGTCGAGCAGCAGAAAAGCCTCGGACTCCGCGATCTTCGTATGGGGGTGTCAGGATCGAAATCGATAAAATCGAAACATTTGAAGTAATGCATAAAATGTAGAGCAGGTGTGGCCTGTGTGAGGGAGCAAGCGAATGAGACCGATTGCAAGCCTCTTTAGGGGAAGGCAATGTGCTGCCAGAGTGACACGACACGAGCAGTCTTTTTTGCCCAAACAGCGTGAGAGACTGGATTTTTGGCGCTCCCGAAATTTGTCATGCGCCGATTGACAACTGAGGGCGAGGCTCGCTCCAACTGGTGTCGATTTTATGCATCACAAATTTTTCGACTTTGTTGATTTCGGTCCTGACGCTTCCATACTTCAAAGCGTTTGCGTACTGGAAGTCGTACAGGGAAACCGCAAGAGAACCCGGAATCCGCAACGTGCACGACTTCAGCCAGTTGGTGGGAGCAAGAGGTGGCGAGTTCTTGGAGGCAGCTTTTGTAGTATGTGAAGATGAAAATGCGGACTCGAAGGAGTGTACTCGGATCGTGTTTTGCAGCGACATTCTCGTGTCGCTCATCTGGAGGTCGCTGTCTCTGTCCTTTATTCCACTTGTAGCTCCGCCAATTCCTCTCGCCACTTTGGACGAAGAAGATGAAGAACTGGAGGACGAGCTATTTTTAAACATCTTTTCGTGCAGCTGTCGAACGATGTCTCGTCGTGTGAAGTCGCTTTATCAAAAAGTTTGTCGCTTTGGACAAAAGTAGATGGCGTAACTTAAACTTTCACGTCGCTTTGAACTTCAACCATACATAGATATGTCAAGCTTTGCACAATCGCAAACTTGAATCTTGAGCGAGCGACTATAATTCCATCGCAGCTTTGTATCTATTTCTTACGCACAACGTACAGGTGCAAACAAGAAAGGGGCAGTTGTGGATGAATACAATTTACACGAAGATGGTTCTTCCTTGCGCACTAATGTACGTTTTCATTCCGATTTTTTTTACGAATCTCCTGGGTGTCGTGTTATCAAAATTATGAATAAGTATCACCACTGCTCTACTACGGACTGGAAAAATTGAAGTGGGAAAGCCTTGTTGGAATCACCATGCCAGGACAACCTCGACGTCGACCTTGAGGACTAACTACAGCTGCCATAGGATGAAAGCCCTCTGCTGGGACGACGGAACTGTAACTTCAGCCGTGGTATTCAAAATGATCTTGTAAAGACAAGACCCTCGTCCACGTCTTTTTTTCTTCAGGCTGCGTGCGCACGTAAAAATGCTGGCCGCAGATTAACTACATCTTGTGAGTACTAGATCAATCAGGCAAGGGACAGAAGATCGTACTAGTTGAAAATCCGCCTCCTTCGATAGATACTCAGTGCACTGGCGTAGCTTTTTTCTTTTTGCATCAAAGATGGAAACTTGTTTCGTTTGTTTACCAGGAAATAATGCACCAGAATCGGAAAGAACTCCAGAGCAACGCAGCACGGCACGTCGGTGGATGGAAAACGAACAGCGCAATGAACATCTGATATTAGAAATACTTAAGCCTCGAGCCGAGACAAGTAGCGGCACCGGAAAGTCAATTTTTTCAAAGCACACACCCGCACAAATTTCATTTTTTAGTTCTCCAATTTGGCGAAAGCAAGCAAAGCCAAAAACAGCTTCAGCTTTCTTCCGACATTTTCAGGAGCATCAAAACCGCTTCTTGCTGTCTCTTGGTCGTGGCGAATTAACACATATCCTCGCGCCTGCAATTTTGACATGACTGCGTTATTTTTCGTAAACCGTATAAGTTTGAGCGTGTCTCATTTTGGGGGTTCTTCGGAAATAGTAACACATAACGGACACTTACTTTCTTCATAACAGGAGCTCCATGATCATACGAGGCTTCTAGCTACACAGTTGCCAAACTCAGGGGATTGACAATTGGCGCTCCTCGCTCGATCCATAAACCAGCGGTGAAGAAAAACCATACGCTTTTGTTCAAAACTTAATATGAGTGGGGTAACAATGAAATCCTTATCCGCCCCCCCGGCGGATAAGCCGGGGGGGGGCCCCCCCCCGGCTTATCCGCCGGCGGGCCGTACCGGTATAGCCGCGACAAAGTGGCCGGGCGCTACCATCGCCTGAAGGACCCGGAAATGCCGACAGCATCCGGCATGTTGTGGGAAGATTTTGAAACACCACAAAGGTCGACTGCAAGCATGACGCCACCGGCCTTTGAGGTGTTTCTTTGAAAGTAGCAGGCGCAGCCTTTGAAGGCTCCACACTCACTGCCGGGACTGCTTTGGACTTAAAAAAAAACGTCCAGCAGATACATGCTTGCCACGCGAAAGGTGCGAAGCCTTGGGGAATTCGCCACGCAAGAAGTGGCCCAGCAAATAGTTACCAGCGGGCACACAAGGCCAGGGCCAGAACTTGCCCCACAGAAGTAAACTCCCAGCGTGAGGGCCGCCGAGCTTCCTCGCATATACCCTTCGGGCTATGTGCTTACTTGCCAGGCCATGCCGCCCTGCTCTTGGGCATGCCTGCAGGCAGCGGCTTAGGGTCCGAAGCGAGAACGAAACGCAACGGGCTGAGGGTTTCATCTTACGCGCGCCCGCCTCCTAGGGGTGTGCGCCTGTGCAAACCCAAGCCCGCCGCCCGCCATGGGCCCCCCTGCTTTTTCAATGGGCCCAGCCTGCCTGCCACGCACCGAAACAGGCCGCGACAACGCCCCGGGCTGCGCGCCGAGGGCTCGCCCCTTATAAATGTGGGGCGTCATCGGTGGTAAAATTCCCCCCGATGGTGTGCTCGACTTATATTCTACCGAGACAGGAGGGGGCTCTAGGCTGGGCAGCTATTTCCTGGGCCGCGGGCCGGGCCGTGCTGGTGACATGTTAGCTTGCCGCAGTGCGGCTCAATACATAGCTTCCGCCACGGCCATAGATACTTAAGCAATGAATTGGGCCGCGCGGGCGACAGCCTCGCGCGCTCTACTTTTGTTCGCCGGCTTTTTTTTTTCATTTCGCCGCCGGCCAATGTGCTCGAGGTTCGTTTCCGGCGCGGCGCAAATGCTCGCCCGAAGTCAGACAGTGATGCTTTACAGGCCTCGGGGCCCAGTGAGGTAGGTTTTCTCGGTTCCCAATACAGGTTTTCCCGCTTCCCATCTCGGGCCCCGGTGGGGTTTTCCCGCCGCACAGGCCCCGGGACCGGCCCAGTGCGGCGGGCTGTGGCCCTGGGAAAGCCGCAGCCCGCTACCAACTATCACCCCCGTGTTGGCCCACTCGCGACACCCCGGCCGCCTCGCCAGGCGGCACGCATGGCGCCGGGGCGCCGTGGCAGCAGCTCCGGGGACTTGCATGGGGCTGCGGGCTGAGTGACGATTTCTTGCGTGGCCTGTTTTCAGCGCGAATTGGTAGCCGTCGGGGCTTGTGAGTAGCTTGCAAAGCCAGCGAGGTGCTTGCACCTGCGAACAACCGCAAGACAGCCTGCACGCGTGAAGCCTGGCGCCCTTGTTTGCGAGGCACGCTGCCGGACTCGGTCTGTGTGTGTGTCTCTTCTGTCTGTAACGTGATGGGGCCCGGGCTTCTATTGACGAACCCCCTAAACAGGCCCCGACGTGCGAAGCTATCTACTTTCTGTGTGTGAATTTTCAACGCCATTTCTCTCCGCCTTGTTTTGCATGCATGGCAAACATTGACACGCTGCGTCCCTTCATTTTCTTGCTCTACCAGTCCCGATGGTGCGACGTTTGGCAATTTCCTGCGCATTACTTTAAAAAACCATAAGCACAAGCGGCGTGCCGTGTGTCGGTCCGGGCGCCCTCGGGCTCATCCAAACGGCGCCGGGGCCGGGCCAGTTCATGGGGCCTATTTCGGGACAGCCCGCCGGCGGATAAGCCGGGGGGGCGGATAAGGATTTCATTGTTACCCCACTCTATCTAAAATCAAGTCCTAAAAGACGTGCTATCAAAGGCTCGAATCCACCAAGCTTCTTTTACTTTTCAAGAGGCAAACCGCTTCGGTTCGGTCGACCGTTCAATAATTGACTCGTTAAAATTTGGTTGCTTTCTTCTCTAATTATACGTCGAACTAAAAGAACAGATAAAAAAGTTCGATAATTCCGCAAACATTTCTGTTACGCCCCTTTATTTGATTTCAAGAAAAAAATCCATCGCTCCTACCGACCACCAACATGGCGGAAGCACCATCTGGTGAGCCTGCTTCGGAGTGCTCTCTTTGAATATGAACATGAAAGTATCAGTCCGACTTGTGATCATATCCCACGAAAAAACTCTTTCACTGTGATGATATAGACTATGTTTTAGTTTTTGCAAGATCGGCATAAGTTCATCTTCAACAAGTAGCAGATTTTCTGTGTCATGCGCACTTGTGACGCAGATTCTGCAGCAATATGGAAAAAACACGCATCGCCTAGGCGTGCATTTTCCATACATGATAGCCGCGGAAAACACCTCCAAAAATCCCATGCCATGCAAATCTTTAGCAGGACAACGACAAGCGCTTGCGTGCTGCTCCTGCTGCTGGCATTCCCTGCATTACAAGTTCACACGGAAACAGTTTTTTCTTGCGATAGATTACAACCCTGCCCACCGCTCTGGTCAGCCCCCTTGAGTTCCCGTTCCTCTGTATCAGCTCCAAACGTGCCTGGGTCTGCACAAGATCGTGTCATGCTCGTCTTGCGTTGCTGGAAATATTAAATCTGCGTTGCCTCATACGCAACACAAAGACAAACGCAGTAGAAATCGTCGCACTAAGGCTTATTTCTCATGCGAAGCTGCATGTGCACGTGCTGTAGTTACTTCGGCTATAATTCAGGCTTTTTCCAGACCCAGGCCTATATGCAAGGCGTAAATCTCGTCGTAGACGCACTTGAGCGACTTGTACTTTTTCTGGTTTTGCCAGAACACGAGCTGCGCTTTCGTGACGATGGCCCGCCGCACCAAAGCCGGGTTGCTCGCAGACTTGAGCCAGATTGCGTACTCCTCATCAGTCATCACGTGCCAGGGATCCGTCTTTTTGGAAAAGTTGGACTCCTCTATGCATTGCAAAAGCATCGTTCTAGTACAGCAATTGTACTACGAATTTCAGGAAAAAAAAACGTCAACACGAGAACACTTTTCAGGTCAGGAGAAGAATTTGTAGCCATGCGTGCCTGCAGTTCATTTTTCCACGAGTGCGATACTTTTGCAGAGGATAGCCTGTATCAAATGCAAAAGTGTCTGGGTCTGGAAGATTGCGAGATTTGTCATGCTTGTCTGGCATGACCAAAAAGTTTGTGATGCGTGTCCAAGAAGAGACCCTTTTGCCTGTCATGCAAAAACGCAGTTTCTCATGCGAAAAACGCAACACAAAGAAGCGCAGATATTTCTCATGCTTGCCTGTGCATTACAGAGCATTCACTTTTCCCAACGCAGCATTACAAGTTTCCAGCAGACCCAGACACTTTTGCAGAGGATAGCCTGCACCAAAGGGCGATTCTGCGTGAAAAACACGTGCAGGTCCTCCGCCTTCATCTCCTGGTTGCTCGTATCGAATCCAAATATGGCTGGTTCTGGAATAAACTTGTGATGCTGAGTGGCGAATCGTGTTGAAGAGGATGCCACGAGTTGTGACCGCTCAGCATGACAACAAGTTTCTGAGTTTCTAGGTGTTGTCTATTCAGCACGACAGACTGCGTTTTTGCATGACAGAAAGTTGGGGGGGCTTTTGGGTTGTACTAACGTGCATGACAGAGGACTTGAGAGTCATGCTACTTAGCCGAGCTTGCATTCTTCCAGGCCCAGACTAGTACATGTTTTATTTGCATTTGATAGCCCATCCCCCGGTGCCGGTACCATTTGCCATCCGCTCTTTTCTCGCCCGCCATAATGTCCATCCAGTGGAGGTATCAAAAGGAAAAATACCCCCTCCCCATATTGAAAACGCATCCTTTTGAAAATTTGTGACGCAGGTTCGTGGTCTGTCGTGTAAGAAGGCACGCTCAGGCTGCCCGCCACGCTATGCAGGCGGTTTGTGCTAATGCTGCACGGCCTACGGGGTAGCCGTCTACCATGCTGGGCGCTTACACCGAAAGGCTCCTGTCTAGGCTCAGGATCTGTGTGCAGTCCTGTAGTGCAACACAAATTTTTTGATTTGTGGACTTATCCAAATCCAGTATCAGAAATCTCGTCTTGATATGGGAAGGGAGGATGTTTCATTGCGATAGAAGGATCTGCGGATTTTCCATGATGTTGCCGCCTTTCGGGCATTCGAAGTATCGGACAGAAGCCATCTTTCCGGTTTTTCTCTCAGTTTGGAGTTCGTTTGATAAAAGTAGTTGGAGGAGCACTTGAATAAGAATTGTCTTAACAAATAAATGTCTAGCTGTAGCTGTGAAGTGTTTTTACGTTTTGAAAGTTTGAAAAAAGTTTGACAGTAATTACGCGAACAGTTTGTTTGACGAGAAAGGATTACTGGAGCTGTACGAGAATAAGAACTCTTGGTTCAGAATATCAGAGGAAGAAAAAGAAATTGGTCAATTTTACTATTTTTTCATGTTTGTTCGATGTTGCTGCGTCGGTCCCTAAATAAGCCAATCCTTCTAAGGACTTGTCACAGTAGCCGCTGAAATATTTTGCAAAGAGATGAGAGTCAGTAGCTGACAACTCGGAGGCCGTAGTCGACGAAAAAGAAAGTACTAAAAACAAAATGTACCTATTGATTCTAACTACAGCAGGAAATGTTCATCTTGCCGGGCCACAGGCATCAAGTGGACCAGAACTGGCCGCCGGCATCTTCTATTCAGCGGGCGCTCTGCGGCCCGCAACAAACATCCTGGCATTAGACCTTCATCCTCTTAGGGCCGTCGATTCCAATCAGAATCAGGTCATAAATCATGCCTTAAAAAAAAACTCGCAAAAATCTTTGGAGGAAGACATCGCTACAGGAACAAGGTCGACTAGGTGGTCTTGCGTATAGAAATAAAGCAGAAGCTGCACCGTCCACATGTGATCCACGCATGCCGCCCTACGTTCTTTCTGTGTTTAACGTGTTCGTTGTGGTGTCAAAATTCAGTGTGATTGTGTGTACAGGCTCCACTATTTCAACATCGCGGTTCATCCACCAGAATCCATTTCAGTTGCGAAGATGTCGCACTTCTTGCAGCTGTTCCCTAGTGCAGGATCATCTCAGTCTACTTTGTCAGCTTCAATTGGTGATGAAGTAGGAGTGTATGCAAAAATCATGCAGCCCAGATGCCGTAGCTCCCCGTCAGCACCGGTGGAAAAAGGATCGCGTCTTCTGTGCTAGTCAGCCATAGCGCGTCCATGAGAAAAATTCAAACGTTGGGTATAGGAAAATTTTTCAGTTTTCTTACAAATGAGAAACAGGTGCGTATATTTTGTCAAATCGCGATAATGTGGCAGTGGCAGACGAGGCATTTTCAATTTAGCATTAACAGATAAAACAAGCGACATAATCATGATAATGGTCTCTTCGTCGGCTACAGTCGATAAACAAGTTGTATTGCGAACAGCAAGTCGATGAAACGTAAAAAATCTAGTTTGGTCGGTGTCTTTCTCTTCTGAATGCATTCTCTAGCGGCCTGATGTCGAGTGATAATTACTACAGCATTTTCAATTTATTTTGTCCTACAACTGAACTACAAAGTTACAAACATCTGTGTCTGTACGCATTTCGTGATCTACTTGTTCCCCAGCAAAAGTAATATCAAGGCCTCCTCCCGCCTTCTTCTACTACTTCGGGTACAAATTCTGGCACTGCAGGTAGCTCGCGATGCTCATCAGCCCGCCGACCGTCATGTGGCTCATGGAGTATCCGAACCCGACGCTGATCGACGCAGGAGAGTCCATCACGTTGGTGAAAATCGTGCGCAGCCGCAGTTTATCCACTGCAAATACTATCTGGGTGTGGAAAGTTGTAATGCTGGTTTGGGACTGGTGGACACACTGCAATACGCAGCCAAGCATGACAGGGTCTGAAACTCTGCATGGCAAACTGCGTTTTTGCATGACAGGCGAGAGGCTCTCTTCCTGCTCATGCATCACAGAGTTGGGAGTCTTGTTCGACAAGCATGACAAACTTACACTCTTCCAGACCCAGACATATTTGCAATGCATACAGTTTCGCGTCAGACTTCAACTTCGCCAATTCTTCCTCCTTCTTCACCTATGAAAGAAAAAAAGTGTGTAAGTGTAACTCTGTCATGCAGAACATGCAACAGAGTTACACCTGTCATGCCAGACAAGCACGAAGTCCTCTTTTCACTTGTGTTTTCCTTTACAAACCACGCATGGGAGGTTTTCTCTCTCATGCAGAACAAATTTGTGATGCTGTTCCTCCAAGAAAGTTACACTAACACACTTTTTTTCCTGGATATCACCTTCTGTTCCTCTACCAACTGCTGCGATTTCTGCTTGTCGTTCCCCGTTGCCACCGTGGAAATCACCTTGTTCTCGACTCTATCCATTGCAAAGAAACACTACGTAGAAGTCGTAAAGATTATTTGCAATTTCTTGATATTACAGTAGGTGTTGGTCTTCTCGATTCTAGACATTAATTTCTACTTTGTGGTGCTTGTTGACTAGGCAATATGCAAATAGAGTTTTTCTGACATGCCCAAGATCTGTTTTGCAAGCTATACGACTTTATTACGATCAACATTCTTGGTCACCTGGGATAGATTTCGTCGTACTTGTTCTTCAGAATGCGCAGCTTCGCCACCTCGCAGCACACCGCGGTGAAAATTGCGTAGAACCAAAACTTCTTCGCGTACTTGTTCAACACGGCGGCCTATCAAATGCAAATATGTCTGGGTCTGGGAACTTGTGATGCTAATTTATCAATTTTTGTGGGGACACTGCTATAGGCAGCGCGCATGACAAGCTTCTTGGCTCCTTTGTGCTTCGCTTTCTGCATGAGAAACTTCATTTTTGCATGACAGGTAAGAGGCTCTTTTCATCCTGCTCACGCATTACAAGTCCAAGAGTCATGTGAGACAAGCATCACAAATTTGCACTCTTCCAGACCCAGACATGTTTGCAATGCATACGGCCTCCGGGAGCGGCAAATACCCCCCTTTCGCGGAGGGGAGCAGGACCTTCTCCTTCACCAGCAGCATGAAGTTCTCGAAAAACCACCGGACCGCGAAGAAAAACCGGGCGGTCATATGGAGCACCTTCACTTCCGGGACCATTTGCTTCGACTCAAAGGTCTGGATGTCCGTTTTCCACTCGATCAGGGACTTTCCCATCCACGCCCAGCACCGCGCGGTCTGCAGCCCGTTCCAGAGGCACCGGAGCTGATTGCAGTAGGGGAGGGAGTATCCACTGCAAAATCAGCATCTTCGCACTCGTGGTTGTACTATTTTTGCACGACAATGACATCATCAAAGCCAACTCCTTACAGGAACGACATCAACGACCCAAGTGAGAATTACAATATTCCGTCTCTCCTTTTGAAAAAAATTGTCATGCAATTCATAGTAGAGTACGTCGCTACTTAAGTATTTTGCAATTCGTAGGGAGGTCTCCGCGGCGATCAGACTCAGACCGGGTCCTTCCCGAAAAAACCCGTCGAGAAAACGGGCGATAAACTGGACGAGTTTTCCGATCTTATCCCGGCCCTCCGCGTTTCCAAGAAACGCGCACATGCGGTCGATCTGCTTCCGGGTCTCGGTTATGAACTGCAAAAATATCAAACTGCTCGTAATCATGTTCTTTGCAATCATGCATGCATACATCTCTTTCTGAGCCAATTCAGCTTCAGAATCACAAGATCAATTTTTCATCATGCTGCGAAAATTTGTCATGCGAGTGGTGCTACGCCCGTGTACGATAATTTTGCGATGCATATCGGTGTCAGGGTCCAGCAGCCGGTCCGGGTGCAGCAACAGCTGCGGGTGCGCGAGAAGGTAGAGTGTGGCCATGATTTTTGGTTTCCGGTTTTTGTAAAAATTTTCCTGTGCACAACTTCTCAAACGGATTCTTGATGTAGAGGAAGAAACAGGGAAGTGGCGCCTTTCCTCTTGTCTTGGGGATAGTGACTACTACCCGTAAATTAAAACGTACCACGCGACCTCGCAACTACCCTCAACTACTTCTCAGCGATGATGACACATCACAAAAAACAACTATTTTCATGAGTGCCAGTCGAGTTGTGAGTGGAGGTCACTGTATAAGCTACTTGCATCATGAACAATAGCAGCAATGTTCAGACCCGGCTGTGTCATATTATCGGAGTATACGGCTCTTTGCTTTTGTCGTTGTACTTCAAAGGTCATATTAATGCCATGCCAATGGCCCACAACATGAGAGACTCAGGAAAACGAGGACAAGCGCACCCCACGTTTGACGCGGTAAAAAAAGGACACAGATCAACTACACTGAAGTCCCACCGTACGATGCGGCCCCAACAAGATTTCATCAGACTTTCCGAGAAAAAAGAAGAAACTAGACCCAAAACAGAACACGACTGTGACATGCACCTACAAGGATTTTTACGAAGAAAAGACATCACCCAAACCGATAGAAGAAATCTAACGTTCACGAATACCTTTCTTTCGTCGACAGGTGGAAAACGCCTTCAATCTGCTTTTCAAAGGTTTTTCGAGAGCACCGCCTTAAGGCTGCCCGCTCACTTCTATTCCAGGAGCAATGTGAAGATTCATCTTCTACCAACATTGCTTGGCGTTCTTTGGAAAAAAAAAATTAGGTCGCTTTGAAGGTTTTTGGGAAGACAATTATCGTGCTCCACGACAACAATTTCCGCTGGAAAATTATTCAAAGAAATCCATATGCGACAATAATTTCTGCTGGGAAAAATCATGTGGCGTAGTTCACGTTCCGATGCGTCGTCGATCAAGCGGCTGGCATAGGCATTGAATGCTACGATACAATTCTACATGCTTTTGCGCCTGCGTCGGAACCCCCGGAAGAAGAAGTAGAAGATGCTGCTATATTTTCACCGCATGGAATTTCTTTTCCACCTCTTTCAATTTCGCCAGCACGAACCCCTGCACGCCCTTGGAGCTGCCCTTCACAAACTCGTTCACTATTTGCCTGGTGCTCGAGTGCGATTTGTTGTCCACCTCCACGTTAACATCGTAGTCGCCGTCGCCGTCCGCCTCGAATTTGATCGTCCCGGACCCTGACTTATCGTCGGCGGTTGTGAACTTCCATTTCAGCGTAGTACAGATGTCGTGAATGTACTTGACTTTACCTGCAATTTTACGTGTTCTTCGTCCGAACGACTAACTTGACCCACACGAGAATACGTGACGGGACAAAAACTTTTCTGCAGCATGTACTCTCGTGCATGTGTGGAAAACTGAAGAAGAATTGCAAATACGGAAAAAAAAGATCCGTGGTCGATTTATTACCTCTGCTGCAGGCGATATTTGCGTCCCCAGAAATGCTGTCTACGTTCACCACGATGTCTGGCAGGTCGTTTGGCAGCTCGACCTCGGTGTCTTTCGGGAAAGCCTCGCGGACCTTCTCGTGAAACCACTTCGTGTAGTTTCGCTCTTCGAAGGTACCTAAAGTAAGTAGTAGTGCGTATCAGGAGCCAAATGCGTAATAAAAAATGGTCGTCGATGGTATCAGACTAAAGGATTTACGGAATCAGACTTATTCATGGAATCAGGCTAATGGAATCAGCTTTACCAATGGAATCAGACTAGTGGAATCAAACTAGTGCTCTGCTATCCAGTCCGTGCGCTGCTTGCGCCCACGCGCGGTCGGCTGCTGGGAAAACGCAGAGCCACGGAAAAACGGCCAACGTGCGTGCACATGCTAAACACCCACCCGACAAGCCCCACGCCCGCCATTTGCTCGGGCGTGTCTTCGTTCCCCCCCCCCACGCACCTCGACACCTTTCATACTGCCCTGCGCGAGTATGAGAAAGGGGAGGGTGGGCGCCTCCGATAGTCAAAGAATCTGGGCAGTGCGAGGCGCCGCCGCCCATGCCGGGAGGCGCTGCGCACAGGCGCACAAGGACCGGGAAGACAGCCTGCCTCGCCGCCGGCACGGCCCACCTCTATACGCCGGTGGTGCCAGGTCGCTAGCCTACGGGAGCCGCCGTGCTGCGACATACAGATGGCTGCGCCCTCGGGGAGGTGGCTTCCCCTAGGTCGGAGGGCGGCGCCTGGGGGAGCAGGGCAGTCCCAGCCGACACATCTGCGCCACTGCGGCCCCGACCACTTGCAATGCGAGTGGAGTCGCCCCACCCAAAAATCGAAGCACCGACGCACGGCGGGCCCCGGCCCGTGCGGCGATGTACCAACCTGAGCAACTTTCTAGGCGGCCCACCGAACGGGCGGGGGGGCCGCCTGGTCCGTCAGTCGGTTTGCAAGGCCGGGAGCGCAGCTCCAAAGCAGCCGGGGCGGGGCGCGGGGGGACAGACCAGGACAGGCAGGGCGGGATGGAGAGCATCGAATGCGGCGGCCGCGGCACATATATAGCGCCGCGCTTCTGCGCGTACAGAGCAATGCTGTGAGGCAGCGCCTATCATCCCCCTCGGCCTGTCTCGCCCGGGTTTCGCTAAGTAAAAACACGGAAAACGAGGCCGATTTTTAAAAATTTGCGAGAGTTCCCCCCTATTTTTCAACAAAAATCGCAAAAAGGAGCTGTCTTGCGGCTAAGTCCGGAAATTCGGCTCCCACAAAGCATCGCACTTTTGCGCGCTTTTTTGATGCAATCTAGAAGCAACGCAGCGAAGTAGGAGCACAGAGAAGCAATAGACCGAGGGAGCACAGTGGATAAACGTAGTTCTTCTAGTTTCTCTTTTCTATGGTTGGCGCTTATTTTTCCACCTTTAAGGTTTTTTCGGATTCTTCAGATTTCCATTTCACCTTGTCAACCGGGATCGCCAGTAGCAAACCCCTGGCGCGTGTTTTAAAGTGGTCGCGCATGAAGTGCGCTGAGGAGCGAACTGAAACAGCTAAGCAGACATACATACCCAACATGCAAACTAAGTCCCCAAGTAGAATCGCAACGCACAGCATTCAAGAACTGCGGGCGAAGTTGCGAGGAGACCAACGCGACCAGGTGGAGCTGCAAGACATGATGGACCAAAGCGATGCCTGCAGGGAGAGAGCGTCTCGAATGCATACGATAGAGAATGCGCGGCCACCACATTCGCCGACGTACTCAGAGTCCGCTTCTCCTGATTCTATCCATAAGCTTGATTCTAGTATCTTGATTCTATTCATTATTCTGATTCTACTAGACTGATTCCACTTGTAGTCTGATTCCATTAGTCTGATTCCGTTTACTAAGTCTGATTCCCTCTCTTACCATAAAAAATTGATGCAAGAAAGTACTAGGCATTCATACTGTAACTGCTTCCGAAAACGACGAATAGCAGAACGCTGCAACCAGTACGCGCATAAGTCGCGATGCAGACCACACCTCGCAAGAGCTACATTTATTTCTACCTGCCTGATTCCACGCGCTCCCCACTTTTTTCGAGCCATCTTCTGGTATCACGGCCTGTGCGGCTTCGATTTTCTGGGGCTTGCAATCCCCTATCAAAGCTTTCGCTTCTGCGGAAATTTCGGTGTGGAAGTAAGAGGTCGTCTTGCCGTCTGCGGTCTTTTTGTACCCTCGCATGTCGTTCTTCTCCTCCTTGCTCGAAGTTGTTGCACCGTTCCCCGCGTCCGATGCGGTTGTTTCTGCTTTCGTTTTTGACGTGGACGCGGAGGTGGCCGTGCTGCCGGCGCTCGGCGAAGAACCGGACTCGACGGCAGTCGTTGTAACTCCTTCGTCCGCCGTCTTCGCTTTCTTTGTCAGCGGAATCCTGGTTGGTTCCGGCTTGGGCAGGTCCGGACGGATTTCGTTGGCCTCGTATCAAAATGAAAAATCCCCCCTCCCCATATCAAAACGAAGTTTGTGGTGCTGGATTTGCGTACACAAATCAGATTTGTCTTGCTGGAGAGGACTGCAGGCCTATATCAAGCCTAAGTAGAGAGCTTTTGGCCTAGGCGTTTAGCATGGGAAACGTTTGCGCTGTAGGCCTAATAGCAACACAAACTGCCTGCATAATGCGGCGGAGCCTATGGAGTTGCCTTCTTGCAAGACAGAGATGATTTGTGGTCGCAAATCAGCATTGCAAATTTTCTGCGGGGTACCTTTTCGATATGGGGAGGGGGGATTTTTCCTCGCGATACCTCGGCATTGAACTTCTGTTTCTGCTCAAGATCCTTGTCCCACTCGGTTTCTGGGTATTGGATTTTTCATTTTTTTCGTCAGAGCGCTGAATAATTATCGAGATGAAAATTGCACGAATCTTGCTCAGGTAATGTCAAGGAACGCATGTTTGCTCCTGGTTGTTGCGTGTTCATCTGCACATAAGTACTTCCTTTCATTCGCCACTTAAACTTAGTACTTATCAAAAACAGGTAGCTCGTCCGCGCATCATCGAATAAATAATACGTATTTCCGTCTGCAGGGTCCTCAACTCCGCGTTGCCAGGGTGCTGCTCAATCCCCAGCTTGCAGGCGTCGATCGCCTCCCGGTACTTCGCATTTCGCATCAACCCCTGCGCTTTCCTAAAATGCGCCTTGATGAAGGTCGGATCGAGCTTTAGGCACTTGTCGCAATCTTTCACAGCGTCCTCGTTCTTCTTCAGGAGTAATCGCACTGCGGCACGATTGCTATACCTGTTAGCGTTGAGTGCGGTGTGCCTCTCGTTCAAGCAGATGAGCTGCGTATTCATACAAGAAGTAGAAAGAAGTTTGAAACAGATCACAACGCAAACGACTCGCATTTTATCATCACGATGATTGAGTATTAGATAATATACAGCAAGTGCTCCCCCGAGGTTGACACGGCAGTAGATCCTTCCGAGCCGGAAAATTCCACGCAATCGATCGCTTTAGAGTAGAGCATTTCCGCGTTTCGCAGGTCTTTTGCTTGGAAAGCCCCCTTGGCCCGGGTCTTCAGTTCCTCCAGCATGTTGACCCTTTTTTGGTCGTCATTCGGAATCTCCGACGAGAGAATATCGTCGTGGGGATTGTTGTTCATGTTGTCGTTTTCTTGTTTGTACTGATGCCGAAACAGTAGAAGGTAAAAAGGAAAAGCTGCACTCAAAATCAACGTGCAATTGGTGCCCGTGGCGCGGACAAAAAAGGATAAAAATCGGTAACAAAAAACGCGAGTTTTTTGTCACTACTCATAAAAATTGAGACGAATGGGGTCCTGCGTGTAATAAAAGTTTGATCAGAAAGAGAAACGAAAATGCACAAATGAAGTCAGTTGTCCTCCGTGATCGACGAAATAAAATTGGCCAGAAGATCGTCTTCCGGAAGTAGATAGAGGGGCTCATCTCAAAAGAACAAAGTGATCTTTCGACGAGCTTGACACCTCGAAGTATGCAGATCTTCAAAAAGTACCAGAACAGCACCTCACTGCTATCAGACTGCTGCCTACTCTCGAAGAGAACGCGCCGCACGGAGGTAGAGTACGCTCCGCAGTTGCGTCACGGATTTTTTTTCAAGAAACTTGCTCAAGAATTTGAATTTCTAGAAATCGCTGCAGTTCCCTGCTCTAATATGTACATTGCTGGCACACATGTCTTTTTCTCTTCTTCAAAACAGGAGCCCGTTGATGGCGTTTCGTTTCCAAAGGTTCATTTTTCCTCGCCGCGCTAGCGATTTTGGCGTTTCGGAAACTTTAGTCAACAAGTCAAAATGGTTGAAAATCGGAATAAAATAGGATTAATTTTGGTGCATCGTCGTACTAAAATGCGTCGGCTTTAACTCGATTTCGGATTTCTCGGTAAGATTTCTTGCCTCCTTCTTTTCTGGTTGATTTCTTTGCATGGGTATACAAGCAACGAAGCTCCTTCAGCTTCTCCTTTTCCATATAGTTGACTTGGGGTCGTACATTTTACACGCGTACATTTTGGCTTTTAGTTTTGTACATTTGATTTTGAGTACTAGAAAATTCATCTTCATTTCTCTTTTATCAGAATGACACCTCTCCTGATCCTGTTCCTGCCTAGCCCATCTGGTCTGGCATTAACCCTTTCGCCTCCAAGTCTAGTGGCGGCGGCATGGGTTCCCACGTCGCGTAGTGTTCGTCCAAAATGCCATTCTTTCTCTCCGGCGTCCCGGGCGTCGCGCCGTAGTTGCAAAGCAAGTCGACGATCTCACTGTACCCATATTCCAATGCGATCTTCAAAGGGGTCTTCCAGACGTGGCTGAAGTTTTTTGGTTTTGATTTCTCATGCTAATGCTCAATGACACGCGCCGAAATCGGTCATGTGGATACAGAACCTTACATCATACAGAGTGATAACCAAAATCAAAATGATCAAAAAACAAGCTAAAAGAAATATGATACGATCGAGCATCTGGATTTGAATTGCTCTTTAGCAGCAGTCCCACCATCGGGACGTCATTGTAGACCGTAGCCACGTGTAGCGCCGTGGTGTCGTCAAAGTCGCTTTGATTCAGGTCCACACCGAGAGCAATTAGTCTGGACAGGTTTATTTTTGGTTCGTCTTCGTTGGAAATTTTGATGTCAAGAAGAACATGTAGCGCACAGGCATACCGCATACGACAAACCCTCTATAAACGAAACACAATTAAATCTCTACTTTTGCACGCTCGGCAGATGTCCGTGCCGGGCGCACCACAGCAGTGCTGTTTGGCCTCGTTCTAGATCCTGACAACCGAGATCGCCCGGGATGGTGCCAGGGTCCTTGTCAACTTTGTCGAATAGAAAATCGAAGATGCCCCAACAGCCCTCCTGGCAGGCGATCATCAACGGCGTTTCGTTTAAATCGTTCTTCTGATCGACGTCCGCGTGGTACTCGATCAGTTTTGCGCACACCGGCTGTAGCTCGTAATAGATGGACCAGTGCAAGAGGGAAGAATTTATCGCTGTTTGTGTTTATTGTGTTTATTTCATGATTGGAAAATCATACAAGGAAACTAGCTTTGTTTTGCTCGCGCTCCAAGCGGCATTCAAGAATTCTATCATCAAGGAAGTTGTACAGTCTCGCGCCGAGCAGTCCACGCGGCCTTCCATGAAAAGCTGGACCGCCAAATCGACCTCGCCGGACAGAAACGCCACGAGCATCCTCCTGCCGCGAACCTGATATAGTAACGCGATAAAAAAGTTCCAGTATCGCAAACTTTTTTCAAACTTCTCATGCGAATTTTTCTATGTCAATTGATGTTCTTGTCATGCACTATGCCGGTGGCATCAACTTCAACCCTTCAAAAATCCCTACATTACAAGTACCTCCATGACGTCCCACGGTTCCTCCCTGGAGCCCAGTGTTCTCCAGAACTCCAAATCGTCCCTTTTCAACGGATCCTCTGGCGGTTTTTTTGCGCGTTTCTTCAAGAAGTACCCAAATCCCGGCACGTTCGATATCCTGTGCTCCGGCAACTTGCCCCCGCTAGAGCTCGATGCGGACGGGTTTTGCTGCTGCACCATCGCCATGGCGCGCTTCTCCTCCTCTTCCTTCTTGTTCGCAGCGTGGTGGCTGGAAGAAAACTGCTGCGGTTGCTCGATTTCCTCGTGGAATTTGTCACCTAGGAGCGGTTTTATCTTATTTATGCTTTTTGTTTTTGCGGTGAATTTTTGCGCATGACAAGAACTCATCGCTACACTGGATCATGCCTCCGCATGACAAAATGAAACTGCCCTAGGTAGAATTCTCCTACCGAGGATCTCCCTGCAGTATTCCAGGCACGGGAGCTTTTCGGGATCGGGCCATAACTCTCGTATCCGAAGATGACCACCGTCGAAGTCTGCTAGTCGTCGGATTTGGAAGACCTGTTTTTGCATCACAAACACCATATACGATTCTGGTTCCTGCGTGATCCGAATAAACTTCACAAAGAAGGTGTGTCATCGTAAGTGCGACTTGCGGCACAGTTTCAAGTAGAATAAAAAGCAGGAAGATTGGTAGGTACTATACTATTTCAAAGCTGCTCCCGTGCTCCTCGAGCAATTTGTCCAGGTGCGCGCAGTCGTGTATTGCCACCACGTCTGGGTCCATGCTCCCGCCAAAACAGAGCACATACTTCCCGGTTTTGTCGATGTTCTTCTGGATCCAGTGCAGAAAATCCAACCCGTCGCGGACCCGTGCTCGCACCTGGTACCGCGGTGGCAAGGCAGACACCTCTACACGCACGTTGTACATGATGACGGCCGGTGGTACGACCGAAGGATTTCCTTCCTGTGGCACTTCTTCTCTCGGTGGAGAAGAGTCCGCGTTCGGCTACTGAGTTGTAATGCAGCGAGATTCCACTGCGCCGTTCATTCTGATTTCGTGTTTCAGCGCTTGAGGGAGGAGCTCGCAAGCCTAGCTAAACCTCGTCTCGCTGAGGCTCTGCCATCGAAATAAGGGACGTGCGCGTCGCAAGTAATGAGACATGCTTCCAAGCTGGTGGTGCGCGTCACGAGTCCTCCCTTCCGCTCCTCCTCATCTCGCGTCGTCTCGGATGTACGAACAAGAACGATTGCAGGAAACAATTGACCAAACGACTTGCAAAACGAAAAATTGGCGACAAATGCGATTGGCGATTGCGGAAGAAGCGATCATCGAGACAGTGCGTGGCAAGAACAAGAGCATAGAAGTTCACGACGCAAACAAAGCGAAACATTCCAACTATCTAAGAGCGCGTGGTTATTTACAGCTGCCCCGGGGAAGTCAAATTTTAGTCGCTTATTGCAAAACAGAGCTGTAGTTCATCGTTGTCCTCGATATACAACTTGCAAAAGTGTAGTTTTTGGCATCACTGCCATCCCCAAGTTCACTCTTCGCGATGCGCAACTTATTTCTATTTGGCACAATGATTTGTGTGCCGTGACAAATCAGCAAAATCTTGTTGAAAAAAAGTAGTGAAAAATAATGCGGCGCTGTACCGCAAGCCGCCAATTAGTTCTATTTCTGTTGATCCTAAATTGATAGACTATCCGGATTCTGAATCAAAATGAGTCAAGTCGGCCAAAAAAAACGTACAAACAAATAAACCAAAACACGTGAAAAAGTTACTCGCATTTGCGCTAAATGTAAGCGAAGTAATCACAATCAACTGGTCAGATCCTCCTACGCTGTCTGATACTACAATGAGTTCCTGCTCGAGTAAGCAACTCGTTGCCGAAGCTGCTGTATCGGAACAAATACAAAAGCAAAACTAAAATCAATACATAGCGTTGAAAAAAATCTACTTCCCTGAGAAACGGGAACCCGTTGTACTTGTTCTCAGATCAATTGATAAAACAGCGCCCGCGTATCCGGCGGCGTGTACTCTGCCGCCAGTGCGTGGCGCACGCGTTCCTGCGAAACAGTAAAAACTTTCTCGATCAAAGTCATCGGAGTAGATGATCCAAGTTGCTGCTGCTCTGCTGGTTCCACATTGCAGCTATCGACGGCAGGAGCTGACATTCCTGATGCTGTACCAGCACCACAAGAACTACCGGAGGTCGCAGAACTATTATTGTTCTCCTCCTCCTGCTCTAGAATGCCGTGCAGGTTATCAAACAGCGTGATCAGATGCCTGCAATCATACGCGGCGTAGATTAACAGCGTGCTCATGATTGGCCGTTCCGCAAACTTCTCAAACTGCCCTCCCTTTGCGGGATCAAAGATGCTCTTCCCCTTGTCTGCGATCGTTTGGGAGAAGAGAAGTTCGGCCTCCGGGTTTTTCATGCGCTGTGTGGGAGGCACCGGAAGACTGAAGGAAAACTTCGGGCGAGTACTAGCTGATCCAGTTGTGGCTTTGCTGTTTTCCGGTGGCGTGGCTGGGTTCCTGTTTGCTAGTGAAGATGAATCCTTTTCGGCTATCATCGTCATCTTTCGCTCGTCCCCAATAAGACCTCCTCCTGTAGTCCCATGATTTTTCCCGCTGTCGCCGTTGTTCTCCGCTCCAACCAAATTGGGATTGTTATGGTTCGCAGTCGTGTAATTTTGGTTGCTGCGATAGTTATGGTTTTCATTTTCTTTCCCGCTGAGATGATTATCTCGGTTGCCACAACCTATACTTCCGGTAGAAGTCGTTCCCCCGCCGGCCCCCACATGGTTATTGCCATGATTGTTGTTACCTTTGTTGAACACATATTGCGCCACCGCCTTGGTCAAGCCGATCACAAACTTGACACTAAAGCCCCTCGTCTTCCTCAGAGCTGCGTCCGCGACCTGCAAATCAAAAATGTTCTTTGGGAGAATCCCAAACTGCGCCCAAAGCGCGTCCGTGTCGTTTCGGCAGTCGAACCAGGACTTGATGACTTTGTCGCTCTCGATATCCCACGAAAAAAGTGCTACAGTTACACATTTGTAGTGAATTCAGCAACACAAATTTCTCTGCATGAGATAATGCAGAAATCCTCCGGGAAAAGAACACCTATGAAACGAGGCTCCTACGCATATCCGGCATGACAGAGCTTGTCTGTCTTGCTTGGCCTGCAACACAATGTGTAACTGTAACTACACTTTTTTCTTGCGATACTCGAGGACCTGTTTCAGGCTGAAAGAACCACTTTCGGAGGAGACGATTTGTTGTGGTCCTCCGGGATGATCTTCAACGTGACTGTTTTCGTCAGCTTGTTGTACAAGAATGTGGTGCCCAATCATCGGCTCATCTCCCCCGGAAGCTTCATGATCTCCAACAGGAGCCACTGCGTTTTGGTTTTTTGCGCTAAGAGCGGATGCAGTTGGCCGTGCAGTCTTTAAATCCAGCGTAAAGGCCTTCTTCCCCAACTTAAAAATGTCAAGGACGAAAACACGCTTCGGATCTTTGTCCAGCACAATCTGCACGAGGCAAAGCTGGCCGTCCCGACAGAGCTTCACCTGACAAGAAATTAAGGTCAATTTACTATTGAAGATGTTACCCATCTTCATCTCTTCAGATTCAACAACCTTTCACTCACCAGGAATTGTCTGCGTCTGAACCTGAAGTGGTGGTGGTGCAAGAACAGCATATTAACCATGCAGCAAGTGAAACATCAACTGCAGGCCGCGCAAAACAAGTTCCTCAGACGAGATGATGAAAAAATGACGGCACTTCCAAAAACCTAGTAGGTACCCCTTCAAAATCCACCCCGATCAGTCTGCAATCCGCTCGTTGCAAGTGCTCCAGAAACTCTAGCAGATGCGCGTATGTCTCTACTAGCTCGATCTGGAAGTCCGAATCCTGGAAGTTCTTCTCCTTCGCAGAGAAGTGGGCATTCGAGCTCGCGCTCTCGATGTCGACGGAGAGGTAACTGAAGTAGCGCAGCGCAATCTTGGTCTGAATCAACTTCATCTTCTCTCCCTTCTGCGCCGCGAGCGCCGCCGCGTGGCTAGCGGCCTTTTTGCTTCTGGTACTCTGGTGCGTAAGACTAGCGTCGCTTGATAATGGTGTTATCCCACGAAAAAACTGTTTCACTGTGGTGCTTTTGCAAAATCTGCATCACAAGTTTGTTACGCATGACAATGAAAATCTGTCATGCGGGGTTCCTAAGGGAAAACACAGCTAGAAATCCATTGTCTTGCGTGTGTAGCATGATACACACTTCTGCGATCCATTTTCTGCATCACAAGTTCACAGCGAAACAGCTTTTTCTTGCGATAGGTGTTGCAGTTCCTTTGATCTGCGAGAAAAGCATCTTCAGCGCTTCCTTGTACGTTTCCAGCGCCGCTCGCCCCACCTTTGCCGCGAGGTGGTGGAACAGGCGGGCGAGTGTGAGGAGGGGGCAGCAGGTCGAAGCTCGTGCAGCTGTAGGGGACATCAACGTGGAGGTCTTCACGCGGTTTTCTTGCGGTAATAAATCTTGTTGAGACTGCGCCGTTGACCGACACACTGAAGATCCCTCCTGCGACGACGAGATTGAAGCTGCTGCAGCTGCAGCAAAGGTAGGCTGTACTGCTGCGAACGTTGAACCGTTAAGTTGTTGGTCGTGGTTTGCGAGGACGACCGCTGCCACTTCCCTCAGCAATGTTTTTGACCTCCCGCAACCGGATACCAGGTTAGATGTTGGTAAACGTGGTCCCTCCGAAAGGGTCACTGTCAGATCCCGCTCGTCCAACTGGAGCACAATATCCTCCCGAAAGCAGTCCACCCATCTGCTCTCCGGATGGTCGCGCAGAAACAAGTATCCTGAGCAAAAACGTCCCCACGAGGAACCCGAAATTATCACGCTGATTTTTGGATCATCTGCAGGAAAATCTGTCGTGCCGCGTAGTAACCCCATGAGAGGCATTGCTAGTCAAGTTTTGGCATTTGTAAAAATGCTGTAGACGCCGGGATAAGCAAGAAATGGCTTATTTGATATGATGCGGCTGTCCTACTTCCTAGCCTCCGCTACACTAGAGACGAAAACTTCGCATGCGTCGTGACTCTCAACCTCCTTCTAGATTTCTCTCGGAGGTTTGCCATTTTGACTATGTCCTGGGGCCGTAGTAGTTTTTGCAAAGGATAAAACGTCGATCGGGCGCACGAGAAACTCGGACAAGACTTCGGCGAAACACTCCTTCAAAGACGCGTGCAGGTAGAGCTGCGCGGTGCTAGTGCCGCTCGATGTTGATGTCGTGGTGGAAGTAGCAGCATTGTCGCCCTGTGCTGATTATCAAATGTAAAAATGTCTGGGTCTGGCAGAGTCATGCTGTTTCTGCATGACACAGAAGGTCTGGCATGGAAGCTCTAGCGTCACAGGTTTCGAGAAGCTTCCGCAATGCCGTATCCGCATGACAAATCCCCCATTTTGGTGACAGAAAGTGAGCAGCTTTTGCTGCCTATGCATCAGAGATTTTTGTGTTCTGAAATGCGCATCACAAGTTACATCCTTCCAGACCCAGACATTTTTACACTTGATACTGATGAGACCTGATGCTGCTGGCAACACTCCAGATCTCCCAACAGCAGCTCAAACTCTTCGCTTTGCCACCGGTCTGCGACTTTGGAGCAAAACCAGTCCAAAACTTCCCGGTTAGGATTTTTACAATCATTCTGCAGCTGATCTGAGGCTGGCTCTTCCACTTGCGGCCCGGTTGGAGCTTTGCCCGGACTGGTTCGGTCTACTGTGGAGGTCCGGGCGCCTGTTGTACTAGCAGTTTCACCAGTAGACGTGGAACCTCCAGCAGTACTGCCACCACTCCCCGTCGCGATGTTGAAGCTGGGGAAAAGCAAAGGCTGCAACACCGTCTGTGCGTGTTTCTCGAGCATGCTGGTCAGCGCGTCATTCTTTGCGGAAGTTTGGTCTTGCGAGTTGTGCGACGTCGTCGACCCCATCAGCTCCAGTTTGTACGCAAGCAGAAACTGGCACTCGTGTGCAATCGCGCTGTCGTTTGGAGGTTTATTACCGCAAGTCGAAGTTGATGCTGGTGCCCGGCGGGGCCCCCCGGCGACCGTCGTACCACTACCCAAAATCGCGTGCTGCTGTCCTCCTGCTCCTCTGTTACCAGCTCTTCGCTTGCTGGTACTGCTGGAGCAGCTGGGCGACGTTCCCACGAGCGGATAAGTGTTGGCTGTCGTCGACGCCCCGTGCTGCTGTTGGGCGGTACCAGCAGCAGTAGAAGTTGTTATCGCATCTAAAAGCGGGGCAGTAGGAATGCAAGCGGAAGCGGACAACGAACCCGGTAGATGAAACGCGTGGGGTCGTCCAGCCGTAGTCCCTGTGGTTAACATTTCCACCCCGGAGGGTGGTGCTGGTGTCATCGACGCAGGAAGGACTTGGGGAACGAAACACCCTTGTGAAGATCTAGTTGCACAACTGCTCTCCGCACCTTGCAACAAATTGCGGTGGAAAAAATTATTTCCTGCACTTCCGGGAATGAAATCGCAATTATACTCACCGTTCTGTTCATCAACATAATTCAACAAGCCGGCATTTCCGTGGTCGGTAATTGTTCCCGTGCCGCCTCCCATCTGTAGTTGGCGACCTTGTTCCTGCTGATGCACAGACACTTGATGGGCTTGTTGCTGCAGTGCGGAGAGGATCGCGTCTAACACTGGAGTTCCGGACATGTAAAAGCTCTCGGCATTCGCGTTCAGCGAAGAGGTAGTTGTTCCTGAAGAAGACGATCCAGGTGCACCGGCTGCATCGCTTGCTGCGCGACCCTCAGGGAAAAAGCGCTGCTGAAGGGGAGATGATGATGAGTTGTTCTGAAGATTATTCCCTGCCATTCCTGTAGATGCAACCATGTTGCAGCTCGCGGGTGCACCAAAGGTAGTAGAACTTGTTGCTTGTTGTTTTCTACTACTGCCCGAAGCTGCTGCTGCATGGCTCGTCCCATTCGGTGTACGATTGATGCTGTTCCGCTGCATAGGCTGCTGCGACTGTTGCCCCCCGTTGTAGTTCCCTCCACCTATTAAGAGCGACGTGTCTCCAGCACAGGTGGAGCTCGCGCTCGGACTCAGTGTGGTGCTTCGGTTCAAACTGTTCGTTCTGTCTCCGGCCGCCATCGGCGTCGAAATGGTCGTTGGCGCTGGGTTGTTGATGATGCTACTATTCATCTGCGCCCCGGAGTGAAAGCTGCTCTGTTCCTGTCCCAGCTGCTGGCGCGCGTCGTCCCGAAGTAGAGGGTCCCAGGGGTCTCCTGCGAAGGAACAAGAACTGAGGTGCTTCTGAAGCTGCGCGTGGTGCAGCAGCTTCTGCGGCCGCAGCTCCTGCGCGGCTTCACAGGTCTCGTTCATTCCGGGTCCCATCAAAAACTCCTGGGCCTGCTGCTCGTCCATCTGCTTTTCGTTTATAATTTTCTCTTCCGCATTGTACTTTTGGTTCTGCTCACGGGGTTCTTTCCTCTTGCTTGGGGTCTGCTTGAAACCGGCCCCTGTTGCTGCACCCCCGGCTGACATTGGTTCTCCTGATGATGACGAAGCGGCGGTGGAAGCAGCGTGGTGGGATTGACGTTGACGCTGAGGAGCCCCTGTAGTTGTACTAGAACTGTTCGCATGAGTGTCCATCCGTTGATGCTGGTGTTGGTGCTGCTGCTTGTGTACTAGTTGTTCTTGTTGCCCTTGCCCGTTAGAACTACTATTTCGGTTGTTCTGAAGGTGTCCGGCTCCACCTCCACCGCCGCCCGCGGAGAAACTATTGTAGGGAAACGTTTGGCTGCTCTGCAGGATACAAGAAGAACTATTGAGCGAGTTTTGATGGTTAAGATTCACCATATTCTGCTGCTGATGTCGCGACGCATCGCGCTGCGACGACCGTGTTGCACTACTATTGTCGGGGGTGGTGGATGAGGAGAAATTATTGCTTCCGCCCTTCTGATGCTGCTGCTGCTCTTGTCGTTGGCGCTGCTGAGCCGAACAACTATTTACCGCTGCCATTATCGAAGCAGCGGCGGCGCCGGCGAGGTGGGGCGGCAAATTCTGCGCCGCCGCCACTAGCTGCTGCTGGAGCTGGTGTTTCTGCTGCTGCAACTGGTGCTGGTGCTGCAGTTGGTGCCGCTGCTGTGCAGACAGCGGACGCGGCTTGGGAGGGGTCGGCAGGCGCTTGTTCTGCTGGTCGCCAGCACCGGTTGTGCTGCTTGTATCGTTGGAAACAGTGCCATTGGTGGCGGAAACACGCGGCCCATGCGGAGGGGTCCTTGTTACTACCGGCGGGCCGCTGGTAGTACCTGTCGCAAGAATCGTGGCACAACCAGTTGCTGATGCTGGTATCGCAGTGGAAGTTCCACCACCATTATTGCCTTGCGCAGCGCCGGCCGGCGGTGGGTGCGGATGACCGTATTGTTGCTTCTGCTGCAGAAGCGGAGCTCCACCTAGGTTTCCGGCGGCTCCAGCGTTGTTGCCGCTTCCAGAAGTAGAAGTACTACCATCTACTATATTTCCGTTGTGAAAAAAAGCACTACTGTTGTTCTGGTAGTGATTTTTACTTTGCCTCGATCTACCGCTGTTATTTCCACCGCCCGCGTTATTTTTCACACTACTTCCGCCAGAAGAGGTGGCACTACACGAACCGTTGTTCCCTGCGTAGTTACTACTGTGCGTCGTTACAAGTGGCTGCGGTGGGGGTGGCACCCGATTGACCTGGTGGGCAGATGAAACAGCTCCACTCGCATTTGTCCTTGCCTGGTGCTGCCCCTGTTGAAACAACTGATTGAAAGTTGATTGTTGCAGGTCTTGCGATGTCCGTCGCTGGTGGTGCTGCTGGTTGTTTCCATAAGCCTCCTGCTGGTGCTGAACAAACGAAGTGGTCTCCTTCTGCGCGGTGACGACCCCATTGTGGCCACCACGTGGAGCAGGAACAGGATGTTGCGGCGGGGGAACAGCACCACCACCGCCGCCACCGCCCTTTCCCTTACTAGCCGCCAGCGAATTCGCCGCCAGGGTCGTCGTCACCCAGTTGGCTCCGGCCCGGGCCCATTTCAGCCTTTCCTGGACCTCAAACTTGGCCAACGTTTCTTCCCAAGCCGTCTGCAGCACGATCGGGTCTGCGCACCGCAAAGCCGCCTGCGTCAGAATCTGGTGGACCATCGCGCCCCGCTCGCGGTCCTGAGAAGATTTTTTTTCTAAGTACGCATTTCTTGTTGAGCACGCTTCGAGGTCCTGGCGTCTTCTGGTGTCATGCTGAACGCATGCTCCAGCTCATGCAAATTATGCACATGAGAATGAATCAAACAGATGTTGAGGAGAGTTTCATATTTTCTAAATACATCCATAGCCGGACAGACTTTGTTCGCGTCCTGCAGCATTTTGGTAAGCACCAAGGCGACCTCCTGTTTTTGCTTCGTCATGTGAAAATGGATCTGATGCTGCTGCTGCTGGAGAGTATGCATTGCAAAAGTAGTGTGCCAGCGGACCAGTAGTAACTGCGTCACAAATTTCCTCAGAAGGAAAAATGCAATTGGTCAACATGCTGAATCAAGCATAGAGAAAAGGTGCACTATAAAGCGAGACTGCAGTGAGCACGACGATGATACTTTTGCATCGAGGATAGAGCGTGACGAGCTGCAAAAGTTGCTGGTGCAACGGCTGCGCACCTCCACCGGCCATCGTGGTCCCGCCAACATGCTGCTGCGTAGCCAAATGTTGCTGCAGTTGCTGGTGGTGATGTTGATGTGTTACACCTGGAAGCAAAAAATTCGCCGGCGCGCCGTTGTGGACAAGATCGGTAGTTGCAGCTAGGTGCTGTGCAGCGGCTCCACCAGCCCCGCCAAGCAGCCCGCCAGCGGCTGCGCCCAGCGCACCGCCGAGAAAGGTCTGCTGGTGGTGGTGGTGGTGCAGCTGTTGCTGGGATTGATGACTTCCTGGAAATAGTAAATGATGCCCACCCGCTCCTGCTCCGCCACCACCCGCGGCCATGGCCGCCGATATGGTGTGCAAATTGTGCGGCACGAAGCTCCCTACCCCACCGGGAAGAAACGAGCCTTGGTGCTGCGTAGAAGAGGACGAGCCTCTACTTGTACTTGCCACGGCCGCTAGCGTAGCCTGCTGGTACATTTGCGCCGCAAAGTGCGCGGCAGCCGTGGCGTTCGTAGCCGTGGCGTGCTGGCCGAAAGCCGCCACAGTGTGCGCGGACGTCGCCGCGGGTGGATGAAACAAATGCTGACCACCGCCACCCGCTCCGGCTGAAGCGTAGTTGGACGTATTCGCATTCGTGCGCGCGGCTAGGGGAGCAGCAGGAGAGGCGCTATGGTTCTTACTGGGCCCAGCGATGTTGGACGCGTTTGCTCCAGTGGTCGCAGCGGCCACGCCCGGCGGTCCGGGAGCAGTTGGGAGCTGCATGGTCGTGAGATCAGATCAATGTCATTCTTTCTTTTCGACGTAATCCATGATGTTGCCTCAGATCATTACACAGCCATAACCAGTAAATACAACCTTTTATTTGTTAAGAGCGTTATTGGTTTCAGTACGTAAGCACTATCCTCTCAGGAGATAAAACTTGACGCACAACATCAACCATGCTGGTTGTGACAACTCACCATCTCTCAAATGATGTTTGTTGATCGTGTCAGCCACACTCTGCCCGCTCGCTCTTCTCGCGGCCTACTCAACTGCCCACCATCTCCCAATTCACAAAAGAACATGAACAACGAAGACGGAGAAGCAACAAAAAGAAAAACCCAGAGACAGTATTTATGCAGTTCAGGAAAAAAATATTTTCGCAAGAAAACGCAACCGCCCTGAAAATGCGTTCAAATTCAAAATGCAGTCACCTCCCGTTCGAACGAGACGAAACATTAACTTGCATTTTCTTGAAAGAACCGCACCGAAACTTCTTGCTTGCAAATTTTATGCAGCTCACGACTGGTTCCCTGTGTAGTAGCTTTCCCACGGTTGTGCTTGTTGCGCGTTTTGGTTCTGCATCCCGCTGCTTGTCCCCATCAGCAGCCTATCACGACTGTAGCTGCTGTGCCCGTGCAGGTGGTGTGTATCGCTACTCAAAAGAAGTCTGTCACGACTCTTGCCAGAAGAAACAGCCTCATTACCGCTAGTTGATGTACTACTCGAAGACAGGAGTTTGTCTCGCCCGAAGCTTTGCCCTTGCGCAGCAGAGCTATTCATACTGCTGCTCAAAAGCGCCTTGTCCACCTGACTTCTCATCTTATTCTTGTTGTACCTGCGGCCGAAGGAGAATTGGTTTTTACCCTTTTTGGTACCAGTACCCTTAAAACTAGACGTGGAAGACCCGCTCGACAAAAGGGCACTACTTTCGTTGCCGTACTCCTCGTTCGAAGTCGTACTACTTTCCGCACTCAGTGCAGGTCCGCGGTGAGCAGGATCCGCGACCGGAACACCGATCGGTGAGTAAAACTGCAATCCTGCGCAAAAGTCCCGTACTTGCGTATGTACGATCAACACATCCGGGGTAAGAAATTTCGATAGAAAACGACCCATTCGATAGAATGTCAAAAAATTCATCATCTCCGGTTGACATCTTTTCGGATTTTGCCATCAACAGTGATTTTTGTCGAGCGATGCAAAACACACAAACAAGGCTTGTCATACTGTGCCAAAAAAAATGTCATGCAAATCGTGCCCTACGACTATCTACGAGCAGAACGAGACTTTTGCAATGCGTAGAGTGCTGTCGACGGTGAAGTTGCTATCTCGATCTCCCAATTGCGAACTTTCTACAGAGGTCCGAGTCGTGGCGGCCGATGTGAGCGCAGATGTCACGCCGGAGGGCATTGGGATCGTCATCCTTTGATCATACGAGAGCCAGCGCTGTGCACCGCCTTTGGCGCCCGGGGGTGGGCCCGACACCGTGGAAGGGGCCGCACGGTTCCTTGGGTTTAGGCTTTGATTCGCTCCGCCTTGGTCCATTATAACGACCCGTGGTATTTCACCTATGCATCGCAAACATGTCTGCGTCGGGAAGAGTTGAGTTCCAACTCGTGATGCACCCTCTGGACGATCATGTCTAAATTTGTAAGTTGCAACATGAGCGCCAACAGCTGCCCACTTCTTCCTACGCAAATAGAAAGTTTTCACTGCTGAATGGGCGGCGAGAAGCCTGCGCAAAACCCATAATGCTTTTGCGCACAGCAGAGCTGGAGCTAGAGACCATCTTCGTGAACATGATCCAAAAGATGCATGACAAAAAAGTACACTCTTCCTCCAGACCCCGACTACATCTTTGCATTTTATATCACCTCCGGCTGCAAAAACATTGTCGTATCCAGCACGACTCTCCTCGTTTACACGGATAGTTCTTTTCGACACCTGTTTTCCGATTCGGTTGACTTGCAACTCCTCCTTCTCCGCCTCTGGCGGGTAGAAGCAGAGACACTGCTTTCCGCACCCATACACTGTGACCGCGATTGTCGCGCTCCCGGCCATCATCAAGAGCCCAAGGATCAAAAGCAGGATGAGCCAGAAGCCACACCCCCCGCCACCCCCCACGGCTAATGCAGCCGCCAGCATAGCGGACAACTGCGAGTAACACAGTGGGGATTTTGCATACTTGATGTCCTCATGTGGTTCTACTTCCGATAATATTCTTACATTCTCGCCACCTACCTTTTTTATTTCCGGAGTACGAGGTGCTACCAAATCTCAGAGTGGCAATGGTTCGTTCTGGGGTAGAAACAATAACACGCAACAGCTCGTCAACCAAGCGAGGAGCGGCCTGGGAATGATTGTTATTCAGGTTGGAATGCCATCAAATTTCTTGCAACAATCCAGAAGATTAGAATTTTGTAATCGCCTCTTCATTCATCACACGGATCAACGATGACGAGAAAAAAAGTTTGAACGAGCACAAAGTGGTCTTCTACGCAACTACCTATCACCTAGTTGACAGCGACGCACGTCGAGGACGAAGCGACGTTAGCACAAATTTTTACACCTGATGTCACGAGTCGAGAGACGCGTTGGTCAGAGACTACGCATGTTTGTTGACTTTGATGTACGAATCGCGAAAAGAAAAAATTCGCCTGTCAAGTACGAGTAGTGCGCAGCTGGTCAGCCTGGTACGACAACGAGGCATGTGTCTGTGGGACGATGATGTGTTGAGGATTAGAGTTTATCACATGTAGAAGTTTTTGCCATCTACCTCGAACAAACACAGCCTTTCTTTTGGCTCCTGTACCATGAAGATCTCAGAACCAGACATTGGAAATGGAGCCAAAAATTTAAGCAGCAGAAAAATGAAATGAATTGTACGAATGTTTTAAGGTACGTGTAGAAGTTTCAAATCAAGCAATAAGTAGACCACATGCATTTTTAAAGCGGACTATTCATACGACCAGCTAGAAGAACCACTACAGTCAGCACGACGATCTGAATAGCAGACAAGTATCTTTACGTCGGCGAGCAGAATTTGAAGCGGCAAGACGAGTACGCCTTTTTCGTCTTCGGCAACCAGCATCAAATCTGGATACAACTGTCTATCTTTTTCTCATCTCCCTTCTTTGTCGGCGTTGTTCATACCGCGTGCCTTGGCCGTGCTTGACGTCTTGCTGTGTAGTCTCATGCTCCGAGGGGCTGCGACTAGGGTCCTTTCGCGAGACACTTTGACCACCGCTCCTCGTCGTGCTGTGTGATTGTCTTTTAGAAGTACTATGTCCTCCCGCTTTATTGTTCAACGTGTACTTATTGAACGAACCGGAGGTATTTACCCCGGACCCCGCATGGGACCCGCTGTTGCTGTGGTCGCTACTGTTGTGACTGGAGTTAGCGCCGCTGTTGTGACTGGAGTTAGCGCCGCTGGCATTCATACTCTTGCTCTCTCTGTTAGCGCTGGCATTCATACTCTTGCTCACTTTCGAAGTCCCCTTGTTCTTTCCGCGCCGCTTGCTCAGACTCGAATTGGCTTCCGCGCTAATGTGGCTGTCGTCGCCGTCGTCATTATACGGCTTTATCTTGGCCCCGCGCGCGCCCGACTTCTTGTGACTTTTTGCGGCGCTGCTAACGTCCTGTTGTTCCTTCGTCTGCGAGGACGTGGTGGGGCTCAGGTTGTAGAAGCCGGAGGGCCGGTTCGGTTTGTCGCTATCCGAACTCGCTGGTGACTCCGAGGAAATTACTGGGTCGTTGCCGGCGCTGAGCGGCGTCCCGAAGTGCGACTCCCGAAATTTCGTCTTGGACGACCGGGGGGAACTACCCCCTACAGTGTTCGACGACCCTTCCGATGGTCTGTAGCTTCCGTGATGAAGGTCGTGCGTCCGCAGTCCACTGTTCGCTCCGCTGTCCTCAGCCTCAGTGTAATCGTCGATAGACGCTAGATCTTCCGGGTTGCGGCCACACCAGGACCGCAAGCCGCACACCTCCTTGCCGCACCAGCAAACCAGGACGCAAACGGTTACGCCGGCGATGAGCAGGACGAGAATGCAGACCAGGATCACGATGCATATCGCCCCGCAATCCTCGCTGCCGCCGATCATGCAGCCTGGTGGCTGGTTAATGTTGCTGCTTGATGACGTGCGGCCGCCTCCTCCTCCTGCTGGACCCGGCTCGCCGCCGTCGGCGTCGGACGCTATCGAGGAGAAAATGAGTCGAAACCATGTGGTCCAACGATCGGTCGTCTTGTACCATAGTACTAAAAAGTAAAGATAGCATAGTTTCCTGGCGGCCTCGCTCCTGCAAAGGCCAAGTTCGTGAAAAACACAACATTGAAGTAAGCATCTGGAATGTGAGCTCGCGAAGAACGCCATGAGCTACCTAGTCATCCCCATCAAGAACCCTAGGCAGTTCCTCAGGGAGGACAAGCCGCAACACGTATGTATCACGCATAGAAATCGATGCAATATTACAAAATCTTTGCCAATAAACTACTTAACTGCGTTTGGTTTTTATCATGCTATGATGAGACAACAGTCGGCATGGTTCCTCATTTTCCAACGGATACTCGGTGTCAGGGAAGCGGCGTGCTCGGGCAAGGCACCACCGGCGCCACCCTCACCAACTGGTGGGGCTGCGAACTGTAGAATCTCCCCCGAAGAGGCATGATGTACCGGTTCTTGACTGAACGCTCCCGCGTACGAAGTATCATGACGAAAAACGCCCCCACCTCCCCAGAACTTCCACTTTGAAGCGTTTGCACTGCAATAAAGGCTTGTTCCCGACGAGGGAAACTAATACACTCTCCATCGTGCATACGCCAGCAACAGACGTGCTTCATACAGTAGAACCTCCAGTTTCAATACAAGCTTTGCAGTATCAAGTAGAACTATTTGAAAGCAGCTCTGGGGGCCGCGGGGCGCTGTTGTCTTTGATACTCCGCTCCCATCGATGCCGGCAGTATAGAGTGTGCCCCCTTGGCAGGTTCTCCTGGAGCACTGCCGATCTTGCCACTGCTGTGCGGCTCCTCTTTTTTGTCGAGCATTTTCGCGACCTGCTCTTCACTGCGATTCGTAATTTTTTTCTCTGGAAGCCGTGTTCCACTCATATTCGCCTCGCTCATTTTTACACGCCCTTTTACTGTCTTCCCGAAGACGCGATTTTTTTCCCTCGATGAAGAAGCGGCTTTATTCGAGGTCTTCAACTTGACCTGGAGTGCATGTGCAGGCTGTATTAGTGTGAAGAAACTGGAGGTGAGGACTCTTGAAAACACGCAGCCGTGATGAACGACGTGACCCCGGTTTTGTATCGGGTTCGGCTCCACTGAGAGATCAGAGTGATATTCGGCGCCTCTCCTTTCTCCATATCTTCCATTGTCGCTTGAATTTCTACTCCTGCGCGTCGCTAGCCTCCCGTGTGGAGGACTCTTAGATATTTTGGCGGTGGACGTCGCACTCCTAGACATCACGGTCGACGCAACAACAGGCCCTTCTATCGTCGCTCCATCCGAGTGGAAGAAGTAGATGTTCCCATTTACCGTTTCATCACCGCCCATGTTGTGACAGTTATGACTGCCGTCCTCTATGCGCCCCGACGTCGTCCACATGTTGTTCTTCAGCAGCATGGTCTCAGTCGCCAACAAATCAAACAACGCAGCCGCAAACGCCAACGCATTGATGCGGTGGAGATAAAGCCGCATTTCAGTTCGTCTGGAGGGACGGGTACCAGCAGAGGAAGCAGCAGAAGATGAGTCCTCTCCTCTGGCTCGTCTTCTCGTCGTGCGAAATTTCAACATCTGGGACATTTGCTTTCTTCTACACCTGAAAGGAAATGATCAGAAAAACGGCATCGGGGAAGGAGGAGCCCGCTGCTCAATAAATAACTCGGGGAAGCATGTGATTGGGGTGCATTTTCTATGCCAAGTGACGGGATCGAAAACTCAAGAGCTGCTAGGAAGATTCTTCAGTACGCTTGCGGGTTTCTTGGCGCTACGCGTGCGGGGAGCAAGCAAGCACCGCGAAAATGAAAAATAATGTCGGACAACTTACAACAACCACCTGCTCCACCGAGAGGGAGGGAGGGAGCAGCGATTGTGAGGGGGGGGGGAAATTAATTTGTTCTGCCGCGATTTTTCACAGAAGTAGATTACATTTGGTCAACCAGACAGTATTTGTGTCTCCTCTATACACGCTTGTTCCATACTCTGTGTAGATTTGTGTACGAAACAAAAAAGAGCCACGATTTTGACACGAGCTGTGGAAGGCACGATGAAAAAATAGGACAGGTGCACGAAAAAATTTTCGAGACGATAGATGGATTTATTTGTGGACGATAGCAAATAAAACGCGGCAAAGTGCAACGACGACGAAGAAAACTGCAACTGGGGCGCGAAGGAAACATTTTCTAGTACTACCTGTAAACCTTGAAGACTGACAAACAGAGGAATATTGGACGCACAGGCCGGTTATCGACAAGGCCGCAGGTCCGGCGTCATTTAGGCCATTATATTAACAAGACTGATGGTGCACGACATGGTGTAGTAATGATTCTGATTGTAAAAGTAATATCAAGACTGCCGAACAGCAACTTGCACAAAGAACCTGATCCCTCAAGACAGGGGCTCTGTGGCTCGGCTGGCGCGAGTTCGTAGGCGGAGCCACCATGCATGGGCGGCGACATCTTGTTCTTTTTCATATACAAAACATTGCCACGAAGAAGGTGCAAAAATCTTTACAGCGAGTCTCGTGAACCATTTGGCAAGGTCCGGTCTCCAAGCATTTTACAGTGTGTTTTTTTTCATTGCAGAAGGTGAAGGTTTGAACCAGAAAATAACTTTGAAATACGTCCTCAAAATCGTTGAAAACTACTTGAAGCTACTTAAGAAGTAAAGGTGAGAATAGTCCATGATCTTCGAACATTTAAGTAGGTACTTAAAAATCAGCATCTTCTTTACCTTCCGCTCCTGTACCCGGCACTGCTTCCCTGTTGCTGGAAGGAACTACCGACCACGTAGTCATGATCAGACACCGATGACACTACCGATGTCCCCCCGTCCTCGCTTTGCTCCGACTCTGGTCCTCTGTCTTGCGGCCTCATCCCTCGCTGGTGCCCGCCGAAACTCAACTGATCTAGTGGTGTTTTTATTTTGCTTCCCTGCCGCTGCACGTCGCCTGCTTCGGGTTGCTGGTTGAGATTGTCTCCCTGTTGAAAGGGTGGCGCGCCGTACAGCCCGCCGCGCGCCCCGCCCCCGGGCGTGTTGTTGTACTTTGCATTACTATTCGACGTCCCTTGCAGCTTCGCGGGAGTGGATTTGTACACTTGCTGCAATTTCGTTTCGTCCCCTTCCAGGCAGCTGCGGACCGAGTTTTTCAGCGCTTCGAGCAACTCCGTCACCTCCTCAACGTCGTGGAGATAGTATTTGGCCTTCGACGGTTTCTGCCCTATGGTGCAGGACATGATGTTGTTCACGTTGTTATCAAAAGGAAAAATCCTCCCTCCCCATATCGAAAACGAAATTTGTGATGCTGTATTTGAGTACACAAATCGACTTGTAATGCTAGAAGGCCAAGAGACGCAGCTGTGGCCTCGTTTGCAGGCAATTTGTCATGCTGTTTCCCACTTCCAGCTGCCCCCTGTCATGCTGAAGATGCAAGGCTTTCCCACGCCAACCAGCACTAGAGTCCGCATCTTTTCCCTTCTAGCATGACAAAGCTGATTTGTGGCCACAAATCTGCATCACAAATTTCCGTTTTGATATGGGGAGGAGGCATTTTTCATTGTAATAGTTGTACTGCTGTTTCAAATCCGACCCGTCGCCCGCGAAGGTGTTCACGTATCCTATGTAAAAACGTCCCCACCCCATAGCTGTCATGCAAATCTGCATGCTGAAAATGTTTCTCGTGCGTAGTCCCCTGAGAAGTGTTTTCCGGTCGTGTTTTGGAATTTGTGATGCTCTAATGAGCGCAATAGGCTAGGTCTGTGATGCTGATGAACTAGCTATTAAACAAGATTACACTACGAGGCCAAACTTGTCATGCGCAACGCCCGAAGCTGGCTCATTTGTCTAGCAGATTCCCCATCTTGACTACGGGGTGAGGACGTTTTCGCTCAGGATATCACGCCGAGGTTACTCACGGGCTGAATCCCCCCCAGCAGGTTCATCCGGGACGAAGACGCGCTCCCCCGAGACCCGCGCTGCAACCCACCGATAGAGCGCATCCCACCGGCAAAGAACTGCAGGTTGGACTCCGAAGTGGACTTGGCGCCGTCCCTGTGGAAGTTGAAAAGCAATGGTAGCTTTCGCAGGAATAGATTGGCACGAGTCTAATGCAGGCGGGAGTCGAATGACAGCCGTGGTCTTTCATGTTGTTCTTCATCATCTCGCATGATGTTGACAAAGTTGTATAAAAAAATATTGAAAAATTTGAATCATCCAAAAGCTTCTGTTAGTAGCAGAAGTAAAAATAAAACAGTAAAGTGAGTACATGACGCTTCCGCCCCCGTCGTCCCCTTCCGCTAGGGATAGCTGGTTCACCACTTCAAACATGTCTTCGTCTATCCTGAGTAAAAACGTACCCACGCCAGAGTTGTAATGCAGATTTGCAAAGAGAGGAAGACTTGTAATGCGCATCCCCATGAGAGCCATTTCCAATCGTGTTTTGGAATTTGTGATGCTGTGAACAGGATGAGCAGATGAATCTGTGATGCGGCTGCACTTGCTAACCTGCACTACACTGCATAGTGCAACTTGTCATGCGTGACTCACAAAACTCCTAGGCTTGTGTTGCAAAATCCCCATCGAGACTCTGGTGTGGGTACGTTTTTACTCAGGATATCGTCCGACCGATCATCGCCCATGCACAGGATGAAATCCGGGTTTGTATGCATTGCAAAAGTATCGCACTAGTGGATATGGAATCAATCCAAAGTTTTTCTTTTTCACAAGTAGGAAAAACACAGCCACTTCTTTTGCTGATTCAGGTGAGAAACAACTAGTAGGCGTGTCGTGCATACCCGCAATTAATCCGTCATACGAGTAATTTACTTCTGCACTGGATAGTCTCCGCGGATCAAGGATATCTTCTGCAGAATTTTCGACACGGCTGCGCCCTTGTTGATCCCCGCTACCCGGCACTCCACGTACCCCTTCCCGTTGGTCACTTCCACTTTGTGCAGCATACTGCCTTATCAAACGCAAACATGTCTGGGTCTGGAATGAAAGTCGATTTTGGTGCAAGGCTTGTTTTACATTGAGTTTTACTGGAAAATCTGTATCGCCAAAAAAAACGCCGCTGCTTCCTGTTCCTATACTCTTTGTGATAATGCGTACTACTACGCCTGGAAGGATGCCAAAGCGTTTCAAGCACTTGTCATCCACGCTTGGGTGCACTTGGACGTGCTAGCTTCCATTATCCACAATTTAGCATCACAAGTTTTTTCCAGAATTTTCGACAAATTCGCATCGGTGATATGCCCCCCGTCAACCCGGTATCCGTCAACCCAAACTGGTTTTCCACGCCGGAACTGTGCAAAATCTTCTGGCCGCTGCTGCCTGGCTGGTTCGTCCCCGTCTGCGCGTTCGACATCACGGAAGAGTTGGCCAAAAATTCCCGCAAGTGCTGCCCCAACTCCTTGGCCTGCAGGTCCCCGAATTCCGGGTCCGCGTCCCGATACTGCCAGACGAGCGCCGACCCCTTGTTCTCCATCCAGCTCCCCTGCGTCCGCGCCGTGTACTCCCGCATCAGTTCGAACGCCACGTTTTTCCAGCTCATGTCGCTCTCCACCTGCTCCTGGTACCACTCGTCGCCCAAGACCGAGGGAATCCGGTAGCAGAACCCGTGCTCGGCCGCGAGGCCAATGTTGTTGAAGACCGGGGAGAACCACTCGGACAGCTGCTTTCTCGTCCGCCCGGAGATGACGACGACAATGTTCCGCGGGTCCTGCATCAGCTCGTTCAGACAGTGCAAGACGTTTGGACTCGGCGCGACGCCAAAGGACTGCAGCTCGGACACGTCCTTCAACCGGAGGTGGTCCTTGGCTCTGGCGTACCGACTGGCGAAGTTCGGCGCCAGCGTCCCCTCGTTGTCGAGGAAGAAGACCCGGCAACCACGCGCGTTTCGGTACGCGTGGATCACGTCGTCGGTCATCAATTTGGCAAAGGTGCTGTCCATCGAGAGAATGCGGAAGTTATCAAATGTATAAATGTCTGGGTCTGGAAGAATGCAGCCTTGTCATGCATATTTCTCATGACCCCTGATGCCTGTAATGCATGACCTAGCATCACAGACTTTTAGAGGGCCTCCTGATGCGCCTTCCGCATGAGAAGTGCCCTCTCCGTGTAGCACAAACTGGACCTTTCTTGCTGGTCATGCAACACTAATTTTTTTAGAATCCAAAAACAGCATGACAAGTTGCATTCTTCCAGACCCAGACATTTTTACATTTGATAGAAGTTCGCGCCGAACCCGACCGCGACGTAGTTTTTGTCGTCTTTTTTCCGACTTGCTTTTAAGTTATCAAGTGCAAAGATGTCTCGGTCTGGAAAGAATGGGATTTGTGTTGCTAACTTTCAAGCGTACAAAAGCCTGTCTTGCAACATGAGCAGTAAAAGGTACTCAGATTGTTGCCAACCGGAGCGGGCACTTCTCATGCAGGAGAGTCTATTTGCATCAACAAGCTTCCGCTAAAGCTGTGATGCTAGAGCATGCATCACAGGCATAGCGGGCCATCGCCATGTACAATTTGCATGACAAACTTCCCCAGTCTTCCAGACCCAGATAATGTTGGCACTTGATACAAGTCCGTTAAAAACGATTCCAACCAGGTCACCGGGTTCTTTTCCGCAACGTAGGCCAAATCCTTCGCGAACCGGTACTCTTTTTCCTCCTCGGACATGCGGCAACACCGGACAATTGCGTTCACGATTTCGGGCGTGTTCCACGGGTTCACAATCAGCGCGCCCTGGAGGATCTGGGAAACGCCGGCGAACTCCGAGAGAATCATGGGCGCTTTCTGGTCGCCGATGGACGCGTGGCAGGCGAGAAACTCGAGCGGGTTGACGTTCAGTCCGTCTTTCACGGTGGTGTTAATCAGAACGTGGGCGGACTGGAAGAGGGCAAATTTCTCCTCCATCTCCATTTCCTCGCTGGAAAGTAACAGCACGATGTGCTGCCCGAAGAGCTCGTTCACTTCCAGGACTAAACCCTCTAAATCCTGTTCCAGCGTCGACTTGCTGAGCGTTTGCTGCTGCTGTGGAGAGGGGACATCTGCTTCGGCACCAGGTGAGGCGGCTTTACTGTTGTTCGGTGAGGTTGTAGTGTTTGATCCCGCTTGTTGGTGCTGTTCTTGTCTATTTGGTGTAGCAGCTCCTGGACCACTACTTGCAGCCTCGCCGAACTTCTTCGCTGGTGATGATTTAATATCGGTCTGTTCTTTCTCCTTGGTCGTGCCACTATGCGTATTTTCAGTTCCACTGCTGCCCCCGCCGAGAACTACCCCGTTCTCCGTCTCTGTACTACTAGTGCGCATTTTGTTGTTCATGCCCATCCTGAAACGGTGTTCCGACGGGTACGCACATTGGACCAAAATCACTTTGTTCCGCCACTGTTTGTGCTCGGAAAGGAAAGATTTCCACGCGTTCACCTTCAGCATCATCCCGCTGAGTGATTCTAGCCGGTCTAAACCCGCGAAGATGATCTTCCCCGCAAACTGCTTCTCCAGCTCGAACAGCAGTGGCACTCGCTTCATCTGCGGCGAGCCGTTTCCACCCGAAGTACCACCTCCTGTGCCGTCTAAATTGCTGCTGGAAAAGCCGGAGGTACTGGACGCGTAGGAACTTCTTTTCCGATTGAAACTCATCGCTATGGTCTTTTGGTTGTTCAATATTCCACCGCTGCTCGGGGTGTTCCGGCCCGTCGCCTCGGAGATGCTTCGTTGCGTGATCAAAGGCGTTTGGTCGGCGAAATTTGGAATGCTTGTTGTCGTTGTTCCACCGCCTCCTCCGCTGCTTTTGGGAACAGACGAGCTCCGGTTGCTTTCGTCCAAATTACTTTCCCGGATCGTTTTCGCAAACGCAGCCAGCTCGTTGCGGTCGGCATTCATGGCTGTTCGGAACCTTTCCGCGGCGGAGGCGACTTGGGTGAGCGAGATGCAGACGTGGGACACTTTGATGCACACCGTGCGTCCGCTGTAGTCCAGGGAAAGCTGTCCGTTGGGGAGGAAGGTCCAGTCGAGGCCGAGTAGGCGCTTGGTGGAAACGAAGAATTTTCGCGCGTGATCGTAGAACTGAAACCTGTACATGTAATGCGCCGAATGACAACATAAAATCCAAATGTAAATCTGATCAGATAACTCGCAGCAAAAAAAAATTATCTCCAGAAAATTATAACTTCTCAACTACTTACCCGATCAGGTCCGCACACAGCAGCGCCCGGAGCAAATCGTCCCGGACCGGAATCGCCTTGAAAATGTCAAAGGAGGGCCACGGGCAGTGCAGGAAGAAGCCGATGTTTGCCATCCGCAGCTTCCGGGTTAGGTATTGCGGCACCACCATCAGATGGTAGTCGTGGACCCAAAAGTAATCCGAGTCGTGACTGTGCCGAATCGCGACGTCGGCGTAGCAGAAGTTGACCCGCTGGTAGCTCGCCCACTGTTCCTCGTCGAAACTGGTCATCTTTGCGTCGAAAAACAGCATGTGCTGCATGACGTCGTGAAAAATCGGGGACAACAGGCCGAACGCGAACTGCACAAAATTCTCAAAATCGTAGGGACTGGGAAAGACCGGGATGCAGTCGTGCGCGAGTAAGAGCTCCGAAATCAGCCTTTTGTCGTACTCCGACTCCACATGCACCCCCGGCCACCCGACGCATAAAATCTGCAAATCGTCACTGCTGTTCTGCTGCTGTTGATGTTGACCACTTTTGTGGTTCATCATCCCGGTTTTGTTTTTACTGGCTTTGTGTTGCTTCCTCGCTTGCTTCAACGACGTTAAAAAGTGGTCCTTCATCGGCGTCACCGCCCACTTGTCGTCCGCCGTGCGGACCACTTGCACCGGGAGCAAGAAGGTTAAAAACAACACGGTCCCCTTGCTGCTCCACTTCCCTTCCTCTTCCAACTCCAATATCCTCGAATCCAGCAAATCCAATTCCCGGTCGCTCCCCTGCCCGAACTGCCCGCCCTTCTCGGGGGAGGACGAATTCTGCTGGTAGTTTAGGGTCGTGTCCGTCATCGTGTTTCCGGAGATGGTGTTCAAATTCTCCGCCGTTTTTCCGCTGAATTTCCGGAACAGACCCCCGTCGTCCTCCGCCGTCATTTCATTTCCCGTGGGGACCAGCTGCAAACACTCCCCCTCCTTCGCCCCGTTGTCGATCGTGATTGTGGAATCTTTGCTCAGTTGTTTCTGATTGTTGTTCCTTTGCACACCAGCACCGCTTTTGTAGTCCATAGAGGAGCTTTGCTGTTGATTTTGATTTGCATAATTGAACGTGCTCTCTACTACTCCACCACCGGTAGAACTAGGCAGCCTTACTGTTCCGGGAGAAGTCACCCACTTGACCGAGACGACATTGTCCTGCTCTTGCTTGTTTTCCCTATCCAGTCTGGAGGAAGAGCTCGCTTTAGAGATTTGCAACCGGCTATTGCTAGAAGCGGAGGGTAACAGGTTCCCGCTGGACCCTCTTTGACTTTGTTCTCCCAGGTTATTTCTGACTATGACCACGTACTGGTACTCGATTTTTTCGCCGAGGGGCAAATACACCGGGTCCTTGGAAATCCAGCTGGGAAAGTATTCAAACGAAGTTTGCAGGATCGCGCCCTTCTGCCATTGCCAGTCGCCGAGCTGCGGACAGGAACCGACCACGCGGATCTCCACGTCGTTTGCCTGGTCCCAGGCGAAGCGGAAAAACGTGCGGACAAAATTCGCCGTGGGGTTTTGGTTCGTGGGAGACGAGGCCGGCTGAGGGGTGGATACTGCAGCAACCGTTGTAGCGCCGCCGAGGTTGTCCTGGGAAGCGCTGGTTTTGTTTTGCAGAATCGGGATCCAGATGATCAACAATGTCTTCAATTTCTCATGCAAAAGCAAATCGCGTATTGCACAACATCAAACCCCAAAAATCATAATTACCCGGTCGGCAGCTGCTGCCCCACGGGTTTATTACCGTCTGCCCCCGTTGGTAATATCAAAGAACCGTCGTTGGGGCTGTTTCGTGGGGACGTGCCGGTGGCACGTGGTGACTTGCTGCTAGCGGTGCCGCCGGGGCTACCCCCTGAGGACCCGGACCAAAGACTCTGGAGCCAGCTCGACATCTTCTGGTTTTAGTATATCGTACACGTAGGTCTTTAATTTGACTTTATCGTACACAAACTTTTTTACTTGGGTGGACGAGTTTCGTCAAACCCAGGATTTTGTGGTCGGTCCTCACGACAAGTAAGTCAGGCATTAGCCGCAACCAATACTCTGTGATTGCCTTCTTATTTATCGACTTTATGCATCAATGGAAATGGATGTGGCATTGTTGATGTCGGTTGTCAGTATTCATTGTAGTTCGGAGGCAGGTACAAATCAAGAGCTCTGAGGACTGCAGCGATGAGTGTCTGTCTGATGATAGAGTTCTAATTCTATCTTTTGGTGATGTAAAGCATAAGCATTGCTTTTGCATGCAGGCAAAAACGCAATCGCACATATGTTCTTCTTTGCCCGTACTTACTCTAATCCGGACACAAAAAAACAAAGGACCACTCGGCCCATATTTCGCTCCATCTCTTGTTCTCCTTCTTTTCTTTCCTCGGAATCCCTCCAGCAAAAAAGACACTGCAATCTTGTTGCGCAGCGGCTTCTCATCCTCCGTGCAGCCCGCTACGTCTACTCGCCAACCTGAACCCAGCCGCGAGAATCCAAAAGAACAGCTCGCGGCCCGCGTCGTTGCAATCAAACCGCTTTTTTGTAACCACAAGAAGCATTTTCCGAACGTTTATCTGTATCCAAAAAGAACTGATTTACATATGAAATTTTTTATTGCCAAAATCGAAACTTTGCCGATTCTGGAACCACATCGCCACAGCGTCCCATCTCCGCCTTGAATTTTGCGTATTTTTTGCAGAAAATACACAAGAAATCAGAAGAGCTGCCTCGTAAGACTCCAAGGATCATCACACGGTCGATGAAAATAATGGCGCAAATGTCTCTAAGTGCTGAAGGGGCTCTTCTTCAGTACTCGAGAACTGTACACACTAGTAGTGTGGATACCACAAAAGAACGGATACCAAATAAATCCAAGACTTCAGGAATTTTTTTGAAAGTGAAGATGCAAATATGGGACGCATGCTACAACCAGTTTATCTAGTTTAAATGGAAAAGGTATATCTAGTGTACATAGATACTTGACATACTGTCCCCGGGAGAGGTCTTTGCTCGTCCCGGCACTAAAAAAGCAAAGTAGACTTTTGTGCTGGTAAGACCAAAATCAGACTTGTGTGCTGGTAAGACCAAAATCATACCGGTAAGACCAAATACAAAGAAAATCTAAATGTAAATCATGATAGAAATCGGAAAAATAAAAAAAAATGCCTTTACTGCATTTGAATTTTTCATCTGCTAGCTTTGCTGATAGACCTACTTTTCAGGGCCGCAAACTAACCCTGTCGTCTGCTTTACTACAGATCCCAAACACACAGCCCGCTCTCCGTTTTGACCACCAGCCTGCTGTCGTGCAAAAACTTCAAATCCGTGTTTCCATTCACGCTGGTGCCGGGGCCTGCGAAGGGGACGCGCTCGCGATACAGCGCAGGGTTCTCTAACGCGTTGCTAGGAGCGTGAGCTGTAGATTGCTCCGGCCAGTAGATTTCCCCCAAAACGTTGTCTTTCGTCAGCACCATCACCGAGTTTTGCTTCGACTTGTCGTGAGAAGCGGACACGCGACTGGTTCTGTTGGTGCCTGATAGGTTCGGTTTTCTTTCCTTCTTCCAATGGATAACTTGCCCACGGCGTACATATCGGCGATTATGGCTAAGTATGTTACTCCGGATGGACCCCCGGATGGTGCAAAAGGAAAGCGATAAAAGCTGCATGATGAGCATGACAAAATAAACATAAATCACAACAAATATAAAATTTCCGTACGCGGTATCCCGGCGGCTGGTGTCTGATCAAAAAGTTTCGGAAAGCAGCAAACCCGGTAGATCTCGGCGTCTAGCTCCAGTCGATGTAGCACTTTCTTGTTGCTGAGATCGTAAACGTAGAAAATCTTGTTACTGGACGCCGCGATCAAATCTTCTTTGTTGGACGCGGTGGGAATCGCGGAGGAGTTGTGCTGCGGAATAAAGCACGCCTGCACCAGATTCATCTTCGCCATAGTACTGCTTGTTGTCGTGTTCATCATTTCTGCTGACTTTGGCATCACCCAAACGTCTTTCAGTACGGGTTTCCTCTTCCTCTCCGTCTGCCAAATGTAGACCTCACTGTTGCTAAACGCGATGAGAAATTGATCGGTGTTGTGGTTTACGTCGATGGCACTGGTCACGTTTTTCTCGTTGTTTGCTGGCTTCAACTCGGCCCGCCGGGCGTCGATCACCTCGCGCGTGGAGGAAAGCCGGATCTGGGGTTTTCCATTGGGCGAGGGATTTTCTCTTGCAATTCAAAAAACATAGTACTCAACAACATCTCGGTCTCGAGTCGCGCTGCCCTTGCCTGTGTAGAGTCTCACAAGTCCTCTCAAACGTTGAACATCAAAACTTATACATGAAGAAACACCATTTTCTCTCACCAGAGTAGTTGTAAAGGCCTTATACCATGATCTGCACGACTTTCCCGTTTCTGGTCGCCGCAATGGCCGCCTGTGGGCTCAAGGCCTTCACTACGACGATCGCATCGCTCTCCTCCACCTCCACACGACCGATGGATGTCAAATTTTCCAGATCAAACAGCCGGACGCAGCCGTCCTCAAAACCGCAGAATAACACGCGGGAAGACAAAAACGTCAAAGACAAGCACGGGGAAACGCCGGAAAATTGCGCGAGGCTGGTCAGCACCTGCGGACTCGTCGCTGTGATGGCGTTGGTCGCTGCGCTGGATAGCGTACTGGTTTTTGAACCATTTTTTCCCGATTGTTCACTTGAGTTATTGCTGCTGCTGCAGCTCCACAGCCTTACGAGCCCGTCCACTGCGCCACACGTGGCGATTTTGTTGCCGTCATGCTTGGAAGAACTGCTGCACTCCAATACGTCGAAGGACTGACAGGAAAAGGCGGTTGCTGCAGCGTGTTGATCTTGTTCCGAATTACTAGAACCTCCCCCAAGATGAACCTTCGTGTGAAAACTGTGCAGCCGCATTTTCACGTTGGTTCGCCAGTTCACGTACCACAAGCTCGCATTGGTCGCGAAAATCCCGTTGCCCCGCTCTGTGGAAAAGCCTGCACAGGATTTCAGATCGGAATCCAGCGCAATCGGCTTCTCGACCAGCGCCATAGCGGTGGAGGAACTAGAGCCGGTGCTCGCTTTCGACGCCGATTTGATGTTCATACCGCTAGAATTGTAACAGTTGTCAGCAGCTTTAGCAGTCGCGCCCGCTCCGCCAGAGGAGGCCCCGCTGTTTATCGACAGCAACTTGTTCCCCGCCTCGTAAATCACATACTTGCAAATCGTCGCCCCGATGGCACAGAGCAGAATTGGATACGCCGGAGCTTTATCAGATGTAAAAATGTCTGGGTCTGGAAGAATGCAGACTTGTCATGCAGGTTTTCCATGACCCATGAGGTCTGGCATGTAGGACATAGCATGACAGATTCTGTGAGAGTTCTATCATGCCTATTCTGCATGAGAAACTCCCTCTCGATTAGGTCAAAAGTGGCCAGCTTTTGGTAATCATGCAACACAGATTCTTGAATGATTCAGATTTAGCATGACAAGTTAGATTCTTCCAGACCCAGACATTTTTGCATTTGATAAGCTTGCACGTTCGTGATTTTGTCGCTGTTGTAGTTGTTCGGAAGCGATTTAATCTCGTTGATCGGCAGGTTCTCCTCGAAATCAAACGTCAAAAGTGTGCCTCGACTGGTCCCCACCAAGACCCGGGAGACGTCCTGCGAAATCTGCACGAACGTCATGCAGGTGTACACGTGATCTGTGGTCTTGCTGTTGTTCTGGTTTCCAACTATTTTTTCCTGGTGCGCCGTCTTGCTGGAAGCAGGATCTTTTTCCTTATTCTTCCCTTGTAGACTGCCAACTTGTTGCTGCACCAACCAGTCGGGCTTGTTGGTCTCTTGAAACTGCAGGGACTTCGTGACGGAATCCAACCGCCAAAAAGTCAAGCCGTACGCGGTCAACGTGATAAACTCATTCCACGGCGCGACTTGCAAATCCAGGATTTTTGTCGTTTCGTTCATCAAGGTTGTGGCGCAGATGACTTCGAGACAATATTGGTTTTCAATGGTGTCGTGAATAATCCGGATCACGTGGATGCTGCTGGTTGTCGTGAAACCGCTATTTTTGTTATTACAATGATAAATGCCCCCACCCCGGAATTTGCAGAAGTTTGTCATGCAAAGTTTCCAAATGAAAGCTTTTTGTCTTGCGCGAAAGGATTGCGAGCCTTTCTGATGCAGAATATAGGTGCGCAAGGTGTCTTGTGCATAACAGATCCGGCTGCTGATGGGCTCCTTCGCAACACAAATTTGAGCTATTCAGCATGGAAAATCTGTGATGTTGAGATATGCAAGACGGGGAATGTTTCGATTGGAAAGGTTTGCAATACAAATGCTGCCAGGTTGGGGGTGGGGGCATTTTTCATTGTAATATTTGTTACCGTCTTTTGGAGGTGCAACGGAATTTGTGGTGACGATCAGGTGCTCCCCGTCCTCGAGGAACTTGACAAAAAATCCGCCGGAGGCGGACGGGGATAAAGATTTTGCTGTCTTTTTCTCCTCCTGCTCTTCCGCGCCCTCTGCCACGAACTCGGATAGCGGAATTGCCGCGAGAAGTTTGTGTGGACAGTTGAGATTGCAATCCGTCGTGTCCTCCGCAGCTTCGAGTCTCTGTCTCTGTTCTATTTCTCTGTCCGCGTTATTTTCATCCAGTTCGATCTTGTACAAGTACACGGCCTCTTCGGCCAGAACCGCCAGCCAGTTTTTCTTTCCCAACCCGTCCAGACTGCAGACGTTCCCCTCCAGGTTCGGAATCACCGTTTTCGAGGCCCTTGGCGCAACAGTCGTTTTCACAGTCGCGGCCGAGCTCGTCGAGGTTTTTGAACCACTGGCAGAAGATGCGACGGCAGGAGGCGCGCCGGACGTGATAGTATTGGAACTTGTAGTTCCTCCTAACCCTCCTTTGCTCTCTATCGACACCCAGTTGCCCACGCCAACGGCCAGGTAGCATTCCTGCCAACAGAACGGCGACCCCGTGCCGACGATGGTCGCAAGCTCGGCTACGGGGGGAGTGGTAGGACTAGATTCAACAGTTTGCTCAAGACCTGTTGTACAACTAGCGACGTATTTTACTGGTTTGCTGCCTTCCACTTCCGCTGCTTGTCGCAACATGCTTGTTTTACCGCTAGTTTCGATCAGCGTCTCATCCTCGAATTCCACTGTGCAATCTTTCTCCTCTAACAACGCAGTTTGCACTTCGTCTTCATTGCCGCCTTTCTTCTTGATGTCCTGCTCTGCTTGGAGGTTTGCTTCGATCAACATACTCAAGTTCTGCGTTTCGTTGATCGTTACTTTATTATTTCCGCTCGTGTTCATCTTCGGATTTGAGGAGGCGTTGCTCTTCGCGCTTTTCACGGATTGCGAGCTCAATGCAAGCTTATCTGCAGTGTGCTTCAGGATTGTTTTCTCCTGGAGCTCCTGCTGTTGGTCCTTCATCTCTGCGCTCTTTCGCAATAAGATTGTCGCCGTGCTGACGTCCTGCAATAAAGCGGATGAGTTGTTTACACCTTGCTGTTGTTGCTTTTTCATCTGGGTGACCTTCACGGGCGACTCACTGGAGTAGGGCTGCTGGTACCCCGGCTCCACGATGGTGGTGTCCATTAGCAGAGCCGACTGCTGCTGTTGATGATACAACGACGTCGACGCCCCGTTGTCCGTCGAGATGTTGCTGTTTTTTGACGCAGGGTAGAACATAAAGGAATTCCCCATCTTCGGCTGCTGATGTGCCACTAGACCGGCCGTTGCTAACGTTTGTTGCTGGTCAAGAACCGCCACTGAAGTTGTGCTCTGACTCAGCGCATTCATATTGATCGCAGTCGACCCAGCGGTTGGCAACGCGTCCTGTCGAAGGTGTTGGTTGTAGAAGAGCTCCTCGAAAATGTTATTGCTACTACCAGTTCTTGCGCCAGCGGATGATGAACCTCCGCTGCTCATTTTCCACGTGATCACTTCCATGTTGCTCACCCCCACAAGCCGGCTCGGGGTGACCAGTAACTTGAACGGCGCGACCGCGTGGCCCAAAAAGCACTGTTCTTCCTGCCTCAGTAGAGAAAACTTGTTGTTCGAGTGCGTCGATACGGACAGATTGTTCATTTGGTTAAACGGCTTTTGCAGCAGCGACGCCTTCACCAAAGAATCTTCCTTCGAAGCTGTAAATAAAAGCGAATCGGTCGTCAGGTTATTCATTTGCTGCTGTTGCCCATTTCCGGCGCTTGATGTGAAAACCGGGCCCACGAGGGACACCGCGGACACCATCCCCGCGACTAAGGGGATGTCGTAGAGCAGCGGGCCTTTCACCGAAAACACTTTCAACTTCGCGTGAGAGGTGCCGATAATCACTTTCGTCGAATCGAAGGAAAACTGAAAAGTCGTGATTTTCTGTTGGTCCGACGCACTGGACGCTACTCCAGATCGGAGCTGAAACTTCCGCAAGAAGTCCAGGTCCGGCGTAAAATTGGCACCGCCCTGGTGCTGCGCACCGCCGGTGGAGAGCGAAGACGCGTTCAGTCCCTCGATCTGGACGTTTGTGATGTCCTGTCTCGACCGCGTTTGGTCCAAAGCTGTCGCAGAAATGTTGATATCCGCATTGTTCTCTTCCACTTGCATGCCCGTCACGCCATCGAGGGCATGAAATTCTAGGGAAAAATCTCCCGAGGACCCCGGAGTCGACAAAATACTGCGAGGCACTACATCTTTACGAACCAGGATGTAATTTGACGTTTTGACTATTGCGCATGAAAGACGTAGTTCCTGGGCAACTACCTACATGCAGACTCGCATGTTGCCAACTCTGGGTGGTCCTCGGGGACCACGTTTTTCCACACGATATTCCATCAGGATTCCCATTCCCGCTGGTGAATGCAAACAAAACAACCGTTCGCGAATCGTACCACTTTAACAGCATCCTGTGGTTGTTGGCCAGTTCGAAGAACGAGCAATTTTCCACCGGCGGCTCGTGGACGCCGGCGAACAATTCCAAATTCTTCTTCGGTACGAAACTCCCCGTCTCCTCGTTTTCACAATACAGCATCATACCGCCCTTCTCGTCGCACGCCAGGAGAATGTTGGTCTCCTGCAGCTCCGCGAAGGCGAGCGACTTGATCGGCAGTGTGAAATTCACGTACTCGCCGACCACTTTCGGCCCGTCAATGTCGAAAAGCCGGAGCGTGCCGGTCGCGAACCCAACCGCGATCAGATGCTTCTTGGGGTGACAATTCACGGCCAGAGGGGTGTCGTTACCTGTTTAATAATGATGGCGTACTTATGCGTACTTATGCCACACAAGAACAACAATGGGTTTGGCATGCTCGTGCATACTTTGAGTCACGCGTTGGAGGCATTTTTTTATTTTCATACAAGCACGACCTATACCAGAAAAGAATTCTGTGTGTTGTCGCATTGTGTTCAGGTTCCAGATTTTGATGAAGCCGTCCTCCGTGACCGTGCAGATTTCCTCGAACAAATGCGACACGCTATCACAATGAAAAATGCCCCCTCCCCATAGCAAAACGGAAATCTGTGAGGCAGATTTGTGGCCACAAATGAGCTTTGTGATGCTAGAAGGCAAAAGATGCGGACTGTAGTGCTGTCTAGCGTGGCAAAGCCTTGCAGCCCCAGGATGACAGGAGGCAGCTGGAAGTGGGAAGCAGCATGACAGATTACCTGCAATTTAGGCCGCAGCTTCGTCTCTTGGCCTTCTAGCAATACAAGTCGATTTGTGTACTCAAATACAGCATCACAAACTCGCGCATCTTCCGTTTCCGATATGGGGCGGGGGCTTTTTTGACTTTGATACACGCACGCGTCCTTGATTTTCCCAGCGTGGCTCCGGTGCAATATAACCCGCTCAGGTGTTACAAAGTCAAACGTTACAATAGAATATGGAAATCTGTGATGCAAGATTGCATGATCTAGCCAACTTTCATAGGATTGCGCATGACAAGTCCCGGAGCCCCAAACCCCACTACAATCTTGCGAAATTTGTATTGCAAAAGGTGGAACGCTGTGCGAGTCTGTCATGCTCATCATGCAACACAAATTCCAGATTCTATTGTAACGTTCGAGATTGTAACGTTTGAGCAAGTCATATGCAAGACGTCAAACGCCTGCGTCTGCAGGTCCAGTTGCCCAATGGTCCCGTCCGCACAGTAGCTTAACACTTTCGTCCCGGACAAGGACAAATCGATCCCCTTCGGCACTGCCTCGTGCATGCAGTGGAGGAAGAAGGACTGGAAATCCAGTGGGCAAACTATTACAATGAAAAATGCCCCACCCCCGAACTTGGGAGCATTTGTATTGCAAACCTTTCCAAATGAAACATTCGCCCTCATGCATCTATCAGCAGCACAGGTTTCCAATCGTCAATAGCAAAAATTTGTATTGCAAAAGACCCCAGCAAGAGCGGAGCTTGTCATGCAAGCGATGCGATACACGCCTAGACTCTGCATCAGAAAGGTTCAGACTCCTTCAATGCATGACAAAAAGTTTTCATTTGGAAACTTCGCATCACAAGTTGTTGCAACTTTGGGGGTGGGGGCATTTTTCACTGTAATACAAACCCGGATGTACTTGTCCTCCGCGGCGGTGACGCAGAAGCTGTCGGTCGCCGAGATCGCGGTGATGGGCGAATTGTGCAGCTTGTGCAGCATCAGCACCTGTCGGTCCTTGTAGGAGACGACCGCAACCTCGCCCGCTTGGGTCGCGACGAACACGTTCAGATTGTAACCCAGGGAGGTGTCGGCCCCTAGAACAAAGATTTTATTCTTAGTATAGAATAGTTTCTTGTTTACGTACGCATGATCGGACGAAACCTACGATCAATATCACCGCCACACATCATGCACTACAGCTGGAGTCCGAAGAACCAATACAGATGAAATAAAAACCCGGTAGTTGTGTACGACAACTTCTATACCGACAAACGCCTCGCCCCGGTCTTTTTTGATGTTCGCTTCAAAGCACAGGTCCGTGAACACCGTGTTCCGGGCGAGGCTATTCAAAGTGACGCTCTGACCCGGGAGGTGCGCGTCCTTCACGCGCCAGAACCGGATGTTTTCCTTGCCGCAGGTAACAAGTTTTAGATCCTCGTAGGGGGAGAATTTGATCGCGTTCAAGTCCCAATCACTCATCTGCCGCGCGTACAGCACCGCATTGTTTCCTCGCGTCACACGACCGATATCCCAGACGAAGATCTGCTGTCGCCGCTGCGTGTCGATTCCGGCGATCGCAAGGTACTTGCTCCAGGGGTCAAACGCCATCTGCTTGATCACCAGCAGCGACTGGCAGGACAGAATGGTCACACACTTCGGCCGGGAAAACTTCACATTCGCCACATGCCAGAGGCGGACGGAAGGCGTAGAGGAAGTCGCTTGATCCCCGCCTGGAATTGCTGCTACTGCTGCTGCTTTACTCGTAGTACCAGTCGCTTCACCAGCACCTCCCGCCGAAGTTGTACTACTTCCTTGTTGTACGCTCGCAATCCAGTCCCCGGCTGCGGAGGTCATGAGTAGGGAGATCGGTTTTGTGTGTCCAAACAGAGTCATGGGCGTGCGGTCGAAGCCAATAGCAGCGGTCTCGACGAACGAACTTTCGTCTACAGCATTCGTGGGTCCTCCTATCGGCATGACGATCAGCGCGGACGCGCTCGCGAAGACGATGCGCCCGGAATCGCCGAGCCAGAAAGCCATGTTTTTGCTCCCCGCGGACACCCCGAGCAGGTTCGATACCTCTAGGAGCGGGTCGGGAAGCAGCTTTTGGCTCTGTGAAGTCCCCTGCTGCTGGTTCGCGAACGCTTGCGCCTGTTGTGGACCGGTGTTGATCGCGATCTTCGTCGACTGTTGCGTCAAGTAGTTCGACTGTTCCATAATCTCGCTGGCCGAGCCCATGATCGTACTTGCGTCGAGGGTCTGATTGATCGTGTTCATATTACCGACGTGTAGCTGCTCGGCGAGTTGCTGCTGCCGGGCGGGTCGCACTCCCGCACCAAATTCGGAAGCGGAAGTGCCAGACATTATACCGACTGGGTTGCTCAGGAAGGAGACCCCGTTTCCGCCCGTGTTCTCCGCTGATTTATTTTTCAAGGCTGGTGCGGCCATCTTGGAAGTTGTACCCCCTGCCGTTGTACCAATCGACGCAGGAATGTTGATCCAATTGCTCACCAATGCCGCACTGGATTCCTGATTTTTTAAAGTAACAGCAAACGTACTTTTTGCACGACATCAGAGCAGCTGCTGTACCATTGCAATAAAGACGAGGGAATCGGAAGAGGACTATGTGTGTGTTGCCTCGTTGTCTTCGCTATGCGTCCTGGTCCTGTCATTGTTTTCCAAATCGGTGCATATTAGTCCTGTATACTGAAATGCAAGTACCTTCTGCGTCAGTTTCATTTCCCTCGGCAATTCCGCGTGGCAGGAGAAGCACATGTCGCTGGTGAAAATGTTCCTGACGACACAGGTCGCGCAGATCTGCACGCTCTTCAACACGTGCGCGTGCGGCATCAAGTGCGCATTTCCGCCGAGAGACGAGAACAGCTTCAACACCGACGGCACGTGGACGCACACCGTGGCCCAGCTGTCGCTTCCTTGCGCGCCAGCCTTATTTCCGCTTGCACTTGCTTCTACAGTAGCGGAGACGTTCGCCTGGTCGAGATGCAGTGGGTACAAGATCACCCTTGCCTGCTGCTGGATGTCCTTCACCATGTTCGTCAAGGTGATTCTTTCCATTATGTTCCGGTCGGCCACCTGAAAATCCAAATGCACGTTGAAGAACCGGCTGGAGTGCGTGCGCAGCTGCACGTAGAGGTACTCCCCCGTGAGGTTCAGGGAGCGGGTCGCGGAGGCTGCTGTGGTGGACACAGACCGCTCGCGACTGCGGGAATTCGAGCTGGAGCTGGCCGCCCCGGGGACCTGGACGTAGTTGTTGGCGGAAATGGCACCGGAGATTTTGAAGACCCGCTTCGAGATGACCGCATCGAGGTCCTCCTGGCAGTCGCCCTGCTTGTGGATCAAATGAGCAAACTTCTTGAAGATGGACACGAAGGGGTGCTGCCAGGAGTCCGCGGTCGTTGTGCCCCGGTAGTGGTAGTTCGTCGCGGCCCGGGCGGAGGGGCCAGCCTTATTGGGGACCAAACCCCGCTGGCCCTGCTGGGACGCGGCGGCGGACGCGCCGCCCGAGGTCGGCTGCTGGTGCCCCCGCGACGAGGGGCCGGCCATCACTTCGGGCGGGGATTGTGCGAGTCTGGTTTTTGATAGGGCTACGGCTAGTTGAGATTATTCACAAAAGATGTTTGGGTAGTTCCAGTTGTAGAGGAGCGGCAGCAGCAAAACAATGAACGGGCGTCGAAGATCAAAAGAAGTGCGCGCGCAAGTGCCGTGCGCACTGCAGCATAGCCGCCTGAACACAATGCAAAACTGTGTGACTTTTTGCCTCACAAAAAATGAGTGTGGGGTGTGCGCGGTTCTTGGCCGCGCAAAGGGGGGCACTTAAAGGAAGCGAGCTGCAGCAGGCACACGGCAGGCATTTGAGAGCACTCCGAAACTGCGCAAAGCGGTGGGGGCGGGCGCCGTGCTCCTACCCCCGCCGGAGACTGAGGCGGCAACCACCGACACCGAGCGGGCCCGCAATCCAATTGCGCCGCGTCGCGGCGGCGGACAATAAGAGGCAAAGCGCACAGGCGCGGCACGCCTCAGTTCCCGGGCTGCCGGGATCGCGCGGCCCCTTCGTGGGGCTCGCCAGCGGGCGGGCGCTGATTGCGCGGGCGAAGGCCGCGCGCTGGGCCCGGCGGCTGCCGACCGCCCCGCTAGTGGGCCGCCAATGCTGAGACGTCCCGCCTCTTCTCTGCCAGCAAGCGCGCGCACGCGTCGGCGCGGAGCTTCTCCAGGTCCTTGCACCACACGGCCGCAGGGCAGGAGCAGCGCCGGCAAAGGTCGCCACGGCGCAGGCGGCGCGCGTCCTCCTGGCCTGCAGTTCCGCACGCCATCGCCGTGATCTTGTCGACACAACCGCTGGCGTCCGCGGGCGTGTTTATTTCGCCACGAACAAACTGCACCGCTTCCGCGTTGTTCTGTATAGATTTAGAAGGCGGCGCGTGAAATTTTTCGATGCGCGTTTTCAACCGCGCCACACCCGGGCCGGCCGCGCGGCGCAGCCACACGCGCTGCCGCCTGCGCCCGGCGGCCCCGCGGCTTGCTGTTAGCTATGCGGGGCGCGCCGCCCCCATCGCGGGCGCGCGCCGCCCAGTCTGCCCGGCTGGCCCGGCTCCGTGCCGGCGGCGGCTGCGCTGGCCCCGCCCCTGGCTGACTGTGCGCGGCAGGCCCTCGCCACCCGCTGCACTTCAGCAAAGCGGCGGCGCAGTGGCGCCAGTCCGTGCGCAGCAATGGCGCAGGCCGCCAAGCGGCCCGGCGCTTGGGGTTCTTCCGCGCGGCCCCATGCGGCGCAATGCGACCCCATGCGCGGCGAGCCGTCTGGGTCGGAACGCGGGGCGCCTTACCCCCCTGGGAACTCCAAGGCCACGGGCCGCCTCTCGATCCACTAAAGATCGGCGCGTGGTTCTTCAGGGCGCCACTGTTGACCAGGTCCAAGAAAGCCTGGGCATGCTGCGGGACGGGGATTCCGGCCGCGGGGAACTGGCGCAGCCGGCCGCCCATACTGGGGCAGGCCCCATTTCCGCGCGCCCGCCCCGTGGTTTTCCCGCAAGTTGAGCCAGCCCGGGGCGGTCAATTGCCCAGCAACCACCCCGCGCTGCCGCTGTCCTCCTTCGCCTAGCCGAAGCCAGCACGCTGCGCCCTATACCCGCGCCCGGATCTGCGAGAACAACTGCTGAACGGGCGACGGCGGCTCTGACGCCCTGCCTGCCGCCCGCCTTAGCCGGCGCGCTGTTCGCGGGCTGTGACACGGGCGGCAGGAGTTTGCGCGCGCATACCCAGCCCCCCGCCCGCCTCCCTTCCGCTTCCGCCGGCAGCCTCCCGGGCGCAGGCGGCACGGGAAGGCGCCTAGCGCCGCCGGCGGCCCCCGCTGAGCTTACCTATTCCACACCGGCAACCCGGAGGCCAAGGGCCCCGGAAAAGTGCTGCCCGGCCGGGGGGCTTCGGGGATGGGGCGCCGAACGCGGGAGCGTCGTTGCTGAAATGCTGCAGAAAACGGCCGCCGCCATCGTAGTCCCGAAAAAACAGCGCGGCCGCGCGCCTCCGGGCCTTGTCCCGTGAAAGCAGGCCCGCAAGCTTCCAGAAGTCCCAGCTCGGAGGCTGACGATGGAGGGCCAACGCTTCCGCTATCTGCGCGGGCTCCAGCTCGGAGGGTGATGACGCGCAACCCCGGGAACTGCTTCCGGCCCCCCCGGCGCTTCATTTTCGCCAAAGCCGCGAAACCGAAAACGATGGAACCGCGGGGCCTATCAAGCCGGTAGGCGGGCAGGGCGCCCCTATGCTGCACGGCGGCCCTGATACCTTCGGAATGCGCGCCGGCATGTGCGGCGGCCCTGCGCCTGCGCTGCCGATGTCGCGCAGAATTCCCCCCCCGCAATCGCGGCGCCGCTTCGTGACAGCGGCCCTGTCCTGCCTTCTGCGTTTCGGGGCGTTGCAAAAGCGGAAAACAACTACAAACACGGGGCCCCCTGAGAAGGGGGCAAAGCTGGCGAACATCTACGCTCCTTCATCGAAAGCCGGCAAGTGCCAGACTCTGGCAGGGCCTCTTCCCTGCTTTGTGCCTAATCCTAATGAGTAATCTTACCGACTGCATTAACCGTGTGCATTTTTTGTACCAATCAACAAAGTTCAATATTTTGGCCAACAAGTGGGAACAGAGTTCTGCTCAACAAGAAAAGTTCGTGATCAAGTTCAAAAGTCCAAGAAGCTGTGTCAAACTCCTGCATTGTACACCAACAGCATTAATTTGAAGCGTCAAAACTACGGGATGTAATTGCAACGATCCCGGAAACGGTACATTTTCACTTCAACAAGTTATGGATGGCAAGAACAAGCTAGTCCATCCGAGTGCGTTGATACAAAAAGTGCGAACTCAACTCGCTGCAGCACTGAATGCGCTACGGAAACTTCTGAAGCCTCCTCATCCTTCCACCTTCACCTTTGGAACTCCAATTCTCGCAGTCTGCGGGAAAGCAAGTCCACTGACTCCACGTGTTCTTTCCTGGACCGCTGCATGTTCCCCAAATCCACCCCCGTCCGCTCGTGTTCACGCTCTTGCGTATTTGTCCAGGGCTCAAACATTTCCGCACGGAAGGAGCTTATTTTCTGCAACAGGTCTGACTCCGTTTCCTGTATTTGTGATTTTTTTCGTTGATCCCACGATTGCTACCTGCAGTTGCAGTTCAATTTTTTTTGACTGCATGCATGACAAACTTCGGCAAACTTTATTTCGTACTACTTCTAATCTATACCGTGACAAACTTCTGGCACTCCTCCTCGGTTAGACTCCCTGCTGCGCCGCTTTTTATCAATTCTGCCTTCACTATCTCCAGCTTCAATTTTCTCAACTCCGCTATTCTCTCGGCCAACCGGTCGACCCGCAGGGTCAGAGAGTACTCATGCAACTTTGGCGGCACCTGATGATTTGTTCATGTTCGGAAAAACTGGCCAACTGCTCTACGGCCACGGCGCTACTGGGCGCAGGTTTTTGAAACACAAGGTAAGTACTTATGTGACAAACGACATGTGGCATGCTGCATCCGAATCATTCTTGGATCTCAATTATGCCATTCAAAATAATCTAATTTTAACTATTTACCTGCAACTCCGCTTCCGCAGCGGCGATTTGTTCCTCTTCCTTCGTTTGCTCCAGGCCGAGATTAGTTTGCGAGGTTCGAAACTCCACCTCCAAAGCGCCGTCGTCTTGCCGATATTCTTGCGCATCTCGCTTCGGCTGTTTTTTCTTTCACATATTCAGCGACTTGAGTTCATAAACCAGAGCTCCGGCTTCGTACTTTCTTACACTCTTCTGCACAGCACACTAAAAGTCATCTTTGCTAAAACGAACTATCCTTCCTGCGCACAGAAAATACCACGCCGACTCCCTCCCCCACGGGCGGCGGAACTGGATTTGCCAACTCGCTCACATCCCCGAAGCAGAGTAGATTTCTTGTTTTTTCTGTGGAATCAAAATCCTGGCCTATTTTGTCCTTGTCTAACTCATCAAGCACCCAGGTGTCTACCCTTTCCTCGGCTTCGTTGAAGATTTCGACATGGAGCACTAGTGTTGGCAAGTGGTCAAACGCCTGCGTGAGTCGTGGCTTCGCGAAAAGCTCCGGTTTGTTATCTACCTCTTCGATCGCTTCGACCTCAAAGGTGTCTTCGCGAAAAAACTTAAACCGCGTCTTCACCCCTGTCGGAGAGGGACGGAGGCGGAAACAGAAAACGCCCATAAGTGTTCCTTTTCGAAGGGTGTTAAGCGGAAACCAGCTACTTACTGTGTGGGCGATGAGCAGCGGCAGATTAGAAATTTAGTTTTGACTGCTCAACAGCACATCCCAAATCTCTTCGCTAGTCGAAGTCGTGCCGCACAGACCTGATAGTACTCCTCGTAAGCTGTCGGATTTATGACTATCCAACTCGGTACTTACGCCTTGATTTCTTTTGCGCAAAAAACTTTAAAAACCGTTTTGAATGGAGGCAGCTTTGCGACGTGATATCAAGACGCTCACACAGGAGGACGAGTCAGTGCGAAGGAAAAAAAAACCACCACTCCGACACTCGTCATGATTCGATCGTGAAAAATAGATACCCCGCTCGCCGGCAAGCTTCAAAATTTCTCTGTCCAAATGCGCTTGTCCTCTCGTCCGTGTGTTGATTCCTGTACTATTTACCGAGTCGGTATAGCAGGGTTTCTGCTCCGTGACGCCACCATCTGAGATGAGAGCGGAAGATATTACTGCTGCTCCCGACGGATTTATTATCCGATTCCAGAGCGAGCGTCAGGCTCAGCCCGGCAGGTTCTGCTCCCGGGTGATTTTTTACCTTTCCAGATTCGAGGTGGACGATATGTACTGTTTCTGTTGCGCGATTCGTCTTCTCGGAAACAAAAACGATATCTGGTCAACACCGAATCAAGTCAAACTAAGTGGTACAAATCATACAAGGCACATACAGTCGAGCTTCAATTTTTGTCGCATCGCAGTGTGATACAACTCGTCCGAGATCTTAATTTTTCATTTTCTGCGAAAATACTTCAAGAAGAGCCAGAATTGATACAATTAGCAGAGTGGATGGAGCTGCAAGCAAAGTATTGTAAATCACACACGTAAGTACAGAAACAGAACAAGCGAACGGAAAAACTATACGTCTTTTAATACTTGTGTTCAGTCCACAAAAGATTCGTATTGTACTAGAAGGGTGTTTCTTGAACTACGTATGACAACTGTTCTCGCGTTCCTCGCCTCCCATGTTCTTTTACTCGATCGCGGGTGGCCCCGCGACCGGGGAGTTCACCATTTCCTTCCGCTTGTTTTCGAGCTGGAGCATGCGGAGCCGCCGCACGCACTCGATCATGACGTGCATGGCTTCGATCCAGACGATGCTTGCCATGGTGTTCGAGCTGTCGTCTTTGACCTGGAAGTACAAATCGTGAATGTCCGCCTTCTTCGAGGGCTGGTACTGGAGACACACGTACCCCGGCTTTTTGGGATCCGGCACAAGTGCGGAAATGGTCAAAAGTGACGCGCTGGCCTTGGTCTCCGTTAGCGACCGCCGGGACCGCGCGCTTTCGGACTCGAAAATCGCGAAGTACCTTTTTTTATTTTTTCGAGTGCGCAAAGGTTCGTCTTTTCTTTCAAACCTGAAGCTGCATATGAATTAGGAAGCTGTGCGAGTACTTAGTTTGCGCGCAAAAAAATTCGAAGCCGCAAGAGATGCAGTGAGTGGTAGAGCCAGCTCCTTCTAAATTACCAGGTATCTTTTCCCTTGGCGTTTTTCGCTAAAAACACATCCGCGTATTTTGTCCTGGGAAAGCCAAACTTGGAAACCCACTTGATGGCGCAGGCGCAGCACGAGCCGATCATGGGCAGTAAATCGTCCACGCCGTTGATCTTTTTCTCCAAGTGCCCCGCCACCGCCTTCGACAAAGCCGCACTCATCGGCTGGGAAACCGGGTGCTCCGTGAAGCGCTCGAGCATCTGCACCTTCTCATCCGAGATTTTGTGCACATCCTCGGAGTACTGGATCGAAAGCTGCGCTTTGCCGGATTTGAATCTGATACAGTTTGGTTTCAGTAGGAAGTGCAAAGCTGCCGTACTCAACATTTGTCGAGGCACGAGACACCGGGCAGGACACATCATGCGTAAAAAGTACACACCAGGTGGAGTATGATACAAAAATTCTTCAACTTCTACAAAAAAGCAGGCTGTATGCAAGAATTTCCAATAAACTTACTCTTCCGCGTCTTTGCTCCCGTCGGACTTTTTCATCAGGCTGAACCACTCCTTCCGCACGCAGCCGTAGGGGCGGCGGGAAACCACCACCTCCAGAATATCGATGATCCGCTGTGCCGTGCGGTGCTTCGACTTGAAAAACCCCGACACCGTCCAGAGTTCGACCACAATTTTCCGGTAGCCCTGCGGTACGAACACCTCAAACGCCTGCTCGTAGTGGTAATTGTGCGCTTTCTGCTCGGTCCAGTACTCCTGGCCGCCCGCAACAATCTTCACGGCACCTGTAGTAAGTAGTGCCGCGGTTCTTTTTGGAACGCTATCAAAACGGTTTTGATATGTTGAGAAGTCGTGATGTTGAAGAAAAATTTTTTCTTCAACATCACGACTTCTCTGCGTTCATCAACAAGGCACAGTGTGGTTGTCCAAACAATACGAATATACGTGATCGAGCAAAAGAAGTGAAAGCAGGTCTCTAGTTTGCATTTTTCTATACATGTCGCGTCCCCAGAGGTTATGGCCCGCTGCATTTCCAACTGCAAGTCGTGAACAGTGACAGTTAACTCCAAATCCCCGTACTTGTGTATCAAGGGAAAAAACTGTGTTAGCAGAACTTTTTTGCTACTGAGTAGCATGACAAATGAAAACTTGGCATGCGCTGCTGCTGCTGGTACGTGCAAGCGTACATGAAATAAACACGCTCTACTGATGGATGAACATGACAATTGCAACCGAGTTGCATTCTCTGCAGCATCTTCACAGACTTACACTGACACACTTTTTTCCCTGGTGCATATTGTCCCAGTGCAGGAACCTTAAAAGCCGTTTCACTAAGCCAAACCTTCTCCAGTTGATGAAATACAGCCCCAGTAATACGAGCAGCACCACTGCAATCGTCACGGCCAAGTACGTCGGACTACCAAGAATCCCGGTGAAACAGCCAAACCACGTGGTTCCCCCTTCCGTCGGTTCCGCGGCGCTTGACGGCGCCGGGGCGGGTGACGCTGGAGCCGGAGCCGGTGCGGGTGCAGCGCCATCCGCCGCTCCCGCAGTTGCCGGAGCTGGTGCCGGCGGATTGTTTTGCCCGCCGTCGAAAACAGCGGTCTTCTGCACCAACGACGCCGCGTGGATGCTACTGCTGCCGCGGAGGTTGTTTCTCGATGGGGTACTAGAACTCAGTGTTGTACTTATCATGGCAGAGGATGACGAAGATGCGCTTGTTCCACCGGAAGTCGTAGATCCACTAGTACGCCCTTTTTTTAGCTGCAAGGAGGCATCGTCATGATCCTCTCTCTTCTTCTCGACATCAGTGCTGTGCTGCAGCTTCTGCAAAAACGAGTGCTCCTGTTCCAGAGGCTGCTCTAGCGACGGGTCTTCGAAAGCAGAGTCGTAAAAATCATCATGATCTCGATGACTGTGTGAAGAGGATCCTGCACTGAAATGTTGCCTCGTCGACGCACGAAGGTTGTAGCCGTTCCTGCGCTTATTTTGTCGGTGGTAATGACCTCCGTGTCTACTGCTACCATTCGTGTCTGCGCTTCTCCTACCGCTCCGGCTTCCGCGCCGGTGGCGTCCGCCGGACCCTCTCCTGTGACTTCTGTGGTCATTTCGGTAATGCTCGTCGCCGAAATCCTCGCCGTGCGAACTGTGCGAGTGATGCTGCTGCACCATTGCTTCTTACTTGCTTCTCTTGCTGTTCGCAATCTGCCTCTGATGCACAGCGCGCAAACTGCGGCTTCTTGTCGTTTCTACACCTAACAAGGTACTGGCGTTCTTCCGATTTATGTCACAAAAGATACCTTCTTTTAGTTGTCCTTTGTCGTGTTTCAGGTGGGGGCGATTCGCTTTGAAGCCGATACGATGACGAAGCGAGATAGAAGAGTCGAGCCTTATCAACACGACATCAACTTCGTTGCTCTTAGCGAATACCAAACATCACGATTGACACAAACACTCACTTCTAGGCGAAACGAAAGGACAACGACGGAAGCGAGGACTTGGCGATCACGATTCACGACGGCAGATGACACGACGAGATGATACAAACTTCAACTACTTCGTCGATAAAATCCAGAGTCGTGCGCCGATCACGCAAGGCATGAGGACACTGCTCGCGGAGTGCGTTTTGTTGTAGATGAATCTAAATTTGTTCTGAAAGTCCTCCTGATTGACTTTGAATTTGACACATAAACATATTCCCTCCGTTCATTTCAGAAAAATGTCGATTTTCATCCCCACTAGTGTACAGGTATTCATCACTTTGACATTACTCGCGTATACATGTTGTATTTCCATCTGCATCTGGTTGTGGTCCATGAACCACAGTCGGACTTTTTCCCGTCTGCATCTGGTGGCCCTGGCTCCAATGTTTATTGCTACATACACTAGACCAGCTAGTTCTTCTTCTTACCAAACAGAAGCACGACCCTACCGCTTTCCCCCCCTCCCCACGGCCTCCGCGACCGCGTGAGGCTCTGGCGCGCGATCATGTTGACCTCCTTGATGTGAAGAGAGTCCTAGCTGCCCAACACTGCGAAGCCACCGCACTTTCCCTCCACCGGCTCGTTCCTGCGGTCCAAGAAAAAATCAGTATCCACCGGCACTCGGGTCGTCGTCCGCCTGATGTCCTCTACTTCAATCGTGGTCCCCATCCTGGTGCTAGACGAGTTGTATATCCTATCGCTCGCGCCTGCTTCTACCCCCACCACTGTTTTTCTATGAACTCTACGACTTTTCCATAGGCCATCCTGTCTGTCAAGTGCTCCTCGGCGAACGTTCGCGGCCGGTCACCCCACATGTTTTTCCCTATGGCGTTCAGGAAGAGCACAAATTCCTCCACCACCTCCTCCGTCGCCGCGCCGTCCTCATTCGCAGCTGAAGATGTTTATGCAAGAAAAAAACTGTACAATAAATCTGTGTTGCAGAGGATGAAAGACACTTGCACTGGTCACGCTGGACATGCATCAGAGGTTTGCTTCGTACGTGTTTTCACGTACTGGCTGCGCATGAGAGGTTTTCTCTGTCATGCAGAACACATTTGTGATACTGTTCATCCAAGAAAGTTTGTATTACACAACCCTTACACACTTTTTTTCTTGGATAACAATGATGTTGAGTCTTCCGTTACTACCTCTTCTCGCTTTTTGTGCGCAGGCAAAAAGTTGAAATTCGGCTCGGCGTAGTCCACAATGTGCCCCAAGTGCTGGACCTTGCCCGGGATCTGCGCCTCCGTGGTGGCGAAGAAGGGTTTGTTCATGATGATCGACTCATAAATTACCCGCGGGTTGCAGTCGTTGTTGCTGTACAGGATGGTGCCGGCGCTGTTTTTGTAGACCAACGCCATCTCCCGCGACGACAACTGGTTCAAAAACGTGCAGGAGATCCCCACCTTCCGCCCCAACAGTTGCGCGCAGCGGTTCACGGTCTGGCTACAGTACGTCACGTTGCCGCCGCAGCTGCCCACGAAATAAATGTGCGTGTCGCGCAGTTCCTCGGGAAGCTGGTACGCCGGCTCGAGGTGGTGGTGCGATTTATGCAGAGCGGCAGCTGCTGCGTATCCTGCGGAAAAAGTGTCGCATTGGAAGTCGTAGTAGTGCCACTACAAGTACAAATTGCGGCCCTGCATATTCGAAATACGTCCTGTGATCTGAATCTGTGTCGCAAGTTCCTTTGCTCCCTCTGAATAACATTCTTAACAATCGCAATTCATTGCAATTTCATTTTAACATCTCGTAGTGCGACACTTTTATTGCAAACTTCATATCGCCGAACCAACACCAGCGGCAGTTCCGCCCGTTCCCCTACTGGAGGTCCGCAGGCTGTGCTCGTAGAAGAGGTTCAAGAAGGCGAGCTGTCCCTTGGCGGGTTTCAGCACGGCCGGGTACACCAGCGCCTTCTTGTTCACCGGGAATTGCAGCATCCGGCTCGGGATCCGAGGGGCGGTCACATTCGGGTAGGGCAGCACGATGGTCCGGTTTGGATCTGTCTCGTCCACTTTGGTCTGGTTCGGAAAGGGCAACGCGGAAACATTCTGGATCCCGTACACCCGGGCCAGCTCCTGCTCGTCGTCCTCAATGATTTCGTGCACATTCCTTCCCACCGCGTACCGACCTTCCAGTAACTCCCGGAACCACGGATTAGGCGGCTTTAGCACCTCGTCGTCCTTCAGGATCGAGATTTTCTGCTGCTCGAAGTTCGAAATCTGCGTTTTCGACAGGTGAAATGTCGGGTACAAAATGGTCTTCTTCGCGCAAATATCAACTGCAAATCTGTCTCGGTCGGAGATCGACCAGTAAGACTTGTGCAGGAATATGTTCTCCTTTCGTGCCACGACGCAGTTTGTGGTCATGCGCACCGGGGGTCATGAGAAAGAGTTTGACATAAAACTTGCCCTCCTGCGTGGGCACACTGACTCAAATTGACGGTTTCCTTGTTCTTGACTCGTTCAAAATTCATCAGCGTCATAAAGTCATAATTGCTGACCAAGACAGATTCATTACAATGCATACAAAATCCCGCCGCGCGCCTCGGCGTGCATGAAGCTGTTCACTTCGAAGATGAACATGAGGTCGAACTCCTTCGGCTTCTGCTTCTGCGGCTCCTGCGGATTACTGACCTTCCCCATGAACGAGTAGTGCGTGAGGCCCTGCTGCAGCGACACGAAACAGCCCTTGCCGTCCATCCGGTACACGGTCTTGTTGTAGTCGCGACCGACCAGCCAGATGTCGATGCTGCTGTTCGTCAGCGCGCGGACCCAGTAGGGGAGACACCAGGACTGCGTGCGACACACGCACCCGTTGGCGTTCGCGTTCACCGCGCGCCCGCCGTGGGTGGCGTAGTTTTGGTCCTGGAACGAGTACCAGTAATAGAAAATGATGGAGGAAAAGTGGACGGTGAGCGTGTTTTCGTACTTCAGATTGCGGTCCACAACCTCAGAAACGTCGGTCCCGACCGGAAGACGCAGCTTCTTGGGAATCACCAGCCCGGGCTTTTCCGCCGACTCCGTGTTCGCGTACAGGGTACGGATCAGTTCGTCCTTCACCGACGGCCAGTCGCGCTTTAAATCCGGCTTCATGCTTTCCTGCAGTTCGGAGAAGAGGAGGTACGTGGCCTTCCGCAGCAAGTCGTACTTGAGCTCCGTCTCCTGGGCGATGGACAGGTAGATCAGCGAGGTGAGCACGCCCCCGGGACACTTTTCGAACAGCTGCGTTTGCTCGACCAGGTACTTGTCGTACACTTTCGCACTCCACTGCATGGGATCCTCGCTGTCCTGCATCTGCGTGGTCATCTGGGACATGCGCTGGATGGAATTCTGGAGCGCTACGATCTCCGGGATCTCCGCGCAACCTGGGGACAGGGTGGAGGATCGTAGTATTCTGTGCAAAAACGTCCCCACCCTGGACGACTCCCTAGTAGGTCAAACAAAAGCGACTATTCAGAGATATTGACAAACCGTCCTTCAGAGTCAAGTGATTCGGAGATATTGACCCCAAGCCTAGGCCACAAAAAAATCAGCCGAGGACCTTGTTGCCTCTCGCCATTGATAAATCAAACCACGTGAAGAAATGAAGGCGTCGCGCCACCAGCTGTTGGCGTGCGGTGGTGGGGACACTTTTGTAGAAGATAGCAGAACCTTGGGCCGCGGGTATCGCAGGAGCGCTGTTCGATGAACCTGCTGTTGCGGAGGTGCTATCTTGTTCGGCGTAATTGATCGCATTGTCTGCGGCAAACATTCGCTTCTCCTCATCGACACCTGTCCGGTCGGTAGCGGTCGTTCCGGCCGGAAGGAGTACACTTGCGAAGTGCAGTAGTTGCGAGATCTTCACCAGGGCCGAGAATAGAAGGACGAATAACGATGAAGGAGAAATGGAAATCGCTCTTCTTGCCTTGGGGTTATAATTTTCGACGTTGTTACAAACACGTGGTTGTTCTTTATCGACAGCATTTTTAAGTTTTGACCTGCGTCTTCTTGTTGCACTGGAATTACTGCAACTACCCCACTCTTCTCCGTCGCTTGCACTATCACCTCCTTGGCAAAAACTTCTGTCCGGTCTTCGTCTGCGCGCTCGCCACCGCGGCCGGGTGGAAAGTAAAATGCAACGCCCATCCGTCTTTGAGCATGCATTTCTATTTCCTGCTGGTTCGTCCTGCTCCCTAGAAGAATATTTCTCCCAGTGCAGTTGACACTCGAATCGCCTCCATTTCTTCGCGGCTTTCTTTGCAGTTGCATACAAGAACTCAGGCAGCTTCGATAAAAACCAGCGCGCGGTGCTGGGAGAAGCTGGAGTACCACTTCGAAAGTAGACACGACCGCTTGTACGCCGACTAGTAAAGGAACTGCTCCGTGCTTCGTCTACAAACCTATCGTGGACGAGAAGTTGTGCTGTTTCGTGTTTTTGTCCCGGGTGTTGACGCAATCTAGATCCCGGGTCGGCAAACTCCAGCGGTGCCTTGTTCGTGACGGCGACCGCTGTTGCCGCCGCTGTCGACCGAGGTGATGAAGCCGAGCTGTTTGTGCTTCTGCGCCGACTGGCTGCCGTTTCCATTTCGAACAGCGTTCAGTTCTCGTGTGTAGTTCTACCTTACGCAACTACTTCGCGGCAGCAATCCACACTGAAGACAGCACCTCCAGTTCGTTGTGCTACAACGAGCAAACAAGCACGGGGTTCTACTTGATGCACATCCTCTTGAACGCTTTTCTCTGCGAGAAACGACGAACTTGTATTCGTAACTGTTGTAAGTCGACAAGTTTACTCTGGTGTCCTGCTGACAAAAAAAAACTGGAACCGAAGTAAATGAAACAACAAACTCAGGACTACAGCGTTAGTACAGATTCCAGCACCGTGCAGCTGGGGCTACGGAGCGTTTTTTGTTCACACATAGATACACGATCGCAGCATCTCAAAATACACCGACCTTCAGATCGACTGCCGGACAAGACGCAGAAAGAAAAAAAGTCCGAGAAATCGGCACGGGGCTGCTCTTGCCGAGAAGACAAAAGAAAAAGATTCGAAAAGAAAGAAGACTCAGTCGGTGACCACCGGTTTGCGTTCGACTTGTAAGAACATAGAAATTCCGGAGACAGCTTGTAACAGATAGATGAACAACAAAAGAACAAGACGAGTCGTGATTATTCACTCAGGGTTTTTCATCCTGAGACAACAACTCCAGGAGCTACCACTGCACCAGCATCGCGCGCTCCCTTGGAATCTCGGTTGCCCGAGGTCAGGAAATCAATACTATCGGTGCTTTTTCTTCATACATGCCACAAGCAATAGATGGTCTCCATGCTTTGGAAACAGAAACGGAAAGAATGTATGGGTCGTGAATTCTGAATCATCAGCATCACAACTTCTACGGAGTGCGTCGAGAAAAGGTTCTTTGTTGCAGTTGCAGCAGTCCAATGAAATCATACATGAAAAAAAAAGACAACTTCTTGCTTCAACCAGAAAATGAACCAGAACCACTGGCGGCGCCATGGTACTCAGCTGCTCATTATACAATTTCCGAGGTAGTGCCATCAGCGTCGTTCTCATTTTCGCTGTCGCTCTCTAAAAAATTTTCCGCGATGGGAGGAAGCCTATGCAGCGACTTCATTCTTGAGTCGCGCTTCATTCCTTTGGATTTCGAATTCCTTGCCGGCCTTTTGCTTGTCCTTCGCTGGGCTGGGAGCGGGGGGTTCCAACGCGCTTCAAGAGTATGATTTTGCAGGTCAGGTTGCGCCGAAAATGTCGATTTTTGTGACTTCCTGCCCGGTCGTACGGTTCGGCCTGTGGCGGCTGCCTTCGGACGCGCCAACTCGACTGCTCTTGTTTTCCCACCGTACCGCGTAGAAGATTCTTGGTTCATAATCAGGTGGTCTCTCCCATTTTCCGCTTCCACAAAAGGTACCCGAGCCTTCGGCCTCCAGCAACCAAGGCAACGCGACAGAAGACCGCTTGGCGGGACCCCCGAAGCAGCTTCGACGGGGAGAACCGTTTCGGAGAGCCCGGTCAGAGCCAAGAGCAGAACCAGCACCGGGGTGCGACTAAGTCGTCGGGACATGGTTATTTTTTGTGGTGTCAGCGTTGGTCGTCGGATAGGACAGTATTTTTCGCCCGACACAAAACCAAGTCCCAATTCGTAGAGAGTAAAAGAAAGTCGAGTAGTACTTATATGAAAATTTAAATTTTACACGAAGCCGCTACCTAAATTTCTTGACAAGCAACAAACTGCGAGTGTGCAACTTTGAATCCCAATTCGCCATGAAGGTATGTAACAACCAGACAAATTCGCATGGAATCAAAATGATCGACTTTGCTCGGCTGGCACTGCGCCAAGAATGATTTGTCAGATCGGGGCTCCTCATGCACTTTTACGAAATTCTCGAAGTTTGCTATTGCTTCTCCATCGCCTCATCACTCTCCGCCAAGGACCAGAAGTTTTTCCTCTCCATTTTATTTCTAGAACCTGGATCATTGATTTCTGTTCCCTGCAGGATCTGAGCCAGCACAAAAACTATTGAGACATTCTTGCCTCGGCACGAAAACCGAAATCTTGCCAAGAGAAGCTGTCGCTCTAGAGACAGTCATGAAAAGCAGCACGTGCTCCGGATCACCGTGTGAGAACTACACCACGGCAGTAATAATCCCTCACGATCGGGAAAAGGAATCTGGGATCGACCGTAGTTCGCACCACGCCATTGCGTCAGTCATCCACTTTCATTACGTGGTGCTTTTTCCGTTTCTGAAACCATACCTATTCTGCGACTGTTGCTATTCTTCCAGTTCATTTTGAAGGAATGATATCGATGCGACATTGCCACTTCATGTCCTCGCGGCTTGGGTTTCTTCTTCTCCGAAAGCAGGCTATTTTTTGTTCCTTGCTTCACATGAGACAAATAAAAATCATCTTTCGTACGAGTTATTACGAGCACGCGCTGCTCTGTTTCTGTACTAACAGCACGACGCATAGTAGAACAAGAACTCAGTCACTACGGAATCATGTTTTGCCCAGTGGTGTCTTCTATGTTAAGAAAGAAAGCAAAAATCACCACTAGCGGAGCGAGCGGTCTGCCCCTCCGAAATGGATCACAAATTCACGCATAGAAGTATCTTCTACCGCCCGGAGCTCAGAATTCCGATTCGCGAAGTGAGGTTGCTTGTGTTTGGTAAAACTGCAAATGGCGCTCCTACAAGTGACGGAGTAGCGGAGATCGCATCAGTGTCTCTACTGCACACGCGACCTGATGATGTGACTCTTCTTCTACTGGCCCAAACTTTGTTTCATCAATAACGACTTTTGGAAAAAGAAAGCTTTGCGGTGTCGTGCTTGTGGAGAATAATTGTACAACCAATTGCCTGCTAATACAAAACCTGAGTCTTCTAGAAAAGTGCACATATTGAAATTTTTTGAAGCGTTTCTGCCTACCGCAGCAGCACCAGCACCCGCGCAAGTTCCAACATTTTTTTTCCGTCGCGCACCTGTGCGATCCAGTCAAGTGGAACGGGGAAAAGACCGTTACCTCCCCCAAGCGTTCCCGCAGCAGCGCCATAGCAGGCGCCAACGAGCCCGCACCGCGATGCGGATCAGCCGCCCGCCAGCATGGCTTGACGCACCGCGTCTGCGAAATGAATTTCTCGGTTGCCTTTTTGCAGCTTCTCGCGAAGTAGTTTCGCCTGCAACAAATCCTCTCCAGAGACGAGCGAAGGGGAAGCGGAAGAAGAAGTAGCAGTGGCTTTTCGACGCAATTTTTGCACTGAAACTTCTACCCCTTCTGCTCCATCAAGCGAACCAGTACTTCTATCAGCTCGAACGACGGTGTCGTTCGTGACCCGCAAACACGGCAACAAAAACGAGTTGGGCAGTCCTCAGCTCACGGTCACGGCGTTGTATTGCCCGCCGGAGTAGGCGCGCACGCCGTCCAGGTAAGGCATGTCGCTCAGCTGCTCCTCCAGCTCGACAAGTTGCTCGCCAATCTCGGAATCCAACCCGGAACTGGCTCTCGCCCTCTGACTTGTTCTGCTTTGTCCGGCCGAAGTGGACAGCAGCGCGTCGGCGCAGTGCTTCACGGCCTGATTTCCCGTGGATCCAAAAAGAATGATCTGCTCCAAAATCCGCGCGGCCGCGCAAGCGTACGCGACGGTGAGCGCATTGTTCTGGGTGATGCGAACGACCGCCGCCACTTGCTCCAGCATGTCGGTATGAAAGAGCAAAAAAACCCTTCCCGTCCGCCTCATTTGTGTTGTGCAAAACTATTACCAAACGCAGATAAGTATTCATTCCCGATGATGACTGTCTGCATCAAGAACATGAACATCCGGAACTCAGACAGTACAACAAACCCTGCGCGGATTTGTCACGCAGAGGCCACATTTCTGTCGTTGCTTGTGTTGCTGGTCCTCTTCATGCGTTTGTTTGTAAACACGACGAGAGGAAAGGGGGATGATTATGCACTCTCATAGTCTTCCCTCCCGGCGTGGAGCGCAACAACCGGAACCGCCCGAATGAAGCAGTCCGAGCTTCCGTCATTCGACCCGCAGGTGGGAAATTTCTTCCCCAAGATCGTCACATTCCGCAGAAACTTATCCAAGCTGCCGTGTCGCCACGGCCCGCGGATCGGTAAATCGCCCACGGTATCCTGAGTGAAAACGCACACACCCCCGAGGCAAGTATTGCGGCACGCTTTCTGCCACACATCAGGAAGCTGGGGTAGACAATTGTAGCGCAGTGTCACGCGTAACCGTACGCAGGCGCAGCCAGGACGGCCGCAATACATAAAGCGAGTTGTTTCTGCATATCTGCACAGCACGACAAAGCACGAGTGGAAATAAGTGGCTCTCTTCCACATCATGCGCAGGCGCATGACAAAACGCAAACCTCAAAAGTCGGGGACAAACACGTTTTTGCAGCAGGATACGCGGATTGGACGTTTGTGTTCCCGAGCGGGCCGTAGTTGCTCGTGTTCGGTCCGAACGCGAGCACGTGTTGTTTCACCAAATCGTCCACTTCCAGTTTCCCGCACCTCGCCATGGATTCCAGAATCACGAAGGCCTGGTCACCGAAACAGCTGTTGGACCCGCAGGGCACTTCGTAGTACTGGTTCTGACTGGGGCACAAGAACTCCGGGGTTTCAAACCGGTTTAGGTCCTTCAAATTTCGGTGGTAATACGTCACTTTGTAGTTCCAGTGCGTCGGCTGCGCGGCGGCGTCCGCGGTCAGGAGCCCGACAATCGCGTAAAATGCGCGGAGCTGAACGTCCGTCAAACCGGCAACTGCGTTTGCTACAAGCTCCGCGGCCACGTTTGTATCCCCGATGCTGGTCTTGACCTTTTCCAAAAACGGCGGCCGTCGCTCCGACGGCTGCCAGAACCGGTGGCTCGGGGAGATGAGAGGCACGTCGGAAGTAGTTGAGGCAGAGGACCCGGTTCCTATTTTTCCCACCGCGTGCTTCTGCACCTTTTCGAAGATGTGCGCGGTGATGGAGGGCAAGTCGGGCCGGTGCGCGGACTTCATGATTGGCAAGTTGGCGTGCAGTTCGTGGAACAGGTGTGTGTTGTCCCGGCCGATCGCAAAGACGTTGCCACCCTTGTGCGCCCCATCCTTGTCGTTGATCAGCGGTGCGACATCGAGAACCGTGTTGTCCACAATGATCCACTTCTTCCCCTTCACCTCGCACTGGTGCTGCACCTCCTGCCGGGACAGGAGCGGGAGAGAGGCCAGCATTTTTCTATTTGGCGGACAGGGTGACGTTGACAAGGCTAGAAAATTCTTACCGGTAAATGGTAGAGCATTTACAGGACAGCCTTGCGGCTGCTACATCGACATAAGCTTTGGACACATCACAGATAAACCAGCACAACATCTTTACCCGTGTCGATCTACTCATGTACTTAAAGGCCAAAAGGGCCCGGGGGGAGACCTGAAATCAGCTTCGAAACGACGTGTAGAAAGGAAACCATGTTCAGCAGCAGGAAATACTGAATAAACCCAACGACAGAATAGAACCGAATTTTGAATTTGAGTCGGTGCTTGCGCCCTCGCCCAGGTTTTCTTGTGAATGAATCTAGCGAATTGTTTCAAGCGCTTGCACAGCCGGCCATGCGTAGGAATGAGAAACGCGTATCCGGTGTAGAGGACGCTGATGGGTTTTCTTTAGGAAGACCTTTCTGACTCACTTTGGTACAAGAATAGAAACCAAGTGAGCAAACGAGGTTCCGCAGAGTGTATGTTTTTAAAAGCGATTGTGGCCGCTTGTCCGAACACGAATTTTTTACAAGAAGTACATCGGTGGAGTATCGGGCGTTTTTCGGCTGTAGAGACTGTGCCAAATCTTCCGGTCTTGTTCATTTCTCAATCGTACAACAGCGGGCGGCGCATGTTACAGGCCTACTAGCGCCAAATCTGCATAACTTTAGTCAATTTTCGCCTCCTCACTAGTTCCAGGAATCACAGTTGCGCTGCTCCCCGCTCCTTGAAGTTGTACGGAAGATGGTTCTATCCCTGTCGTTCCGTTCCCGGCATGATCTACACTGGCAAAATTTCTCATCTCTACTCCGCTGCCGAAGCCGCTGTTTTTGTTCATAACATTTCGCCTCCCCTCACCTTTCGCCTTCTCGCTCGCTGTTATCTGCATGCGGGCTACAAGGTAGCTGATTGCGCAGGCGATCACGAGCTCTGTGACAGCGAGGAAATTTGGTTCCAGTGTGTGAAAGAGCGACAGATAATCGGTGCCGGAAGTCCGCACACAATGGAGTAAAAGGCCGAGAACCATGCCTGTTACCTTAGTTTGGAGAAAAGGCTTGAGCAATTGAAGTGCGCGTGCGAAATTTTTATGGAGCCGATGGTTCTTCGGCGGAACTCAAAAAAGCGAAAAAAAAACGCGAACTTCTACAGACATCATGTACACGATAGAATGCAAAAATCGCGAGAAGTTGCCATCCTATACCTGGAACCCGATGTAGATCTGCGCCTGAATGTCCGATATCACCAAATTCCCCGTGCTTTTCGTTCCGTGCAGCAGCGCCAGCGTTATTACAGGGTTAAAGAGCCATGTTTGGTTGGCATTGGAAAGTCCGAAAAGTTTAAAGCCGCTGTGGTACAACACACTCGTGACGAGGCAGAACGTCCAGCCGAAAAAGAGCCAACTTTCCGTCTCCAACCGCGTGCCGCACAGATGTACGACCTCCAGCAAACTCCAGGTTATCAGAAAGGAATACAGGCATTCGAATCGCACGTGCTTCCGAACGGCGATAAAATTTTTGTCGAACTTTTTCGTTTTGTCCGCCACCAGCCAGGGCACCAACTGCTCGGCGTTCTGCACGGCCGTGGCTCCGCAGAGAAAGGCGAGTAGGAGCACGTCTTGGATCGCTTTCATTTTGGACAAAAGCATGATCAGCACGACCGTGAACCAGACCAGGCCAATCAGGATCTGGAACCAGTCCTTTTGCAGTTGCGACGAACGCTGAGGCAGCATGGTTTTCGCGGGTTTAATTGTGGGTTGTTACAGAAGATGAAATTGAAACCGAATCGATATCTTTAAATTTGCGCAAGGTGTGACATGAGTGGCTTTGGTGCTGAGGCCTACTATCTTTCTACTGGTAAGTCCCGCCCCGGGGAAGTGCGCAAGGCGAAAAATGTGCCTGGGTTGCGGTTCCTGGATTTAACATGATATCACGTCTTCGTGTTCGCTCCGTCGAGAAGAAACAAAAATGGGATGAAAATATTCAAAAGTGATCAGCGACACGTTCGAATTCGGAGTACCTCTGCAAGACCGAAAAACGGATGATTCTGCGGGGAACAAAAGCGCACTCTCAGGGAACGAATTTTCCAGCATAATATGATCTCAGAACACGGATTCCCACCGGCTGCAGAGCCAGATGCCACACAGCACCTGCTCCACCAAAGCTACTAGAGCAACGAGGCGCCTGCGCTCCGTCGCTTCCTCTCGAAAGCGTTTCTTTTTACTAGGGTGTGAGTCTTAATCTGGTCGATTCAAACAGGTTTCATTTGTGAAGGCGCAGTCTCGAGGCGTCGCGAACAGTTTTGGAGAACAGCGTCCTTCCACAGAGAATTTCTTTTCCCAGCAGCTTTGCCATATCATGATCAAAAAAGACATTGAAGATGCGACAAAACAACTTAGCAGACAGCCGGGGCAGCGGAGGCAACCTTGGGCCAGATTTCGGCGCACTCCTTGGCGATCGGGCCGGTGACGGCGGATCCCTTCATCTCACCCTTCTCGTTCACGATCACGCCCGCGTTGTCTTCGAAGTAGATGAAGACACCCTCCTTGCGGCGCCACGCCTGTTGTTTTGTTGGAATGAAACATAGAATGTGTATGTTGTGGAGAAAGAAACAACGTGTATAAGGTCATGAGTATGGCTCCAGGCAAGACAACCGCGAAAACGTCTTGACGACTTGAAGATTCTTGCAAAATTATGGAACTTCGCAACCGAATGGAGCGTGTTTTTCGCTGTAGAAGACGATCTCGTATATCGTGATGTTCCTCCTTCCAAAGGAGGTACGCGCTCAAGAAGTTTTAAAACCCATCTGGTGCCCCTCTTTACCAAATCTGAAAGTGGGTAGTAGTGGTGCAAACATACAAATGCTGAAACATTAGAAAAACCAATGTACCTTTTTCTGACGCACGACGACGGCGAGCAGGACCTTCTTACGGAGCTCTGGCTTCCCCTTCTTCACGGAGCACAGGATCATGTCACCCGGACCGGCCTTCGGCAGACGGTTCAAACGAGCACCGCAACCTGGAATTTTCAATTAGCGTGGATCGCAAGTCATCCATAAGAATGGCATGCCGTACGAGTTATTTGTTCGGCTTGTATGTTCTAAATCCAAATCGGTTCATCGCGCTACGACATATCAGAAAGCAGTTTCAGAATAAAAGTTCCATGCGCACTGACGAGCCACAGACATCAAACCAGCACCACAAGATAGGACGTGAAAATGCAAATCTAAAGTCGAAAAAGAAAGTGCCAATTATACCTTTCGCGGCGATCATGTACAAGTTGCGGGCTCCACTGTTGTCGGCGCAGTTGATCAGCGCGGCGACGTTCAAACCCAGAGACATCTGCAGCTTGGCGCCGCGACCAAAGGAACCTCCCTTCATCTTGCGTTTTGTGTTGAATCGACTTCGCTTAAGACCCGTAGATTAAAACACCCGTAAAAAGTGTTTTCCCTGTGAGGATAGAAAAAAAAACGTAGAAGGATTGCTCAGGTGGTCGGAGTGATGATCTTCCATGGTGAGAACATAGTTCTGTAGCAGCAGTGCTCTCCTCGACATGGCGCTATAGTGGAGCTTCGGAAGTCCACATTTACGAACTTCAAGTAAAGGTTTAGATCTTCAGTTGAACCTCCTCTCGGATCTTTAAATTTCACGGTGGACGATTTTGAACGATTTAGAACTGCCTTCCAGGCGATTTAGTGTCTATGTCTCAAGAGAAGTGATTTGGATCTTGCTGACAGGTCGTCTTTCTAAAGTACAGCGCAAAGACTGATACAACAGATCGTACAGAATGTCTGGGATCGGGGGAGTTGTGAACTTCCGTGCAAACAATCACGTTTTCAGAACCTGCACTTTTTCCCTGATCAGATCTTGATGTGACGGCATTGATTTCTCTTTTTATGTTATTGCGGGTCGTGTGGATCTAAAGATTTCGAGACTCAATTTGCTTTTTCGCACGAACGCGACGCACGAGAGCGGCGTTACCTCGACGTGCATCCTGTAGCTCAGCCGCAAATCTCGGCTTTTAGTGCAATTATTTTCAGACCAACACCTCTTGTTGTGAATGTTGATCAACACTAGCTGCACAACTTGATCACTTAGAAGTTTCTTCACTACAAGCTCGCGACCTGTCCATTTTAGTACGTGGATATTGTATGTAATTGACAAGCCGCTCACTCCGCTTTCCCCATCGCTTCCTTCCCGAGCAGTTTAAAGATCATCCTGTCATCAAAAAACCACACTTCCCGCAGCATCGCCGCGTCCATAACGCATTTAAATAAACTGTCTTTCTCCTCTCCGGCTGTCCGCCGCATTTTCCTGCCCCGGTACGCGATGATTTGATGCTCCCTCATCTCTGCTTTTATTTCCACGTGGAAGTTCTCTCCCTGTTCATCTTCCACCCGACCACCAAGCCGGTCGCACGCTTTGCGGATAATCCAAGGGGTTTTACCCTCCTCCGGGACCCGCCACTTTGCCACTTTCGAAAAATGCTCTTCCGGATGTTCGGAGAGAAGGGCCGGTACTAGCGTCGTGCACTCCACCGTCAGGTACGTATCTCGTCGTTCTCCGAACAGTTTCTCCCTAGTCTCTTTCACACCCAACACACTCGACTCCCCGTCCGCGCCGGGCCCGACCACGCAAAGGGACATGAAAAACGGTTGCAACTTTTTGGCAGCAACGAGCAGCTCCAGACTGTATTCGTCGCGCTTCGAGTTGTCCGGCCCGAACTGGTGGTAGGACAGATCGCCCATCCCTCTCCCGAAGGGCACATACAGCTGGTTGGCTCTCACCAGGACCACGTCGCGAGTGGGATTCTGGACCGCGCGCAGCTCCAGATCGTCCTCGTCTGATGAAGCGGACATTTTCGCGTTTAAACACAGATCGGCGCTGGTTTTCTCCTCGAACAGGGGGGCGAGGACGTCTCCACCGGTGTCCACGGCGAAGACGTGGACATTCGGTGAGGTCGTGTGCGACGAAAAGCCTTTCTGCAACCAGGTAACAAGGTCGGCAAAGATCATCGCGCTTTCTTCCGCACAGCAGGGGTCGACAACAAGACCCAAAATGTTGTTTGTGTTTTGTGGGGGAGCTTCGTTCTCCGCGCCCGTCTCTGACGATACTTCCTTGTTCCTCACGACAGAGTACAGTAGTGGTTTGTAGTCTTTCTTCTTTCCCTCATCTGCTAAATCGCTGCCCAAACCACGACTTGTTCCGCTACTACTTTTCGCACCTGCCACTGCTCCCCAAAACGCCTCGTCCACAACTGTGAATCCCCGCTGCAGCTGCTTTGCCTTGGTCTGCTCCGCATCAAAGGTTCCGTCTGCCTTCACGCCCGCGCCCAGCGCAAGCAGTACCAGTGTGCTAGCGGTTTTAGATGGTAGGGTAGTTTCCCTTTCATTTGCTCCCTCGCAAGAAGTAAATTGTTTTTCTTGCACGGTCAGAGAGTATTTCTCCAAGAGTTCCGCCGTATCCACATCCGACCCGCCCCCGATCCCGAAAAAGATTTTTGGCTGCACGGAAGACAACGCCGCGCGCAGCATGGTGTGATTTCGCACGCTGAATGCGGAGTTTATTTGGATCGCCGGCGCGCTCGGTCTGAACGGTAAAACTCGCAGCCCTCGGTCTTTCGCCAGCCGGGGAGGATCGGGGCAGCTAGTGAAGAAACAGGAGTGCCGCCAGCAGGGTAGGATTTTTACATCGTGATGACACAATGATTTTTTCGTACGAAATGCTCGTACAGAAGTCCTCCCATGTTGCATCACTTTACCTTATGTATATGACTTTTCCTCTGGCGTTCGTCACTCAAAAAACGACAACGACGAATCCGTATTGTCCTCGCTCTCAGAGTTTCTTTAAAAAGGCGGCAAACAAAACCCAGACATCTACCTCTCGCGAGATGAGAAAAAAATCGCATACTGCAGCGGAGACTCGGGCGAAGCTTTTGATCGTAAGGTTGCAAGCAGATGCAGAAGTCGCCCCCCCACAGAACAGAAAGAAAAACGCGCCACCTCACCTGTCCTCTGCTTTCAGGTAAATATTTGTGTTTGTGCCGAATCGACGCACTCGTGTGCGAGAAGCAACTGTGTTAAGAATCTGGGTGTAGTTTGGCCATGAACCACTCATGTGGGGCGATTATACGGGCTCACTGCAGAAAAAAGGCTTTCGCTTTGTCTCGACCTATTGCCAATAATAGCCGCGTCCGCGGAGGTAGTGAGGTCATGGCGGTCTTTTTGTCTTCACGCCAAAAAAGACGCAACTTCTCTGCCGGCCATGCCATCGTGAGTAATGTTATGCACGACGGCACGGCAGTCGCTAAAAATCTCACTCCAGAGCTGGCCTCCATTTAGTGTCGATTTTAAAAACCTTCCCCGCATGCTATGGCCCCGCCAGGGCCCGCGCCAGGGTCGGACCCTTGGGAGCCCCAAATCGGGCCCATAGCATGCGGATTGGCTTTTTGCTTTTGGCGGGCTTTCTTTTTTTGTTTTTGTTTGGCAAAATGCTGCATCTTCTGGCCTTCAGTCCGCCTCTGAAGTGGCGGATTTTGGTGGCGTATTTTGCGAGGCCCGAATGTAGGCCAAAATGAGGCCCATATTATGCGGATTCGCTGTCTTTTTCGGAGTGCTGCGTTTTGGGCGTCCCTTTTTGGGCGCCCCAAACCGCCAGAAACCAAGGCGGTGGGCGCCTCAGAAGGGCGCCCCTTTTGCCGGCTCCCCTGCGTCGTTTTATCAAGCGGGGATCGATAGTTTTCGACCGGGCTTGTTTGCCGGCAAAGCCCCGCCCGCTTGATAATTGGAAATTTTTTATGCCCAAAAACACTTCCGGCCGCTTGAAAACTGCCGGTCGTTTTGCGTAATGACTGGCAAAAAGATCGCTAGATTAGAACGTTCGTGACCTCACTACATACAACATGTCCCTATGTACACAAACTCTCTTTTCAATCATCCCCCCAGCTGCATCACCCCAGTGTCACAACTTCGCCCCGCCAACATGGCTGTTTCGGTGTCCATTCGTTTGCCAGACCTGCGTGAGTTCTCCACGCAAATCTTCCTGAAAGAGCTGCTTGACGCATATGGAAAGGACAACACGAACAGGAACTGCGAGTACGACTACAACCGGCGAAAAAGTAAAATTGCTAAACTTCCAGATCTGCTTTGCCCGATGCAGCGCTCGAGCAGGTGAAAATCGGTCATACCTCACACACGTGGCCACATCTTCATGCACATACGCCTCTACTCCGCGCCTGAAAAACATGCATACTTTGCCATAAATGTCTAAGTGCAGTCGATCCCCGCGTTGTGTTCTGGTTTGCCCACTGCATATCCTTTTTCCGGTCCTCGAGCTCCGGGTACAGGCCGAGTAGCCACCCCAACTTCACCAGCGCCGCCTCGGGCGTCATATCGTAGGCAGGCAACACCCCGATGTTGGTCAGCGCCGCCCCGGTGGCGTAACTTCCGGCCGGCGTGCCGCCCTTGAGGCACTGGGTCACGTTCACCACGACGATCTGCTCCTTTTCGATGGCGTCCCGCAGCGTGTTCAGCAGGTACGGCTGGTTGTTGGGCGCGTTCCCCTCCCCAAAAGTCTGCAGCACCAGTCCTTTCAGTCCGTGAATCAGCTCGGCCGTGGTCGTGAACAGGCCCGGGAAGATGCGCAGGATGCTGATCCGGGGCTCGAACAGCGGCAGCAGGCGAAGGTCTTGCTGATGGAAGGCATTTTCGCCGGCGGTTGGCAATACGACTTGCGGTTCTTGCGCCGGCGCAGCTCCCGTACTACTTGCAGTACCATCGGTAGAAGGAGCGGGAGGAGGCGGATCGACCACCGCCACAGAACTCACGCGCCCCGAGGTCCGCCTTCTCTTCGCACCACCCTCCTCGCTTTGTTGGTCCGCACTGAATAAAGTCGTGCTGTTCACCTCCTTTTTTTGTTGGTCCGCAACGACTTTTCCATTTTCGTACGTCAGCCCAAACGTTCTGTTCTTCGCGCCGGTCTGCAGAGCCGACGTGAACGCGTACCGAATCCCCGCGAAACACAGCATCGTAAAGAAAAATCCCCCCTCCCCATATTGAAAAGGCATGTTTCCGAAGATTTGTGCTGCTGATTTGAGGTCACAAATCACATTTATGCTGCAAGAAGACAAGGCGATTTGTCATGCTGTTGGGCCTAAAGCGGAGCCGTTTGCCATGCTGAACAACTAGAGCCAAACGCCTCTACCTAGGCTGGGTATCTGGCCGCAATGCCTTCCAGCAATACACAGCTGATTTGTGTACACAAATCCAGCATCAGAAACTCCGTTTTGATATGGGGAGGGGCGTCTTTTCCTTTCCATACACAGCGGCCGCAAGTTTGGCGAGTCAAAAGCCCGGGGGGAGGACGTGTGAACTTTGGTCGTGCGGCACCCGCGGTAAAGCACATTGTCAAAGTACAAGCGGTATGCATCGCAAGCAGGAAGTACATAGTAGAATTCTGTAGCGAAGAACAAGAAACAACCTCCTCCAGCCGTGTGCGGGCTTGGCAATCAAGTGCTGCATTGCATAACAGCATCAAATAGAAAGCTTCAGTAGGACCACAGAAAGCTAACTCTAATTCACTGCATTTCCACCGCACAAGGGATTTGTACTGAAAAGCTGAGACGTTGACTCGTACTTCCAGCGCATAGCATGACTTCGCCGATCCGCGAGAAGGCCGCGAGCTGCAGTGCGCCGATGAAATTCATCAGGCCGTCGTTCCTTTGCTCCTCCATCGGGATCTGAGACCCGGTGAAGATCACAGGCTTGTTGAGTCTTTCCTCTGTCAAAGACAAAAGCACGCTGCGAATACGTATTATTGGTGTCCTCAATTATTGTCCTGCGCGGCATCGGGCGCTCCACTGCCTTCTGCGATGAAAAAGTGGACACAAGAATAACGCAAGTTGGTTTTTACGAGGACTGAAATTTTCCAAGGATTCCGTGTAGTGAGCAGTCTACTACTTAGCGATAGTTACTATCTAGCAGCGTGACGCGTGTTTCCCTATTGCCTTTGATAGCGAAGAAGAACGCTAACGCGGTTGCGGTGAAGGCCATAGTGTCGGTGCCGTGCAGGATCACGAAGCCGTCGAAGTGCTCGTAGTTTTCATAAATGTCTTCCGCCAGCTCCTGCCAGATGAAGTGCGTGAAGTTGCTGCTATCCAGCAGGGGGTTGTACTCTACCAACGTCGTGTGAATGCGCCGCTTTTCGCTGGCCTGCTCGTGCGACGCAGAATGCGGAACGAACTGCGAGCCATGATCTGCAGCACCACCCGCGGACGGCAAGCTGTGTGGCTGCTGCCCGCCCGGTGGTCGCATTGAAGATATATTACCGCGGTCCCCTAATTGTTCGTCTCCGGCAGAGGACAACTTCATCTTCCCCGGGCTCCGTGGAGCACTAGGCGGATGGACCAAGTTTGTCGACAAAAAATTTACCGAGGGCGAAATCAGCTCCCGAGGCGGCATGCGCCGCTGCTCGGGCTCGTCGTCGTGCGCAGCTTTTTCGTGTTCCTTATTTATTCGGGATTCCGAAGTCGAGCCACCAGCGACTTTCTGCTGCTCCTCCAAAAATCTTTGCATCTTCATCTCCCTCGCTGCACTGGCGTTCGTTGCAGTCTGTACCGCACCACTGCCGTGGTCATTTTTCCGATTGCCATCACCGAGAACTACACTGCTAGAAGTTGTACTCCCGATTGTAGTTCCTCTCACGGCCGGTGCCCTGTAGACGCTTTTGCTGCGAGGGTAGGGGCTGGACTGGTCCGGCGAAGAAGAAGCGCTGGAAGATTTTCGTCCCAAGCCTGCCGTAAACTCCGCATCGTGAAACATAGGCAGACTCTGCACCCAGTCCGAAAGAAACCCCGGCACCGGCTCCGCGACATTGGTTTCCGGATTTTTACGCATGCCAATCGTGCCCCCCGTGTACAAGCAAAGAACCGTGCGCACCGGTGGCCCGGCTTGGGTTGCAGGAGTACGCTCAGCAGGTGACATGCTCTTGGTCTTCCCGCAGCTACTTGGCTGTCGATGAGGTGGATCACTTCTAGGTTTCGCTCGATCACTCTTATCTGGTCAAACGTATGTGTGAAATCTTTAATATGCCTGCTTTGGCTGTAGATTCTATCTGGAGTCCACAGCTCACGCAAAGTTTTTTCCCAAGCATGCCTGTTGAAAAGGAACTTTTGCTGCGTCCGGTGTAGTTACTACACCGGACGCAGCAAAAGTTCCGCAGATCTGGCTTCAAAACAAAGCTGCAATACACACAAAAAGATGCTCTTGCACGAAAACGACGTTCTATAGGGGAAGAGCAATCTCAAACACGAGGATGAAAAGGCGGTCTACTCTACTTTTACCGTGGGGATCATTTCCAAATCAAAAACAGGCTGCGCAGCAAACCGCGCTAGGTTTGAGCGAAGCCCTGCACGACCGCAGTCGAGACCAAGACAACCTCTGTGGCTGAGCGTCCGCAGTGTGGCGTAGTGTCGCTATGTAAGCACCGACAAGAATATTCCTCTCTGAAGACTCAGAAGAAACAAGATGCGGCGACTCGGAGTCCGATGGATAAGAATCCAAGCAACTAAAAACCAAGATCCATAGACAAACGAGCTGAACTCAAAATGGAAATCAAATCGAAGACAAAACGGCGCGCAAAAAGGGCGCTGCGCTGGCGATACATACTGGAGATCATACATAAGTCTTTGTTGGGTGGTCAAGTGAAGAATATCATGATAGCCGCAACATCAGCTAGATCCGTTGTTACACAAGGCAAAGCAGATGAAGCACCTTCTTGTTTCTCCCTCTCGAGCAGCTCTGTCTTCCTCGGGAAAGACTATGTGTGAGGAGCTTGGTAGCGCAGGTCTTTCGATCGAGGGACTTCTTTCCAGCGGTTAGAGTACTGAAGAAAGACCCGGCTTTTGTTAGCTACGGCCATCATGATAATTCTAACTAAAACCGACAAAATTGGAGCTTGGTGATTAGGAGTCGCGAAAGATCAAAATGCTGAATGCTATTAGAGTGGAAGAGACGAAAGAATAAAGCGATACGATCTTCAATTTGAGGCAGTGAACGAACTGTAAAAGCATTAAACGGGAACAGAAGTAGAAAATTAATTGCGTGCAGAAAATCCGAGTTGTAAACAAACATTAACAGTGTGCTCTTTATGTACTAATAGGTAATATTGGACAATACAAACGTCTTTAGATATCATCTGCTTTTGTGCGAGCATTGGTTGGTCCTTCCATGGGTGCGCTCGAGTCTCGCTCTTCAGCGAGTTTCTGTGCTATTCCTGCTCTAGCTAGGGACGTAGAAGGTCATCCCTGACCAGACCTGGACGGAAAAATTGCAGTCCACGGTTGAACGGTAATAGTGGTTGAGAAAGTAATAAGTAAACTGAAAACAATAATAAACTGATACTGAAAACAGTAGAGAAATACAGCGGCCGAACGGTGTTTTGTATGAGCGAGAGTAGGGCCTGCCAGTGAAAAAAAACTTCGACGCAACGAACTTGTTTGAACATTCTTCCATGCTGCAGTTGTCCAAATGAAACCTCTCCCAACACACATACGCCAGTATAGCACTAAAATGCCCAAAGCTACAACGAGAGGCGCAATCAGCCTTTGGTGTGGTAGATAACTCCGCACCTTCACGACCTTAGACAGGTATATTCGCAATTTCGAAATAGCGCTTCAGGTCTGTTGTAAAGAGGACGGTGGCATGCGTCATGTGTAGCTAGACACGAGGACTGCGAATTCCTCAGCCGGCATTCTTCTTTGCGCGGTACATCTTCAGAAAGATTTGCATAGTGTTCTTGGGCACAGTTTTCATTTCGACATAAGTAGAGCTGTCAAGCGACCGCCGAACTAGGCTGCGAGAAAGCTGCTGCTCCCGCCGCCGCCTCGGGAGAACTTTCCGATGTGCTGCGCAATTTCGTCTTCTTGTTCTTTTTGCTGTTTCCGCAAAGCAGCCAGTTGTCCGTCAAGTTCGACCAGCTTCCTTTGCTGCGCGTCGCTGCGCCGGGGTTCGACCATCATGTCAAAGCGCTCGTCCTCCACAGCGGAAATTTTGTCCATGAAAAAATTGAGCGCATCGTTTTGGAGGTGGCAGGTGGAAAGTTGTCAGAATGGAAATCAAACTCATGCGCCAACCCGTAGTTTGAAACTGCAATAAAAAGAAGGGTCACTCGTCCGCTGGGATTCTCGGAGCCATGGCAAGAGGGCTCCATCCGCCCAGCCCCGCCAGTGTACAAAAACAAAACAGCGCCACTTCCAAATGAACAGCGGCGGCCTACATGATTGGTAAATTCCAATTGGCCTTGCGGCGCTGAAAGAAGTTGGTTTTTTTGCACAGCCCGTCATTGTGATCTATTTCATCGAACTAGACTGAGCACCGCTGTAGTCATTTCCATCCGGACAATGTTTCCACCTAACACTTCCATAATGCAGCTTACCCGCGAACTCATCCGCTACCGGTTTGCCCAAGCCATTGATTTGCCCAATCAAGGAGAAATACGCCACCGCTCCCCATTTCTATATTACCAGACTCATGACTAAGTTCCATTCCGCGAGTCGTGCAGCCACTATGCATTTAGAAGACTCGCCGTGGTGCAAAAAAATGAGCAAAGTGTGCGAAGAAGCACGACAGACACACGGACTAGGCCCAAGGTGAAACACGACACCCGGGCGTCAAAAGCTTCTGACCAGAGCAGAGCGAGGCTCCACGCCACGACTTTTTACAAATCGCCACAGAGTGGAAGTAGTTCTTTGAGCCTTCAGTCCATGCAAGGCGAAAATACGCACGCAACCCTCGCAACAGGGATATATAGCAGGTCGCTGCGGGGACGGAGGCCTTGCTCTCACATTTGATATTCCGCAGTTGTTCCATGTTGGCCTCCTTCTGCTTTTGGTTCTGCGCATTCCTATCTGCGCGGTAATCTTTTCGAAATTTCTTCAAGTCTTGTATGCCGTTTGTGAAAAATTCGTTCTGTGCAGCGGCTTCTTGTTGAAGCGATGCCGCATATTTCGCCTCGAAGTCTTTCATGTTCGCATCGAATTCGGCGTCGGATTCTTGTATCGCGTTGAAACCCAACCCCCTCCCCCGGAAAACGAACACGTTTTCCGCCGACAAGGAAGAATCTCGTGAGCCAATCTTTTTGCCATTGCCACTAAGAGAGCAGCCCTCTTCTATACATGATTCGAACTCGCAGCAGCGGAGAAGCGGCCACACAAATCTTGTACGCATTGCCATCTCGTCGAACCCGCTGAGGATTCGACCGCTGGCCTCTGGTCCTCTCCCACTTGCAAGGCAAGAGAAGACGAGCTATTGTACATCGGGGGCTGCACAACTGGCAAAACAGCCCGATATCCGGTGGAGGGGTCGTCATTTTCTAGTTCATATTTTCGTGCGCGCTCCTGAGCTCATCCCTGGCCCGCTGAATCGAAGCAATCATGTCCGCGCATCCTGTGCAAAGACGTCCCCACTCCGCAGCCAAGTCGGGAACTCTGCAAGACAAATCGCCAAGCTTTGGCGGATGCGCATGGCAAGTTTGGGCTCGCGGTGCAACCGTCATTAGCTAGTGCAGCAGCATTACAATTCTAGCATCCAATGCTGATTCGAGCATCACAAGTTTCAAAATAGCGCTAGAAAATGCGTCTCATCAGGCTCCGCATGAGACACATTTTAGTTTTACGCATGCAGGATTGTAGGACAACTATGGGGTGGGGACACTTTCACACAGGATACCGCGGACGCCTGTTTCATTTGCGCGTCCCTCGCGTTGGCTCTCTGCGACCGCTCCGTCGCTGCTTCCCCTTGCCGCCTCAGCATCTAGTTTATGAAACGAAAGTAACGATGGCGGCATGCCCGGAAAAAAGGAATGCGGCGCCATCTGCAATGCTGTTATCGTGTGTCGAAAATGATTCCCCCCTCGTCCCATGCAGAAAGTAACTTCTGTGGCTCGAAGACTTAGGACCACAAAGCGCCGTCCCCGGGCGCCTCGGAGTGGAGGATGGGTTTAGGGTTTAGCGTTTGGGCAGCGCAGTACCGCGCAGTACAGACGTGCCGCTACCAAAAGCATACTAGGCTCCGGGGACGGCTGCCTTCCGAGGACGTTCTTTAACTTTCTCAAGTGGGGTGATTAAAGAGACAAGAAAAGCAAGAACGGAAACCGGGTTTTTTTCTTATCTAAACTCCCCGCTACAACTACTACTACACAACTGCTCACAAAGGAATTTCAGGTTTTGAATTTTTGCTGTTATGATAGGCATCATCATCATCATCATCATCATCATCAGCGAGCAAGGTCGGTCAACGCCACCGGCCAAGTGTCCCTGCACCAGTCTCGAGGCCCAATTTCAAATGTGTACACAACTCAACGCACTTTGGAAAAGAGCTATGGGGTTCTGATGGGGCTGCACATTCGCTAGCAATTCCTTCTGCCCGTCTGTACAGTAGTGTGCTTTTTCCTGTCATACCAAAGAGATAAGCCGCAAACAAGAAAATGACTTGCACACACAAATGTAGCCTTAGAAATATCCTTTCCATATACAGGAGTGGCAAAGAATTTTTTAATTTGCTATGTTGCCGTGATGATTCCTAACGCGCGAGTATCTGCGTATAGTGTATGTGTAACAAAGTAGCTTGCCTCCGCTTCGGCATTACAGAAGGCGAGTTGCGCTGTTTTCCGAATGAATGCGTGCGGTGCGCACATATTTCAGGATGCACAGCGCGGGGAGATGAGCATTGCAGATGACTCGCGCCCCTTTTTCCAGAAAACCTCGACATCCTTGCACGTGCAATTCATATCCTGCGCCTGTTGTGTGTATATGATGGACTCCGGCATGGAAAGTACCACACAGGATTACAAATTTTGGATGAGCAAAGCGGATAGTCTCCTCCAAGGGCCTGAATGCCAATACAATCAGCAGCGTTTCTTTTGGTTTCTCGGCTTTGTCATGCTGGCTCTTTGGTGCTGGGATCTTCTCATTCTATGCATACCTGCGCACCCCTCCATTATATTTCAACCCTTGGAGGAGGCTTAGATTGCCGCGCATGGTAAGGGACTTATATACGGAGCAACTACCTTGTCAAAATGTACCTCTTTGAGTTTCTGCTGATCAACTCCTGCACCCTTGTCGCAGTCACACCTCTCCAAGAACGATTCGTCACATCGTATCCTCCGAGAAAGACCCCCCACTCCCGCGGCACATGCTAAATAACAATAAAGCACGTTTTGTTGGACGCCCTAGTTTGCAGCGGCTCGTCCATGCCAACACCTGAGCGCGACTTTCCCACGCAGTGACCACGCGAGAGTCGAACACCAGTAGACAGCCATAAATATAAAGGATTGCGTGGCAGAAATTTTCACGTGCAGAGACCTTCGCATGGCTCAAAAAATAAGAAAGCCACTCCCGGGCTTGCCCCGTGGGGGGATCTCTCTCTTTGCACAGGGTATCCGCATGAGCAGAATCTGCGCAACCCGCTTCGCATGGGGTCGTGGTTTGCGAAGGCGCGGCCGCTTTTTCCGTACTCTCCCCCGTCGAGGCATCTGCGGGGCGGCGGGTTCTTGCGGTGTTGGTTTTCAAAACCGCAGCTGCTTGTTCTGCGGCTTGCGCATTCTGGATAAAAAGTTGGCCACTCGCGACGACGCCGGAGGTCAGGCAGGCGCGGCGAATGCCTGAGCCCACCCGCATTGGAAAAGCCCTCGTGGGATGTAACTGGTTTGTGTTTCCACGCGGGTCGTGAAAACAATCGGCCGTATAACGCGATAGTTTCGTCGCAAAGCGGCTTTCGACGTGGACCTGCCGTCTTATGAATCGGTAGCAGCGGTTGGATTCGGTTCCAGGCCTGTGAGGGAAACAAATGCTGAAAAACGTTACAAAAACAAACCGGAGAAATGTTGGTGCCTGCGTAACAATATCGCTGCGTCACAGTTCGTTCCACGTCTTTCAGTACTGTTTTACAGCTTCGAAAATGATATTATTCTCTTCTGTTGCTGTTGGTGGGACTACCCTACTTACATCACTTGAAAAAGTCAAAATTTCGGGTGGGGCCCTGGTTGCGGATTTATGGCAAGTTGTAGTGAAATTTGCAGAACAGTGTTCTCTCATCGAAGCTTTTAATTTAGTGTTCCGCAAGCGAAGAAACCGAAAGAGAATGCGGAAAGCTCCGTACGAATGAAACCGAGTAGGTAATTACTCTAATTCCGAGGTGGGGCCAGCCCCCAATCGCTTTATATCAATTCCTGCTACGCAACTCCAGCAACAACCAAGTCAGTGAGAGGATTTACCACGACGGCCGGTGCGGAAAACCGACAGTAAAGAAGTGCCCTTTCTTCACCTCACGAAGAACAAACCGACTAACAGAAAGAGATCAACTTTTCGCCAGATATCACCGAGCTTTCTCCTGCATGGACGACACCGAAGACCTTCTGTGTCTCTGTGCTCTTTCCCACGAATCTTTGCTGTGCGAAATCTTTGCTGAGCAACCGACAGCACTCCGACAAGTGGAGAAAACAAAAATCCAGCTCTGACAAGACGGCCCAGCACAGGGGGGGCGGCAACTCGCCGACGCTTAAAGTGCATTGGTAAAAGCGTCCTTTCTTTAGCGGTCATCAAGGTTAAGATTGATTATCACGATAGTATTGTGCTGCAAGCATATCAACTGCCACGTCCCCCTCTCGTGTTGATTAGAACAAGCGAGACGGGTCAAGCCAGCGACGTGCCCTTCTGCCACAACTGGGGACTCCGCGCTTTTTCCCTTCGGGGACAGTTGTGTCCTTCGAAGTTGTCCTCGTGGTGACGGGCGCAGGTTCGAATACTTCGATCAGGTCAGACTTGTTAGTCTCACCTCCGACACCATCGAAGAAGAGGGCCTTGTCTTCTTGCTCTCGGTCTCGGCGGCCATCATGATAAAAATAAATAAACCGGCAAACGTGGACCTCGATGTCTGTGAGCCGCGAGGGAAGCGGAAGGCCACCCTGCGGAGCGCTCGTCGAACCGGAAAGAAGTAAGTATATTGGAACGCTCGTGACCTTACTACTACATACAAATGGGATGGAAATGAAGGAAGCTACTTACAGAGAGATTACATTTTCAATGATTGAATGCTTGAGATTGTTAAGAAGGAAAAACGAAAAGTAGATCACTTGTGGTTGCATAACCCGTTCTCCAAAATGACAGCATGTACGTTGTAAAATTAAAAACCAAAAAACGTTCTGAAATGTAAAAATCAACAAAACAAAGTGAGCGGTCTTTCACTACTAGCTTGTGGGCACTACGCAATTAATTTTGCCGTGGCTGCCCCTGCCGATCGTTATTCGCCTGAAAACACACGACGCGAGGGTGACCGCCACAAAAAAAATTTTAATTCTCACTTTCGAAATTATATGGTCAGTGATGAAGTAAATGAAATAAAAGGAGCCTGCCGACGTAAGTTCCACATGAGTAAGAGTAAGCACAGGCTGCACTGAATGGGAAACAAACTCGGTGCCATTTTTCTTGTATGTTGACTTGAGCGGTCTCATTACCGTTAATGGGAAAACAAACTTGGATGATGTTACGTTAAAACTCGACACGCCGTCTCAGGCCAAACCCACGCTGGGCAATTTTTTGAATGAGTCAAGAACGTACTTGACCAAAGAGGATGTGGCGGTATTTTTTCAACTTCTTCAAACTGAGACAGGACTGCTGCGGCACAAAAAGATAGCTCTTTTGTCACGCTGAAAAATGCCCCGGCCCCCGAAGTGCGGAATGTCTCCACGGCAAAGTTTCCGAATGGACTCATTTGTCTCGCATGAAAGCACAAGGGCTCTCTTTGCCTGGCAGTTCAGGCATACCAGGCAGTTCAGGAATGACGAGGCCAGCGCTTACGCATGGGCATTTGTGCAACACAAATCGACACGTACGGTCTCCTGCATACAGCATCTGTCTTGTTAGAAGACACAGAAAAGTAAATGTTTCTACTGGAAAGACCTTTTGAAATGCAAATGCTTCCGGCCTCGGGTTTGCGGGCGCTTTTCAATGCGATAACGATCTGCCAACGCCCTGCCCGATTTCTTCCTGCGATGAAAGTGGACATCCCCTCCACACTTGTCATGAGCACTTTTGTCCCCGTATTTGTTTCGCATGCTCATAGCATGTTGCCGAAGCCCAAAAGGCATTACAGCCTTGGCGGGCGTGGATGCATCCAGTACAGAAGCAACATTTCTCAACTTGTTTCTGTCGCTAGACGTGTCCTTCAAATCAATGCAGGCGAAACGTCCACTGTCATACCTTTTTTGTCATGTCGTTACCGCCGCAACCACGGCACTACGCCGCGAGAAAGCCGGTGGCCCCCACCGCGGGGGCCGCGTTCTGGACCGCTGCCACTTCAGCTTCAACTTTTTGACGAGAAATCATGTCTCGGATTTCTTTGAATTTCAAGTCTTGCTCTTTTATCCTCCAGAAAACTACACCCACACCCGTTTTTGTCTGCATTGCCGACGCACCACCCAAGCGCGTCTCTTTCATGCAAACCGCGGCCCGTAACGTAGGAAAATTTGTGACGAGGAGCGGCCAAAAAGGGTCCTTGTTATCTGTGGCGCCAAAATCTGCTTGACAAGTATTTTGCAGTGCCGTGTTTTACATAATTCAGTTTGCGCGGAACATGAATTGAACAAAAAGAACTACACAGAAATAGAATGATGCGCACGCAACCCTTGCTAAAGTGCATGGCAGAAAACGACAGAGAACGCACCGCAGAGTCGCTGCTGACTGAAAAACTTCTATTTGAATTAGAAATAGAAAGGTCACTACGAGTGCCGCCGCGTCATTAGTTGTAGTCATGCTAGTCATTTAGTATGGGTGTGCTTGCTTTATTTTGTGTGTCATATGCTGCTGCTTGGTGTTCGCAATGCTCTCCAACTGTTTGAAACGCTCCGCCGCTTTCTTCAAAGCATCCCACTTTTGTTTGTAGCGGTAGATGGCCGTGTCTCGCAGTGCTTGGACCCGGCCGGTCGTGGTTGCAGTGATCTCGTCCTGCAACTTTCCGGCTTCGTTCTTGTGGAAGCGCCGCGTGGGAAATTGTCAGAATGCAAATATCAATAAAATTTCATCGCGTTTCCCCCTCACCAGACGGGGCTGCAAACAAAGGCCGCCCTGCTGCGATACGATACCGATAGTAACTATGCGAATCAGAAGCCCCACAAAATAATTCTATCTAATTGTATGCGCCTGGCAATGAAGGCTGCGGCTGAGGTTCCTGAAAGGGGTGACACCTTGTATTTGAGAGAGCATCGACTATCAGTACCAATCGCGTGGGGAAATCGACTCGCTTGTATCTAGAGTGGCGCACTGTCTCTTTTTCTCTTTCGCACTGCGAAAGTATTTTCGTTTTCACTTTGACGGTTTCCCACCTGAAGCCTCGATACGCGAAATTGGTCTCGATCCCAGTTTTGTCGTCCGCGCTTACACCCGGAATCTAGTATATCGAACTGAAAAAACACCCCCTCGCCCGCGCGCTGCTACGCACGAGCAGGTCTACTTGCGCCCGCGACGTACGAGTCACAAATTCGAATAATTCAAGTGAAGTCGCCTGGCCGGAGAGTTGCTGAGTGGAGAAAGATCCTGCGCCACACTCACTCAACGCAGACCACGTGGAACGTAGCGAATATCCGACCTGAGCGGAGCCGCGATTTTCGTGGCGAATCAATGCAGCGGAAAGCGGAAGAGTTTTTGTCTTTCTATCCAACGCAGGCGCAAGCATTGCGGCACGTACAAAAACCACACAAAGGGCCGACTTGGTAGAATGGGCTGGGTGTGTTTTTTGATTGATTTGATATCATCCAACGCCTCCTTGAGGTCGTCCACGCGTTTCTTGTAGTCGCCAGCTTCGCGCTCCCGGACGGATTCGAAAGCTATGGCCCGCACAAGTGTCATAATGTCAAGGTCTACAGCGAAACTGTACTGAGCATTTGCTAGGCCTTAACGGAAAGAAACGCAACTCCTTAGACATTGTGCGTCTTTTACAAATTTCGAACGATTCCAGGGCAGTTGAGCGCTTCGAAAACTGCAATTTCTCACGAGTAGCAGTTCCAAAACGAAAAAACAGGAAGTGCTCGCGCTCGGCTGCTCCGGCATCCAAATATTCTAGAATGCCCGGCGTCCAAATTTTTGCACTACTGAACATTACGACATCAACCGGGCCAGCCATACTTTGGTCATCCAGATCGCCCAGGTTCCGTTCGTAATCGGACTCCTTCGGCGCGTTCCTCACAAATTCGCAGAGATCCGACAAGGCTTTGTCGTCTTTAGCTCTTTGGACGTTTTTCGCTTGCAACTCCTCAACAATGGCCTGGTTGTCGCGAGTCCGTTGGAGTTCCCATTGATTCCGGACCTGCTCCAGTTTTTGGGCTTTTTGAGCGTCCGTCATCCCGCTTGGCGCTCCGCCTTGCGGGCGCTGGTGCGTTTCCAGTCCCGCTTTCTGCCTCACGGACAAAAGCCTCGGCGTGGTGGGTCTGGATGAAAAGTGCTGCCTTATCTGACGAGCTACGCCCGCGACCATGTTGACACGCCAAGAAAACGTGCCAACACTTGGAACAAGTACAAAGTAGCGAGAAAAGTTTAGGCTTCGAGGCAAGCTCCCATACCCATTTCGATGCTTTTAGTCATATTTTGCGCCTGCGTGTTCGCATGGGCATCCAGAGGGAAAGCTGCACACGACATAGTATGCAAAAGTTCACTAAATATTCTTCATGTTTTTTGGTGTCGTGAACGCTCAACTTGACTGCGTCCTGCGAAATGCAGAGTCTTCGTTCCCATGACTGATCCAACGCGAGGACCGCACTTCATACTATCAGCATTAGACCATTGTTCATTTTGCATGACAAAAGAGCGCTCCTGTCCGAGGCTTCACAATGCTGCCCTCGTCGTGCTGACCGTGAAATCACGGCATGCACAGTGTCTCCCAATAAGGTTGCACGGGTGTACTTATGAGAAAGACAAATCCTTTCTTGCTTTCATTCCGCGGCACAATGACGAAAGGACGCAACAAGCTCTTTATTTTGTGCCAGCTAGAGTTCGTCAGCCGCTATTCGATTTGTTTGGGCCGACCGTGTGTGCAATAAGAGGCTATGTATAGATATCTCTAGAGAAGTGCCTTTATTTGGAAGGCACTGGTGCTACCTCGCAAACTCAGACGTGCTGCATATTTTCATTTCCAGACCCCCGCCACAACGTTTCACGCGATACGACCGCGCTGCATTTGCGGCTGCATTTGCAGCTGCACTCGACCCCCGGGCGCAGCATTGGACGCCTTTGCTTCCTCGTAGCAGTCACGGCATTTTTCCAGAAACGCGGAGCCGGCGTGCACCGGGTGCGCCGAGGATGCACCCTCCTCCAAGCCCGCATCTAGGTCCGTTGCATGCACTTCCTGAACGACAGGCTGCGAAACCGAGAGTGCGCCAGAAGCCAGGCAAGCGCGGCGAAACCGAAAGCGGACCAGCATCGCACGTCGTCGATCACGGAAGCGGAGCTACTTTATTCTGCGCGTTTTGTTGCGCCAGAACTAGTCCTTCTCTTCAGCCGCGAGGTGGTTGGTCGAGCAACGCTGTGCCGGGAAATTCGAGGTTGGGAAAACTCCCGACGTGTCAACCGTTCGCAGATGCTTGGGGTCGCCGGGCCAATTGGGGATGAAGTAGTTGTGTTAAGTTTTGGTCTGATGAACTGCCCGACAAGATAAAAATGCCTTGCTCCGTTGGTGGGACTACACTGCGTCTATGAAAAGTGATGAAGGTCGGGTAAGGTCCTGATTTTACATATATACTCAAGATTTTCAGAACAGTACGTAATGCGAAGCTTTTTCGTGTTGCGCAAAAAAACGAACCGAAAGAAAATGCAGAAGGCACCATACGTATGAAACCGAGTAATTACTCAACCTCCGAGGTGGATCCAGCCACCCATCGCTTTCTAATTCGGGGTACGAGATTCCAGCAACAAGCAAACAACGACTCGGCAAACCGATGGTAAAGAAGTGATAACAGCTAGTGCAGACCGACTGTATTAAAGCAGTGCCTGTCAACAAACCGAAGTATCAATGACGAGACCGCGTACTAACGAGTACCAGAAACAGGACGCTCGCTTTCTCTTTTGCATGGACGAAACCGACAATGTGTCCGGAGCTCTTTCGCACACATTGTTTGGGCGAAATCTTTAATGCGCGAAGTCTTTACTGCAACCGACACTCCGGCTAATGGTGGAAACTACGAATTCGCAGCTCTAAGCAGATGGCACGCGAGAGGGGGAGGATTTTTACCGACGTTGAAGCGATAGAGAAAAGGCTTGCCTACTTGGTCAAAAAAAAGACGCGCGAACCCCGCGGGGGCGGGCAGCGAGTGCAAACCCGCCCCGCATGCCGGGGTGCGCTTTTCGCTGGCTGCGCACCCGGCGGGCCAACCGCGGGCGGGCTACAAGAGCCGCGGGCCCCACCAGCGGGGGCGGCCACTGCGGGGTCTGCGCAGCTTGCGGGGCCCGCTTGCAGAGGCGCGTAGGGCGGGGGCTGCGCACATCGGTGGGCAAACAGGGGCGGGCCCTTGGGGAGGGAACGAGCAGGGGCACTGCAAGGGCTGCGCACCCGACGGACCAGGCCAGAAGCGCATGTCGGAGAGTGCGGGGGCTGTGCGCCCGCCTGTACCAAGTGGGCGGCGGTTGGGCCTGTCATAGGCCCCACCCCCGGACTGCGGAAGCCTTTCAGATGCCCTCTCGGGCCTCTTCGCCGGATTCCGGAACAGGGCCAAGATTAAAGTCAGTTTTTCAAGTTTTCAACATAGTGGAAATACCACCTGGAAAGAGGTAGTCGCGTTCTGTCGATAGGAAAAGGGACTCACTTAGTGAGTTTAGCGTCTGTTTGCTCCCTATCAGATTGGATATCTCAATGCTGTGGTCACGCAGTGAGTTTTTCAAGATTTTTGCACATTTTTCCAAAATTCAAAAAATTATCAAAATATGATAAATTTGGCACCTGCAGCAACAGAGCTTACAAATCATGACTTGAGTATGTAGCTTTTTCTGATAGATACTTATTAGAAGCATAAAACTTAGGAATCACATTTTTTTGGCACTTTTCAAATTTTTTCACGAAACATATAAAATATCACACACCCGGAAGATTCACCATAAATATTAATATAGGAGGACACAATGCTCCAACAAAATCAATTTTTTACAGGTTTTGTTTCTTGTTTCCTGAAAATTTACCACACACGCAATTTTTCAAATTTTTAACAATTTTTGAAAATATGAAAAATGCACTAAATGACATCCCATAGGCTCTACCTCTGGACTCAACCTGAAAAAAATGCACACATATACACAAAGTGTGACCATAGTTAATACATAAATGGGGCGAAATTTGAAAGTCCTAATTTTTGAAAATTTTAAATTTTTGAAAAAACACAAAACAGAAAGGATTTGAATAAAATAAAAAGAACAAGCTCTGAAAAAACACCCATATTCGATTGCTGTTTCCTGTCTTTTTTTTCTCCCTACCTCGTACCATCCCTCTGCCAGCCTCCTCTTCACGAGCC